ATTCTGATTTCACCAAATAAAAAAACAAGCAGAAAATTATTCAATTGCCGCAAAATTAAATGCTTTTTGTGACCTTTTGTAATTACAATACTAATTATATTTTCAGGTTTTAAGTTTTTGTCACACATTTTAGTTTTGTATGAAAAAAATTATAATAAAAATGATCAAAACCAGATAAAAATCTAAAGTGAAATCACATCCATTCAACACCTTTGTTGGTATTATTGAATGCTGATTATTTTTTCACCGGAAATCTGAAGTACACGGACAAATCGGTTTTATCGTTCGAAAAACAGCCTCAGATATCCAAAATGCTTCAATTTATAGGGCGCGGGTTCAAGTGGATTTTAGAGTGAGGTTGTTAGATTACCTCCATCTTTTATTTATAAGCTTTCGAGAAAGGCGTGTATATAGGGAACGGATCGTTCCGAGTAGCGTCCATTTGAGGGATTTATATGGAATACGGAGAGGATTTGCAAAGAAAGCAGAGAAGCAGAATTGATAAGGTATTATCGGGGCGCTGTTCTAACTTTGTTTTGATGTTATTTAAACATCCAGCGAAAACAATTTGTGTGAAACGAGTTTCAGAAATATTTTTTGATTATTTGTTTGTAATAAAATTTAAAAATATTGGATACCTAGGAAGATTACTAACTAATGTAACTTTCAGCTAATGAATTGAAACAGCTTCATAAAAATCAATTAACAACTACATTCTTGTGTATACGAGGTTTATAATATATTTTGAACTTATTTTAACAATTATTGGGTTAAATTGAATAAAAATTGTACATTTACGTACATTTGCTGAAATATTTTAGTAAAACCAAACCATTTAATTTTAGTATTATCTTCCTAGCACGTGTTTCCACTGCGACAAACATTAAAATTTTACAGAAAACACTCTTTGTTTTTCCGCTTCTTTAGATTCTTTATAAAAAACTGAACTAATTTTATAATTAGTATTTCGTGTCTATTTTTCGAAAAACAAACAATTTGGGATTAGACGAAACTAAGCGTATTAGTTAATGAGACTATCAATTAATGCCCCTTTGTTAGTAGTAAAATTAGAACCAATCAGGATCACAGAAGCAGAAGATACATTATTTAGAACAAATAACATAATTTGTATCTTTAATGCTTTTTTCTACTCCCGTCTGTAAAATGTCTAATTAGACACCGATTTAGCATGCGGGAAGCGTCACTTTACCACGTCAGTTTCGTTTCCCACGGATCCGAACCACTTCGGACATATCCGGGATTTTACCGCACGAGATATTTCCCACGCCTTGAATTGTGAGGCTTATCAATTCTGACGGTCATGTCAGTGAATGTATTCGCGTTTTATTGCGAAAATGTAGCCAAAAACTAACGATCGTTGAAAAAGTGACTTAAAAAGTTTACCGAACGTGTTACATACTATGCTTTCTTAGTTATTGCTAATTGTTAATATTTTCAGGTTTAGCTTCTTTGTTTCTTTGCGTACAAGAATAATTATTTGCGTTTTTATTTCGTAAACGTTACCACGGACAATAAGAAATGCTGCTCCGTAACTTTCATCCCGCGCCCGACGAAAGCCAACACCAGAAAGTTAAATAAATAAAGAGTGTACGTCGCGTGGTTCGTATTCTAACAAGATATTTTCCCATTTCGCATGCAAAATGCCCTCGGGAACTTGTTAGTTAATATTCTAACTTTGCATAGTTTAGTACGTGTTTTTACGGACTTCGCTTTGGACGCCGCGAAAAGTTGTAATAACTAGAAAACCGCGTTGTTAAATTACCCCGAGGTTTTCAGGCCGAGCGAGAAGATTATCAGAAGTTTATTAAGAACTGCACTTTTGATGAATGTGATACGGCTAAAAGCCAAAGTACGGCCACAACTAGTTTAACCGCCTGTAACTAGATTCGGTTTGTAGCACGTACTTAATCTTGGTCCTCGGTCTAGCCTTTTCGTCCACAGTTCAAACAACAGAAACAAACAAAACCAACTAGTTTAAAGGGGTTGAACAATACAAAAATTTTACCAGGATTTTATTTTTTTTTCTTCCCGTAAGTGGCCAATAAACTTTTATTGTTTCAAACCTCTACAGATTTCCCGAAGACTCGCGCAATTCCATTTCATGTGTCAATCTGTTTTTTTAAGGAATCTTTGTCCTTGGTATGCCATTTTTTTTAATGCTTTCTTTCAACCACGCCATATTCAAGAATAAGTATCGCATGGTCCGCCTCGCTACGAAGGAGCCTACGACGAACCCGTCCCACTAGACACGCAAATTCCAGATCGTTCTAAGTCTACGTCGCGTCGCGTGGCGTGCTGTAGACTCGCGAGCACAACCAGGCTCGTCGTGCGTTCCGCTAAATTTAACAAAAATGTGCTCAGTAAACCTCATAGTCAGTGACAAAACTTTAAGATCATGACTCATTTTATTATCTTGGACTATGTTTAGACACCTTATTGTAATTGTCCAAAGCAACTATTCATAGGTTATCCATAGGTTATATAACGCACAGAAGATAATTTGTTACTTTTCTAGAATGTTCACGAATTTTAATTCTACATGTATTGCACCTATGTATTTTCTCACTTTTTTAATAAGATTTGCTATACCATTTTTTTTCATTTTAACTTAAATTTAGTTAGTTCGAAAGTTGCCTTGAATGTTAGATTCATATTTGCCACTCAACTCATACAGAACTCAAGTCGTTAATTCTATGACGAATGCATCAAAAAGTGTCAGGCATAACTTTGATGTCCCATTCGCCATCGCTTACAATCAATAAAACCTAGCGACGTTCGACAACCCAACCCGCTGACAGTTCGTCTACTCATCAGTTTTCAATTTTGATTTTTGGATTTTTATCAATTTTTCGTCCTTACTCCTACTATACGCAACTTATGCTTATCTAAATCTGTCCCATAATAATTTTATTGTTACAATTTGGATGGCTATGAGACACACATCTGTATCTTTCGTCTGAGCGGTGGTTAAAGAATTTTTTGAAGTAGGTTGAGGAGGATATATCAGAAAAACAAAATACTCTAATGCTTTTTACAAATCTTCGGGATTCCTCCTGCGTCGGTTTTTGCTTAGTCGAAATTGCTGACGTTTCGCCAGTCATCCTGTTGGCTTCTTCAGAGTTTGACTGAAACTGAGTCTCAGTCAAGCTCTGAAAATCATAATTTATTGAATAGAGATTTACACTTTTTTTGAAGTGTCAACTAATTCAAAAATCGAGAGACATGAGTAAATGCAAACTTACTGTAAATTAAATTATAACTAAATAATATTCTAAAGTGAAAAATGGAACTGCACTTTTAACGATTTTTAACAGTGAAAAATGTAATGAAACGTCCTACGGAACACCCTGTTTTTTCCAAATATAAACAAATACCGCAAACTCTGCAGAATTAATTAACTCGCCCACTAAATTTTTATTTATTAGGTAACGTGGAAAATGTAAAAGACTTTCTTGAGGCCGCAGCGCTTCGTTAATTTCGCAATTGAAATTAAGCGCCGGTTTTCATTTCACCGAAACAGAGGACGTATTTTCAATTCCTTTTCTTTATTTTGGTAAAAAAAAGTAATTAAATTGCAGAAACTTTTTATCGGTCTCACTTCTTCTTTTTGCAACGCGGACGCGTCTTTCCTGGCGACCGAACAATTTTTATTATCGTTGTTACAGAAATTGCTTAAGAATATTAGAAAGTAACACTGTATAGTCAATTGGAAAAACATAAAAATTCAAGTCATTTTTTTCTGTATTTTTGCGCAAAGTATTCAATTGACCGGGCCGGGTAGAATTTTTTTTTAACCCTTACAACTAGCATCACTTTACTCGATGTGGTTCATATTCTTTTCAAAATATATGGTATCAAAGTCAGAATAGTATATTATGCAACAAGTGCGGTAAACGGCATTTCAGATTTTCACGAAATTAAATATTAGGACATCACAATTGTTTCGACAACACCGATCGTGTCTTTATCAAATCACAACACAATCACATTTGATAAAGACACGGTGTTGTCGAAACAATTGTCATGTCATAATATATAATTTCGTGAAAATCTGAATTTTTAGTTCTTATTTATTTTGATAAATGGATTTTCATCAACCAAAAGCCACCTCAGTTCAATAAACGGCATTTGACTCGCGCGTTTATTTGACACGAACGGAGCGAGTGTTTAATAAAAGTGACTTAAAAAGTTTTTTTTTTTGCAAAACATCACGAATATATTCACTGGCATGACCGTCAGAATTGACAAACGTCAAAATTCAAAGCGTGGGAAATATCTCCGAAAACATCCGATTGCTCCCAGACCCGTGCGGTAAAACCCCGGAAATGTCCGAAGTGGCACGGATCCGTGGGAAACGAAACTAATATGGAAAGTGACGCTTTCCGCATGCTAGATCGGTGTAATTAGGTATTTTGCAGACGGGAGTAGAAAAAAGCGAAAAAGCGAATTTTGGCCGATTTCCATAAACCAAAAAAATAACAGTTGTACCAGTGCTCTCTTAGGAAAAAATTTTACTATTTCAAGTGCTCCGTGATTATGCAGGCGAAACGTTTTTTAATTTAATTTTTAATTTACAAAAAGCATTAGTAAAATCGATTAGTTTTTAGAACGCCACTGGAACCAACATTTTTTTATGATCATATTAAAAGCAGCGCAAAGTTTTATTGAAAAAACTTTTACGTTTTCACCTAAATAATCTATACTGAACGTTTGACCTTTTTGTCCCGCGCCACTGACATCATTTTTTCCAGTAACAATGTCTTGTTTTGGCGTCGCTTAGAATTTTTTGAAAACCATAAATTCAATTTCACGCGGTACCTAAATTTGAAACCTGCAACTGGTTCTGTACCCCAAAATGTTTTGTCTCCAACTGACGAAGACGAAAATAGGCAAATTTCCAACGCCCACTCACAATAAAAACCTCCGCAACAAGACAAAACTCGTTCAAGTTGATAATTGTCGTTTATTATTCTTTTCAGAATTGGGAAGTGTTGAATACCGCTGTTTTGACGGGTCAACAGGTATCCCAAGCGATGAAAATCTTTATCGTGTCGCAAGCTGGAAAAGCGGCAGACGTCACATTCCAAGCGTCATGTCACTCTGAAGATGACAACGTGCTCAAGGTAATATTTGACCCAACCTGATACTACAGTTTCATTAAATGATTTTACGAACCCTGCTGAGCATTAGAGGGCTCTTTAGGACAATGAAAAAACCAAATTGTTGGACATTGAAGTGTGCTGATATGTTGTTTATTTTTATTGGTTGTTTTAGCCATCAGTATGAATCTACATTAAATGTAATCAGACGACAAACATGGACTATATAGACTTACTGGAGAATTATCACGAAGTTTGTCCACTTCTCCGATTTTTATGAATTGTCGCTGGTGTGCTTCAAGAAAGTTAAGACTTACGTTAGCATCAGCTTCAATCATATAAACTAAACTCAGTGTTTTATATACGTAGGATTGGTGAATAAAAAATTATATACTTATATTTAAAAAAACAAATTTCCGCGTTTCCTCATGAGCTCAATTTAAAACGGATACTTCTTTCTCTCGAAACTATATTAACGGAATGAGAATTATCACATTTTTCGATTTATTCGTTATTTAATCCTGCAATTTGCAAACTCCGCCGTCAAACGGGAACATCCAATTAAACATGTATGCCGAGTTGTTTCGTACGTGGCGAATATTCCATTTCGCAAAAATCTAAAGCTGAAATTGCGATTCATCCAACGAGTTATCATTGACGTGCTCGCATTTAAGCCATCGATCGATATTGTGCATAATATCTTCCGATTTTTTCCGATATAAAATGACTGAAATCAAATTATTTCACAGGATATAAAAAGAATATAATAGATCAAAGAAATGGTGTGAAAACTCTGTGACGATCGATAACAATATTCACGCTATAGAGTGTGCCCAGGATAAAAATGCTAACGTAACTGAGTATATAAACTGTTTCCAAGGTCCACCTGCTGTGAATTTTTATCTTGTTTTTATTCCTTTTTAAATTATTATTATTAAATTATCCATTAAGGGAATCTGAAAATCTGTCACTGAACCAAGTGACCGATACACGGATAATAATAGTCCTTGAAGCTGTATGTATGTAACCAGGACACCTTAAAGAAGCAATGTTTAGCAGAAAAACCTCCCTATGCCTAATTTATGTCTTTTGTGGGTCAAATAGAGATATTTTGATAACGATATTAATTTATGGATAAACTTGAAGTTTCTTTTCATTATAGGTATCTTCCTCCTGCGGTTCCGTTTACGTAGATGGTAGCGAACAACGAGGCTCAGTAAATGGATCGGTTTTGGTCAAATACGGGACTTACACGGGTCTGGCGAAGTTCACGGTATGGATGCCCGAATTCCCGTTGGAGTTGTCTGTGGCGGACACAAAACTTTCCCAGGTCAAGTCCTGGAGAGTTCCGGATTACAACCCCACGTAAGTCTCATTTAAGTTTCAGTAGGTAAGCTACGGTCCGCTAGTGCCAAAACAAATTCGTCAGTAAAGTGCCGTTTATCAAACTGTCGCGTAATATATTACAAGCGAATTGCATATATTCTGACTGAATACTATTTGAAAATGCTGTTGGTAACTTGGAGAACGACCATCTTAGTTCAATGTTTTAATCATCAGCGGAGATCTCGGTAAACCTGTGGTGCCAGTATAACATTACAATGTCGATAAAAATTTGTATAAGCTTCTTAAGTTTTTGTGCTGAAAGTGTCACTTTAAGATCAGATGTGTTCGGTAGATTTGAACGCGTATGGTATTCTGTAGGTATTAAAAAATTAATAGTCGTAGAAAAAGTATAGTGTGCAACACGATAAATTCTCGTGACTGAAATGGAGATTTATCAAACTTGTTGCGCAACAAACTCCGCATAGACAAGATTTTTTTATATTAGCAAACTTGAAAATTGACTAACGCAGTTTCTTTTCATTATTGTAAATAGAACCAATTATTTTTCAAAGAAACATCCACAGGCTACTGTAACACTCTTTACAAATCTTCTGGATTCCTCCTGCGTTATTTGTTCATGAATTGAACTCGATGACGTTTCGTCAAACATCCTGTTGGCTTCTTCAGAGCTAAGCTGAAACTCGGAATCTACCTATATATTGTTTGAGGGGGCGGAGCTAAAGGAGGGGGCATGAACATTGTCTCGGATGTCTGATTCCAATATTGGTGAAAGACATTAGTCGCGGTTAAGTTTGTTTGATTCCTTATAGATTTCTATAGAAACGTCAACAGAAGATTTGCAAATAGTACAACCAATTATTTTATACATGTAAGCAAGGCAAGCTAGGAAGCAAATAAAGGAATATTGCACAATATAAATTATGCTTATTTATCTCCTTCCAATTGGCTGTGCAGGATACTTATACCTAGATAACAAAAATCAAATTTCAATAAGACGACTCAGGCATTTTCACAGAGTAACAAAAAGCAAAAGACGTCGCAAACGGTCGTACAACCCGTGGAGTAATGACATGGACATGGGTAACGTAGTGGAGAAGCCCATATGTCGCCTAAGGTACCAGCAAACCTCGGTAGACGTTTACGCGCACTTCATGGCCACTGATCATGATTCCGGTCGTGTAAACTACTTAATCAACCGGAGAACGTGGCTGAGAATAACCGACCTCGTATTGCCATGGTTGAGGGTGAGCGATCCAAGAATTGCGAGCCTTCACGGCCGTGTGCTGCAGGGTAGAAGTGTCGGTAGAACAGAAGTACAGGTAAAGACTGTTTCAAAAATTTTCTTGTGCGCAATAAACTTTAAAAGGTATCCTTAGTACTAATCATTACGCAGACCTTTGCATTCACTGCTAGTAGTCACTCCCTAATATTGCCCGTTGACGTCCTCGTCGGAGCACTCTGCAACCAGTAAGTGGTCAGTCTCTTGGATGTCGTCGGTTCAGTAGGAGTTCTTCCCATACTCCTTTTGCCATTTATTGACTTTTACTTGATTTTTGCTTTCATCTTAAAAACTCGCTATGTGCCCCAATTTTTCTTATACGATTTTTCAAATGAAAAACAATCTTCATCGAGTAACTGTTACAACTAAAATATGTTTAAATTCCAGGTTCTTTCACCGATAACCAGCAGAGTCTTTGGTTCGAAAGAAATAAGAGTCGGTAACGACAAAGTGTCTCTTTCCAAAATGTCCGTGCAAGTTGTATCTGGACTTCAACTGAATATCTCTCCTGATAGCTCTATCGAGAATGGCTACGTGGCCGAGACCAGTGTCACTAGAAAGCTAACGGCTCAATACCAAGAAGGACTACTGGACATCGAGCTGGAGTTCTCAGATAGCACAAAAACGGCTTTGCGAGACATATCTGACATGGACTACCACCTGGTAGTCGAAAGCTTAGATCCCGAAGTTGTCGCGTTCGCCCCTATGGTGGCTTCACATCACCCTAGGGTTATTGCTGTTGGTGAAGGAAGTGGGGATCTTCTTCAAGTAAACTCTAGAGAATTTTTAAGCACCCAGATGCAAACGTATTTTTATAGGTAACATTATTGTTGTCCGAAGAATGTCGGACGAGCGGTCGTCCCAAAACCAAATCTGCAGGTCCATTAGCGACAGCTGCCGCTCATATCGCTGTGGACTTCACCAGCGACTTAGCCCATAGGCCTGATATCCTGCAGAACGATGGAGGGAGCTACAACGGCGGCAAAAGTGGAAGAGACAGAGACTTCTCTGATTTGCATGACATATTAAAGGGTTATTTGAAGATTGAATTATATTACTGAATTATGGTAATAAATTATTTCTTTAGATGACGAGCCAAATGTTCAAGCTAGGCAGTACCAAGGGAACAAGGGAGTCTATAGGAACAAACATCACAATGCTGAGCTGAAGCCGTTGGAAATAAGCATGTACGTGTTACTGGCTGCATTCTGTTGCGCTATTGTGGTAAGTTGATTTAATGTTAATGCAGATATTGGGAACAGGGGTCAACGGGCCAAGTTAATTTCTATTGAGAATTCATAAAACATTTGTTCAAAATGGTTGTAATTCATCTTGCCATGATTCAATAGATATATAACCTTAACATTACGTTAAAAAATCGATTTTATTTCAGGTATTTGTGGTATCCTGCGTAGTTTACGCCTCCAAATTCAAACCAATCGAACAAGGTGTTACGGCCGGTATCCATCCGTCCCCTGTGAATCCTACCAATTTGGTAATTCACAGGGAACCGCGTAAACCGAGAGAATCGACGCAAAACGCACACGATTGGGTGTGGCTCGGACGGGCCACAATGGATACCACATCCAATCGCAATTCGACGGTTGTGAGCAATAATAACGGAACAGATATTAGAATAATCACGAATCCGTTAAATACCAATTACTGCGATCCGGACGATTGCCTGGCTACCAGTTTTAGCAATCCAAGTCACATCGACTTGCCCAGTAGATCTGAAGGAAATATGGCCGATGTTAACTCGAACCAGGCAATCGACAGCAGGACCTACTGCAGGAGCAAGGGAACCAGTAGGGTGGTTGAAGAGTGTAATGGTGATGAGTTGGTTGGGTGGTAAGTGTCAGAAGTCATCGTAACATAGCTTCCGTTTATGGGCTAAAAAGAAAAAATAATTACATTCTTTGAATAGTATGCGAATTTCAAAAAATAAGTGCCTTAGTATGTTTTTTTTTCGTTTTCTGTTTGATTGATATTACACTCGATCCATCTGCCTTAAGCTTTCCACTTTCTTTCTATAAGCATGTATTTGATCAAGCAATAATTAGTTCGGTAATACGCGTTTTTGTGCCTTTTAGTCATGGACTGTGCATTTTAAAATCAGTCATAGAGTTGAACCAGCAAGAACGACGAAGAGAGGCCTCTGGTTTTATGATTTATATTTCTAGAGCACAACATAAACCCTTTTTTTTTTAAATACTTGCCTTGTTACCATCAGATCACTCGAAACAAAAACTGTTATACCGATGTATTTTTTGTCTAGGAACAAGCCGATTCCTCCACCGCCGCTTCCACCCCACGCGGTTCCCCTTCAAATGCCTTCCGAGCGCGTCATTTCTTCGCCTAAACCTGACGACGAGTACCGACCTCCAGTTCCGCCACACCGTGTCGCCGCCGGATCCGAATCACAGTCGCCCGTCATCACACCAAAAAAGCATCACCACCATCATCACCAAAGAAGCGGGAGTCGAAGCGGAGACAAACTCCTCAAAGAAGCGTTGGAAAACAGTGGACGTCCGGGAAGCGGTTTGAGAGAGAAACTGCTCGATAATGTCGAGAACAGAGAGATGCACGTGTTTAAATTCGACGACGAGCCTGTAGAACAACCCAAGAAAGACGAGAAAACGGAGTTTGTGCAGTACCCGAAGTCGCCCAGTGCTAAATGTGAGTCTCTTATTGCTGATAATTAACGCACTGAAGAATTTTCAGCATTTCGGAAATAAATAGCTTTGGTTGGTGCTCATTGAAGAACGTAAATATTAAACTTTACCTAAGTCGTATTTGCCAAAAATGTATTTATAATTAATTAATTATGATTATTATTATTATTATTATTAACGTCAAACGATAAGGGAAAATATAACAATTGCATTAAATGGTGAATAGGTGAAGCGTTGCCATAATGGACGTTTTTAAGGTTAACCTAACTGAAACAACAATAATTTATATTAAACCCTATCTAAAATCCTAAAGAAAAACACCGTGGTTATATAATTACGGAATGTTATTCTCAGATAACAACTGATTCTTGAGAAGTTTTGATCGAAAATTTAAGTGATCCTGCTTTATGACAACAGAGGCAAAAGAATTAACCTTTTTGTGAAGAAAATTTCCTTTGTTGGGGATTGTTGGCCGAAGTCAGTCTAGTAACTTTTCCAATTAGAGTTTTCAATGCAAAAGGCTGGTCTCTGTTCCGCTGTCTTATTTTTTTGTCGCTGGTTCACCCTCCTCTGACACCTCTCTACAACTGCTTTAGGGTATCTATTCCAGATTCTTCCCCAAGCGCTCTAAATTCGTCGTCTACATCATCTTCAAAATAATGTTCCATCAAGTACTTTATCGTTGAAATAGGGGATGGACTTGAATTAGGAAAAAGGGATTGTCTGTTAACGATTGGTTCCAAGAACTCTGCCTTGTTTGGTGTTTTTAGTGCCACAATTGTAAATTCCTGATTATTCACCACTAGTTGGTTCTTTTTAAATTTAGCAAGTTTTAAAAATTCATATAGAATTTTTTTTTCCACTCTCTTTTCTTGTATCAGATCTTGTGTCACACCTATGCAAGAATTTTACAATTTTCTGGCATTTGTAAGTACATATTATTTACTTAGTTTACTGATAAACTTTACTAAAACTGGTCTGCATTTCCCATGTTTCTTTTCACCAATTCTAAAGAAATTATCCAGATCACCGATTTTTATGCTAACTCCTAGCTTATTGAAACATCCAGCAAAACTTCTTTTAATGGCACACTTTCTTCCTCAGAAAGTCCAAATACAAGAATATTTTTCCTCTTTAACCTTAATATTTTCTATTAGTATTCTATTTCTATTTCGTATTCTTCAATTCAGAAAAATCTAGCTTGAAACATGTAAGTTCCTGCTTTATATCTTCTACATTCTCGCTGGTAGCTGGCAGCTCAAAAATGTTTTCGTTCGTAACGGAGGCCATTTAATGATATTCCGGCCTCAGTACAGTCCAGTAGGTAACAGCGGTCACGCGTCGAAACTGAAAGATATATACAGAGTGTTACTGAAATAGCAGTATATAATTTAATACCCCCTGACCCTTCGTTGATATTTTGTTCGGTTTAATTCTTGAAAAGCGCTATTGCCATTATTTTCTTATCTTAGAATATAGAGACCTTAAATACAGCGACATATTCATACAGGAGGCAATGATCTTCCGCGAATGCATCTAAATTTTTACACAGTCACCTGCACTTTTCCCCATTTTTTATAAATAGCCCATTTCCATACACTTATCTCGTTTTTTCCTGTAAATTTAACGGGATCTGGGCGGACATATATTGAGACAATACAGATCGAAAAAATGTCACAACCAAATATTTGACAAAAAAAAATTGCTTTCTAAACTCCGTATAATTTTGTCACTTTTACAACTTACCAGATGTAATTTTGTAATTTATCAATTCCAAAGATCACTTCGAAACGTTGGCAGTTTATGTGCTAATATACAATGATAGTTTATTTCATAACCACTAAGCTATCAACAAGAACATAAGTTATAACAAATGCAACTAGAATACAGAAAGAAATTGCATCTCCTGGTATTTAACACCCACCTAAAGCAGATAATTGAAACAAAATTAAATGAAGTTTAATTCTCAATCGATAACACTATAAGGATTAATACAGCTAAATGGCATTTGAACTATCCATAATATTCTAATAAGGCGAACACCCTGAGATTCAACTCATTATATGTCACTTCATTAATACCCTGCGTAAGCACTTACATGCTCAGCTTGGTTTTAACAAAAGTTACTTAGAATATTTTGTAATAGAATTTCGTCAATATCGTGTGTTGGTAGCCGCGTCAATTTTAGAATTATGTAAAAATTAAACAATAAACGCATATAGTAAAAAGAGAGCCACTTACTTTGTGTTCTGTAATTTTTGAGGTTGGTCTAAAATTATACCCGATATTGTCTGTTTGTAGCTAATCGAAATAGTGCGGAAGTGAAGCGGGCAACTATCGTGGGCAACCCGATGTTCAGCGCCGACGAACGAACCGCCGAAATGTGCGCGAACACTGCGGACCTACCGGGCTTGGACGACCTACAGTTGGACATGGACTACGACCAAATCATGCACTACTTCGAGAACCTAAAGGTAAATGCCCGCTAGTAAGTAGATTTCAGACAACTAACTTTTACCATCCATTTCGCGCTACATTTTCATTTTTGCGACGCCTAGATTATATTTAGTTTAACCATAGAGTAAACAAACCTAGGAACTTCCACTCCATTGCGAAGAAGTTACCGCTCCTATTATTATTACTTATCAAAAATTTCAAACAGTAGACTTATGAGTACCCGCCAATTTAACCTACTTGCCTTTCGAATCTTCGCCATTTGTAAAACTTCTTAATCCATAGTTTGACTTAAGTAATGAATAACTATTAAAAACATTTTGATATACGTCCCGCCCTGCTTATCACATCCGTCATCATCATGAAGTTTTAGCAACTCAGGGGCCGAGCTTATTGAACTTGTTTTTTTTTGTGTAATAGGAATCGAATGCCTGAGTAGAAGAGATCATTGCAAAGATCCGCGAGATCCTGCTGTCGTTTAGCGAGCAGTATCGAGCGAACGCCTTGAACGGTAACGGGGCGTATCCCGATCACGTGAGAAACGTCAACCGCAGTTTCGACTACTACTTCGACCATCTGAGTGAGTCGTACGCCTAAAGGAAGGGGCGGTCAATTAGCTATTTAACAATGTGCGACAATTTTTGAAATTACGATTTTACAGAAGGCTAATAATAATTATTAAAATATATAAAGCGCTCATATATTTGAAGCTGCCAGTTAAAAGTTCTTAGCCTGTTGTGAAATGAGGTTTTAGAAATCTACCTCTGCAAGTACTATACGCAATTTGCAAGACTGAAAAAAAACCCACGTCATTTTTGGGTGAACGTTGAAATAAACGCAACCAAAAGTAGGTTTTCGAAAAGTCTAACCGACGCCATCCAATTTAGGTTATTCATGGCTTGGGATTTTTTCATTATATGATTTTAGACTGCAGAATATGTCGTTTCAATACTGGTGTTATAACATTTACTTAAAGGCGGTAGCCCGTAATGTTTTTTTCTGTTTTCTAAGCATTTTCAAAGTTTAGGACCCCAAAAATATTTACTAAATTTGAAGTTTAGATTGTACCTATTGTAATGTCAGTTTAAATGGCTGTCCTAAAAACACAAAAATTGCTGGTTAGAGAATATTACGGGAATAAGTCATATTCACCGGACTGAGTTAATATGTAATGCTTAATGCAGAATAACGGTCGAACTCACAAATAGGGCAGCCAATACTGTCAGCAGCCGTATAAGTTAAGTGTAAGCAGACGTGATCTAGATATCTCAAAACTAGTCAGTAATACCATTTCAGATTAATTATCCAATTATCCAAAATTAATGTTCTTTTTATTTAGTTTGTCAGGATTGGTTGGCTGCAATATTAAGATGGTAACGGTTAGACATCAAAGAATTTGCGTATATTACAGAGAAGTTGTCACAATGTTAAGGGATTTTTGCAGTGATCGACTATATTTTCGTGCGAATAGGATGCGATGAAAAATTATCTATCTAGTCATGAGATTAATAAGCTTTATTAAACAAATTATTAAGTATCGATAGGAAAACTATTTTATACGACAATGTAACATAATGTCTCAACGCCATACTAATGTTGTATTTATCAGTGCACAAATTATGGTTCCTGACTAAAGTAAAATCGTGTGCTTTCTTTTTAGAGTCCGACATTTAATTATTAGCATATTCGTTGTGGGTGTATTTTTCGGACAAGCTTTTTTAGAGAGGATATGAAGTTACTGCGAAAAATATTATTTAGAGGCATTGCATTAGGTAATAAAAGTGGTGCCTTCAATAGGTTCCACAAAGATTCAAGGTGCCACTCATGCCCAAGTTGTAAGTTAACTATATATCTCTAACAAAGTTGTATCTAAACAGTTTACCTCTTACTTTTTATTGTACATTTTTGTATATTAATTAATGTATATAGTACAGAAATCTATGTGTATTTCGCCCTGACTGAATCTACTTTAAAAAGGAATAATCGCTACCGATTATTTCAGCATCTCATTGACACTGAGAGATAAGTTAGGTTGTATGTTTATATAGTCATGTTTGCTTTAAAAAAGTATATAATGCAAAAATTTTTAATTTATTGTAAATATATTATATTAAGACAGATTATTCCGCTTCTATTTAACGACATAAAAAACTAGACTAAGGGTACAGTGTAAGAATAATGTCTCCCCTCTAGTCCCTGCTATAGGTAACAAATCCAAAATTTCAACAAAACAAAATAATATGTGTAACGGATAGATGTTTTAAACAACCAGTGAAAACTATTTAGTCGCTTTTGGAATAACTCTTGGTTGTTACGGGTCTCTCTGACAATTAATTCTTCCATTGTAATATTTCTCAACTTTTTTGTTATTTTTGTCAGTATTAAGTAATCTTTATTTAATTATTGTTTAAGTTTTCAGTATTGATTTGGCCTGCTATATATTATCCTCATACTGGTAATGCCATAAAACTTAAAAATATCTGTTTGCTTCTAAATGTACATATATAACACAATGTTAACTGTTACTCTATAAACTATATTTGGCAACGCCTATACCGAAACGGCGTAGATTTGAACGCCATCTGTAATCAGCGTAACAACTATCCAATGCCACACATTAGGCATGGGCGTGACCAAAATTATAACCAACAAATATTGTGCTTGGTTCAAAACCTTAACATAGTTACTCAAGCTTGTGTTCTATTTAGGAATATGTAAGAAATTGCACTTCTTTTTTAATTTAGGACATTCCTTTGATATTGGTTGTAAATAAATTCGATTCTAGAGCAGGAAAATTATGTTGTAAACATATCAAACCACAACACAGAAGTCGTATCAAACGATAAAATGGTAGGGATATTTTTTTATTTTAGATTGCATTCTAATTTTAGATACCTCTGGTAGCCAAGTCTACCAAGCCCTATAGACTGTAGTCGTTTGAGTTACACAACGCGAATCTGGTAGTTTTTTTTAGAAAATGTCAATGTAATATTTGAGTAAACTGATGTATGTACAAGTACAATATTGTAAGTTACCACAGAAACCAGTGAAATAAAGTAAAATTTCTAATTGAATGTGGGTATTATTATAATATAAAATACTAATATTCCTGTCCAAAATAAGTGCTTAATATCTTTTTTCTACTCTCTATTTAAAAATACCCTTAGATTATGCATTCTTAAGCATAAGTAAAATCACTGCCCTTGTTTTTCCATAACATAGAGATGTAAGGGGAAGGCGTAAATGCAAAACAAACCCATCGACGCAAATATTTCCTGCAGCTCCCTACCTGGAAATCTCCGCATTTTTTTTATTTACCGGTAAAAAACCGTACATCTCCAATTTTGCCCCGTTTTAAGCAAATCACACTCTTGTTCCCTATTTTTTTTATTATATTTTGGCACTTCAAGCTTTAAGTAAGGTACAAAAAATTTAGAAACACTGAAAAACATGGAACTACCCGTGTTTTGGGAATGCAACAGAAAAACCAAGGTAGCAGAGGCTCGTCAAAGTGATGTCATTGTCAAGTCATCAGTGGCCGCTACTCGTCAGTGGTCCGAAAAACACGTCAAATTGACGTCAAAAAATAAGAGGCCTTATTAACATCACAAAAATGACCCCCGAATGTCGTCATAAAACCATAATGTTGGAGAATATACAGGGTTATTCATAAATGATTTTTTTGATGCGATAACTTTGCGGTATTCCTTCCGAAAACGTACGAATAGTTGATTTTCTTAATGACACTTTCTTTAATTCCATCAGGATCTATCTGTAAGCTGTTAATACGCAACGCCTTTTTTTGCTTGTCACGTGTCAGAGGCATGGATTACCTTAATAAGTTATTATAAATTCCTAAAGGAAATCGAGCGACAAGTTCCATTCAGTCATATTAGGAACTTGTCAGAAGCCATTCTGTTAAAAATTATGATAATTTATATACGCTGTTTTCAAAATAAACTGAAATCGGCCGAACTAGCTACACACGCCCAAACTTGCAGAGAAAAGGGAAAACCAAAAATGCTATGTGCCTTTGTCCAAATCACCCGAGGCACCGGCGACGAGCACCCGAAAGCGGCCGAAACATTTATCCAAATAAAGAGAGAGGTTTCGACGAAGACATACAGATACAAGCGCTTTAATGCAATCTCAATTTTTTCATACTTTTTATCCTGATAACTACTTAGACAACTTTTACTTTTTGATTCTTGGGTATGCTAGGTAATAGCTGACTAACTTTTAGCATAATCCAAAATGTTTTAATTGACAACCATATCCTCAAAATAATCGCAGCTGAAGTATTGGATAAAAATATTGATAAATCATATTGCTTATTGAATAAATTTAAAAATCATCAACAATTTTAGCTGTGAGAACAATTGGGCACACGTATTTATTAACCTTTCATGATTCGTGATAATCGCCGTATGCAATTTTCCGAGTAAAAGGTACCTAAATACAATTTTACTACGACTGCAATGATTTATTTAAAATAATTGAGAACCTTTAAACAAAGACATTTATGATAGGTTTGGCTCTTTGATTAATTAAAATGCAACTGATCTGTTAAGCTGAGTCACTGTAAATATTATTAAATAGATGTATTTTAAAAACATTGTAATGTAAACAAATCATAATTATTCTCTACCCAAGAAAATGCTTTAACCACGTAAACGCTTTGCCGGCCTCTCTCCCGCCCCGGACGCCCGATACGATTTGGACAAATGAACATTTGGAAAAATACGGCTACCTCCAGACAAAAGCCTGAAGAAAATCCGCTATCTGTTTTAACGCAAGCCAAACCTTGACTTTCGCGACAGACTCTTAAGCAAGTCGACTGACCTAGTCTGTACAAGCAATGTCAATCGACTGCATGTGCGTGGATAGCAGCCTTAACTTTTGTCAGTTCTGACGGTCACGTCGTTCACTATTCAAACCTAAATTCACCAATAAAGATTTAACAGCTTGATAGGTAACAGACTGATGTTATCAAGCGGTTACAAACCGAGTGGCACTTTCTAAGTCAGCTGTTAAATCAAAGTTCCCACATAGACATCAAAATTGTTAAGCGAGGTTGTTGCCAAATATTCAATTCTCATTTCTTAGATCGTATTCCTTCTTCCCATTCGTTCTGCTCCCAACTTGTGCATATTTTTGGTTTTTAATTTTCAAAATAGTTAAAATAGCTCTTGTCGATCCCACAACACGATTTTACTTGATCAGGTCATGTTGATGGAGAATTGGATCCTTCAATACAATATATAAAGATTTTGTGCCTGCAAGAATGAGTGAGATGTCTCATAAGAGGCCCTAAAAAACAATTGGAGCTGGAAATGACGACTCGCCGAATCCAGGGCCAGGGCATATCAATTATCTATTTTGATCATAATTTTTAAGCGCCAACATTGTTTTCGCGTATAGTCTTACTACTTCCTTGTTACAATAATTAAATAAACACTACCACTTTTTTTATGTCTTACATTTTTGCTCAGGCAAAGTATCTGCCTAACAACATCTTTGAAAATTTTAATTAATTTTTGTCCCATTACGTTATGTTTATGCCTTATTTTGTAATAATTGCGACCTTTTCTTTGGATTTTAGATGTTGGGATTTTGGCTAGTTACAAAATTAGTTAAAGTTACACAATTTTCCTAATTTGTATAAATTCCTGATTAGATAGAAGAAATTTAGACCGAAATAAGCTATCTTCTGAATGTCATTTGGCGACCACAGTTAAAAGTTATCTTTGTACTACGTATGTAAACTGCACAATTACACATTTCAATACATTGGTCATTCCCTTCAAAACATTTTGGATGTGAACAGGCCCCTATACATACATACAATCTCTTCTTAAAATCGTTCCCTTCCTGACGGGGCCTCTTCATCAATGCACAGTGGTCCCGTTTTATGTGACATGCGGTCATGAAATTCTCGCGCTAATGGGATATTTTAAATATGGCATTTTTGTGCATATTTCAACTATTCCAAGACAAATACATATTTTTAGATTTTAATATTAATAAAAAAAAACTTCACATTATTTTAATAAAACACATAAAAGTGAAAACTAAACTAATATGGTACAATTAAGTCTAATGAATCACTATAAATTGTTCCTGAACGCTCATTATGGCTATGCCTTTGGCTAATTACTCCCGAATTGAAAATAAATAGAAATATAATTTCATAATGAGTCTTGTAATAAAACTGAAAGACTCATTACAAATAATCATTTATTGCTGTTAATTTCAAAAGTAAAATTCATTATAAAAAGAACTTTTATATCATTAAAAAGAGGGGTACCGGATTACCATTTTATAATGAGTTGTCGTGTTGCTTGATTTAACTGTTATTCTAATTTTAATAAATCAAAAACTTCAGGCAATAAAATGGACTTAATGCTTTTAAGTAATTTTCTTAACCTAGAAATAAAAGTTTCGGAATTTAAAAGCATTCGATGAAGAAGATCTGTGTTTGTAAGAACACGAGACATTTTTCTTGTATTTTCAATAACTTAAATTTTTATTTGAAGATTCTGCAGCTTCTTTCGAAAGTTCACCTATCGATAGAAGTGCGTTGTCAATAGCTTTACCACAGATATCACGGATAATTTTTTACAAATTCTTTTGCTGTTTCTACAGCGTATTTCTGATATTTTGCAGAATTAATTTTATAGCCAGAGCCCAAAGCCGGCAAAACAATACATCGCTTGATAAAATATTTATCCAGACCAGTTATTTCAGCTAAAACTTCACAACTTGTAAAAACTCTTCTCGCAGTATTACCATCGTTTGATGTCCCCCTTCCTCCACCTCTCGGTTTATCTATAATTATTATTATTTTTTATTAATTTCATTTTGCAATCCAGCTTGCCACTTTTTAAAATCTAGCTTAAAATATTCAAAAAACCTAATCCATGAGTGAAGGGGAGATAAACCAAAACTAAAATTGTCAGTATCTACAGTTTTGCTTAAACAAACCTCAATATCGTTCATTTCTTTAGGTGTAGCATTGCAAATGTAACACCTACTTGACGATCTTTCCACTAAGGAGCAACATGCTTTACTGTCAACCATTGTCAATTGTACAGAATGTTGAACCTTTTCTCCACGATCGCCATATTTAAAGATTATTGGATTCAAATTTTTAATTTTGTCTTCAAAATGCACTTCTTCTTGCAAAGAGAGTTCTTTAGTTTCCTTGACAAACTGATATCGCATAATTCTGCAAAATCGGGTGGAGGATTCTTCCACACAATAACATTATCTAAAGTTGCTGATTGACAAACTAGTTGGAGAGGAACATAGGATGTCACAAACAGGTTTTCATCGCTGGTATTTGCATCAGAAAACTTCTGCTTGTATTCACTATGCCCTGAACTACCGTCAAACCCCCATTTTTTTATTAACATTAAGTCTCCTTGGAGTGGAAGAGTTGACAAAAGGTCTTTTTCTGACTCAAGAATCCGATTAGCCGAAGGATAGCACTTTTTCTTTGCCTCCAGAATTTTGTGATAGGAAGTGTCACATGATCTTATTATATCAATCCCATATACCGTGATGGCTTTATATTTGTTTTATACTATGCTGTACTTTTGGATAACATGATCTAAGAAAACTATGTAAAATAAAAGTACTTTGTTACCGGGTTGCGCTACGACCAGGGCTCTTGATCATCAGGGACCTGCTGGATTTCTGCGACATCATTTAGCAGAATAGGTTGGGCAAGCGGAAGTTCACAAATTTCTGTCATGTGAAGCCATTCCTGGTGCTTAACTACTAGTTTTGATCTAGAACTAGAAGTTTGCCTCCAATACTCACTGAACTTCCTACAAAGATAAGAGACACGGTTTTTCAAATTGGAAACCTGAATCTCTCTATTGGGTACAGCAGTGGTCAACTCGGCTAAGATTTCACGGATTATTTCCAAATTTTTGTCTGGTTTCTTGGCTAACCAAGTATTAAAAAGGTACATCCTCGTGAAGGTGCATTTGACTATTTGATCTGCAACAAAAGAAAAAAAATAACGCTACAATTTTTTGTGTGCACATTTTTTTTAGTGTAAAATTGATAAAAAGAAAAGATTGGTAAACAACTTTAATAAATCGGGCCCGAAAGTGCAAAAAATAGCATATGTACCAAGTGAGTCAAGTTTGTTTTGTCTCTGGGCGAATTGTAGCCCGAGATACAAATTTTTCAATTCGGGATACACAGTGACATTGTAGTCCCTAGATCAGTGGCTCTCAACCTTTTTGGGATCACGGAACACTTTTAAGTGGTCTCGATTTTGGCGGAACACCATTATCATAAAATTTGTAAATCTAATGTAAATCACACAAAATAATTGGAAGATTAATATTTAATTGAAATAAAGATATATATTACATGGTAACTTATTTTAATGAGAAATTTGCGCTTGACGACCTTTACAAATTTCCTCAAGGTTGGGTCTTATGTAAGAGAGCGCTACTCTCATTTCTTCTTCTAAATTGGTAAGTCTTTCTCTTTTTTTGCTTTTAATATTTGTTAGAGTTGAAAATCCAAGTTCGCACAGATAGGACGTCGAAAAGAGCAACAAGATATTCAACGCTCGTTTTGCAATAAATGGATGTTCATTCTCGATGGAAATCCAAAACCTTTCCACTCCTTCTTCTTTGAATTTTAGTTGTAACGTTCGATCCGTTGATATATTAATAAACTCATCTGCTTCCTGAATAGAAAAATCTTGGTTCATTATATCAAATTCACCAAATGGATTTCGCGCCCAATCAAAGTCTTCAATATTAAGAGATGGAAAGTAATGAGTTATTTTGTCTTGCAATATTGACAAATGCTCTGCCACATTTGAAATCATTTCGTTAATGTTAACAATATTTTCCGTTGCTAATAACGGAAACATATCAAATTTGCGATTTTGAGCAATACGATTTTTCCAAAGCAAAAGCTTTTTCTGGAAAGCTAGCAATTTGTCTGTGGATGTCAGAATATTTTCATTTATTCCTTGAAGAGATGTATTGACTGAATTTAAGTAGCTGAAGATATCGGCTAAATATGCTAGCTTAGTACACCATGCATCATTTTCCAAATATTTTACGTATACATCATTACCCTCTTGTCTAAAAAAAACTAGCAATTCCTGTTTCAACTCATGAACTCGGGTTAGCACTTTTCCTCTTGAGAGCCACCTCACTTCAGAGTGCAAAAGCAAACATTCATATTTGGATTCCATGGTGTTACAAAGTTGTTTGAACATACGGGTTTTTAATGGTCTCGATTTAATATAATTCACCATATGTACGACTTGTTCCAAAACAGACTTTAAGTTTGCTGGTAGACTCTTCGAAATCAAAGATTCCCTGTGCAGAAAGCAGTGAGTAGAGACTATATTTGAATTTATTGCTTTAACTCGACTACAAAATCCCTTAATACTGCCACGCATGGCTGGAGCTCCATCAGTACAGATTCCTGCGCAATTTTCCCAGGATAATTTCCATTCTTCCAAATAAGATGATACTGAATTAAATATGTCTTCTCCAGTTGCGTGACCAATAAGTTCCTTGCAGAATAAAAACTGATTTATTATTTCAGTGTCGTCAACAAAGCGAATAAATCCGATTAATTGGGCTTTGCCACTTATGTCAGTGGATTCGTCAATTTGCAGCGCAAAATTTTTTGTACTTAATTTCGCCGTCACTGCGTTCTCTATAAAACCTGACATATCTATAATTCTTCTTTTTATCGTATCGTCCGAAACGGGAATTTTTAGGACGTCTCGCTGCGCTTCATTGCCAAACATAATCTTAACAATTTCTAAACATGCGGGCAAAATTAGCGATTCTGCGATATCATGCGGCTTTTGCTTCAATGCAATTAGTTCTGCCACTTTATAAGAAGCGATTTGCGCTTTATCCGAAATTGTAACGCTCTTTCGAAAGCATGTTGTTTGCAATTCTTGATTTTTCAGCAATCTTTCGAAATAATCTTTACCTTTCGAAGTTAGACAAGAATGTTTTGTTGAAAGGTGTCGCTGTAACTTAGCTGGGACCATTGCACTGTTAGCCAATTTTTCACCACATACAATACATCTCGGAATAGGAACATCTTGACTACCGCTCCATGTAAAACCAAACTTCAGATATTCTTCCGAATAATGCCGAACTGATTCGGATATCTTTTTACGTTTATTTTCGGCATTTTTGTTGCCTTGCATATCTCCTTCAATTGAAGAAGACCTGCTTGTACTCGCCCCAACATTAACCTCACTTTCAGTCTTTCTTTTCAAAAATTTGTCCATATTTCAGATTTAAAAGTCTTGTATAAATGCTAAAATAAGCAACTAAAAAAGATAAGAATACTGTTAAAACTACACAACTTGCATTTCATCTTACCAATTTCCAACAATATAAAATATATATATATACAATAAAAAACACACTCACGAAAACTCGATATTTATATTAAATTATGGCTGAACCGCAGATCGAAATTGCGCTTTTGTTATTTACGTACGAAGAAAGAGAAACAGCACGAAATCAACACTACGTAGCGCTCCCTGCGTTATCGAGTACACTAGAAATTTAGTGGTATTCCCCGGAGTAACTCCAAACGACGTAACTGCGTCGTTCGATAATTACACTGTTAATATTATTGACTGTTCCGCGAAAATTTAGAATAATATTGAATATTTTTGCTAAATTTCAAATAATTAACAAAACTATGTAGTATTTATTTTATAGTAATAAAAAAATTTACTGTTTCTTATTATATTATATTCAAAATTTTCGCGGAACACCTGGGACAGCTTCGCGGAACACCAGTGTTCCGCGGAACGGCGGTTGAGAACCACTGCCCTAGATATATATAAAGCACTATAACAAAAACAATGATATAAATAATTTTTTTAACAAAACGTTACGTTGATATTGCTATTGGAAAATACGTGCATTTGAAGCTAACCTTGAAAGGATAAGAATATAACTGTTTCTGACACATCCGGCGACATCGCATCTTACTCGGTTTTAAAGTAGAGGTTCCAAGCATTTCATCAAGGTATATAACTTGCAAGTTATCGACATCTAAAGCATTTGAAAGTTTACATGTATTAACGTTTAAAAAAAAACTAAAAAGGGGCAATGGTGGGTCATTAAAAAAAAAGAAATATATATTAATTACAATAATAATTCTAAATAGTAAAAATACATACCTTGAACAGCAATATCCATTATGGCACCACTTGTTTTCAGTTTTTAGTGTGAAACTATATAAATCCAGGTAGCAACACACACGAAAAAGTTCACTGACCTCCGTAATACAAAAGGTGCACAATTACGTTTGACGAACGAAATCCTAGTGAGGGACTAGTTAACACCGGATTTTCTTTTATAATAATCATAACTAGACATTTCTGAGAAACTTAACAAGTTTTTAGGGCAAAATAAAATTATGATCTTTTTGGGTACATGATCACAGTGCACTGCTTGAATCAGAATTGGAACTATTCAACAAGTTGTGAATATTAGCTCAGTGCATCTAAGAAAAACGCATAATACGCCGACAAAACTCAAAATAATTTAAAAAAATGTTCAAGGAAAACAATTTTACTGGACTAGAACCAACTTATTGATTGATTAGAACTTCCTATTATGATGATTTATATTTTTTTACATTTACACAGCCAACTTTAAACAATACAAAAAATTTGCCAGTGTGTCTGTTCTATGACATTCACTTTTTACCAACTCCTGGCGTGGCATGCCATCTCCAATTTTGAATGAGAGGAGTTTATCATTCATGATCACAAACTTTCCTCCCACCATACCCATTACAATGGTGCTAGGGAGTATTGTTTAGTTGCAGAAATAAACATCATTAATTGCAAGATGAAGCTACCAAAAAATCACACCATCAATTTTGAAAATCGGTTATTTATTAGTTGCTAAAATTATGAAATTAAACAAATATTTCGGCTAGACATTAATGGTGAAAAAAGCACTGACAAAATGCGTCACGAATTGTGACGTGAATATATTTTTACTCCGCAACTACATGGGCCGGCCCATACCACGACCCATTTGGGGAGCTTCCCCCGACTTCTCATTCTTGATGGTTTCATCTACCGACAAAATTAAGCACGCCGCTTCTGTAGCGGCGGTTAATGCGTTCACTTTAATAACCGCGGGTTCCCAAACGCAGGCCTCATAATTGTCGTTGATATCCTCCTGATTGGTATCGACGCCATACCAGCAATGGCCTTGGGCGTGCTTCTGCCGTAACTTGTTCAAGATATTCGTTGCGTCGAATCCAGCATTGTCGCACAACTGCCTCGGAATTATTTCCAATGCTTTAGCTATGGCGTTAATCAGCAGTTGCTCTTTGCCCGCGATCGTTCTGGAATAGTCTCGTAACATTTTCGACAATTCCATTTCTATTGCGCCGCCGCCAGCCACTACTGCGTCGTTTTTAATCGTTCGTCTAACGATCATTATGGCGTCGTGCAACGACCTCTCGGTCTCTTCTAAAAATTGTTCAGCTCCACCCCTAAGGATTATAGTGCAAGTTTTTGCATTGGGGCAACCTCGGAAGAAGTTGAACCGTTCTCCCCCCACTTGGCGCTCCTCGAATAAATCGCACCTTCCTGGAAATAAAACGATTATTTGCAAAATTGGGAACAAAATAATTTGAAGAAGAAAGCACATACTAATGGTGAACGTGAGAGATTCATTTAGTGTAGTCACCAAGATTATCATTCCCCTCGCTCCACCAAAAACTGATCTATCTGGTAACTTTTCAACTTTTAACTCATTCCTTTTGGTAAGAGTATTTTTTGGTAAAACTGTTCGGCTATGTTTAGTTGAAAGCAAAAATAGGTAATTAAAAAAGATGTAATGCATAATGACTATGAAAATATCACTATGACGTTCTACATATTTTTTTAGATGAGTGGAAGGGATTGAATGAGAGTACCTATATCATTCTTCTTAAGGAAATTTAGAGAAAAACTTATGAAATGACAAAAAATATATACTTCTTTATTTTTTTCATTTAGAAACTTTTCTCTCTTATGATTTTTTCATAATCATTCATTTGAAAATCTAAAAAAATATTTTAGTTGTTGATTATACCAATATTAATCCATTTATCAATGTCAATAGCGTTGAAAATATCTGCCTTGCTTACTTATTTATGTTCCCAAGAAATTTCTGCGGTATTACCAAAACATTACAGGAGACAAAAGTTTCTAAATAAAAAATTAAATATATATATCATTTGTCATTGCATACGTTTTTCCTTAAATTTAGTTATGAAGAATGATAGGGGTGGTGTGTAGTCATTTAAAAAAAAAATAAAAAATACAGAAAATGTTTTTATAATGTTTTATTGCTCTATCTATTTTCGTTTGTAAGATAAAGAATAATGTTTTCATTTGAGTTATAAAGTTTTTCCCATTTGTTTTGAAACACCATATATGTAATTCTTTTAGTGCTAAATAATTGTAATAGATTGCAGGCCGGCCATGTCAAAGTTTCTCATAGCTTAAAAATGAAACTAACCAAAACTTTTATTTAAACTATTTCAGTGCATAGATATTTTATATTTGTAAACACTAGTTCAGGCAATGCAAAGCATAACATTTTTGACAATAGCATAACAGAACACATTTCTCATCACTCTCTAATTACATCAGAAGTTTTTATTATAAAATTTTAAGATGCAACAAAATTAAAGAAAAATCCAAATCTGGCAGAGTAACTCCGACTAATTATCAAAAATTCAATTGCAAATAATTCATTCATGAAACACAAGGCGCAGTTACAATATCAGATAGTAATACTTACCTAATACAGAATCGTTGATATCCTGAACAGTTGTCAAAACTGCACCACCACATGCTTTCAGAGTTCTTTTAAGGTCATCATCTGGCACACGTCCTGCACAAAACATATCTCTATCAGCAAAATATTGGGTTGCCACATCACCAATAGGAAGTTTCGACAAAACCACATTTGCTCCGGATTCATGGATTTTCTTTAGCTTATTGTAAAGAATATTCCACTCAGCATCAACTATTTTCTGATACTCTTTAACATTGTCCACTCGAACTTCTGCATTACTCCGTTCAGCTTTTAATTCCAGTTCAATGTTGAGCAAAGCAATTTTGCATTTTTCATAGATTTTTGGTTGCATTTCAAAGCCAGCATATGAGAAAGTTTTTTTAAAAGCCACGCCAGCGACCAGCATTGAATCTTCTAAACCGCCACCTTGTACCTTTTTAATTCCAATCATATCAAGTGGTAAAAGATCATCTAATAATAATACAGCATCAACAATCATTTTAGAAAAGAATCCTCTTTGTTGATTTATAAGTTTAGAACTCATAGCTGTGGCGGCGCACTTTTCTAGCAAAGAACGAAACTCTTCAGCATTGGCTTTGTTAATTTTAACAGAAATTTCACTGATTTTCTCAAGACAAAGTTGTAGAGATTTTCTAACAGCACGAATAATAATTCTAGGATGCACTCCTTCTTCAACATATGACTTTATCTCCTTCAAAAATTCCCCGGCGAGCAATACTACACTGGTAGTTCCGTCCCCAACTTCTGCATCTTGTGACTTGGCAATGTCGACAAGGGTTTTTGCTGCTGGATGAACAACATCAAGAAGCTTCAAAATAGTCGCGCCGTCGTTTGAGATTGTAGCTTTATGGGTTCTGGAGACGATTAATTTATCCATGCCTCTTGGCCCCAAAGTAGTGCGAACGGCATCCACAACCAACTGACAAGCGTTAATATTGGAAATGAGCTGAGCCTTACCCTGAGATGTATCAGTCCCTTCCTTTAATAGCAGTATTTGCGGTTGCATCATTTTGCTCGATTTTGTACAAAGTTGTTAGAAAATTTAACTTTTTTATCCAGGTGCTACCCAAAAGCATGAATACTTAACCGTAAATAATTCTTCTTCAACTACGTTCCACTGTTACGTTGAAACATTACCAAGGCTATTCGCTCATTCCCGACTTTCGCCATTCAAGTAGACTCCGGTGATTATATACATTTTATTAAATTTTTAAATCAACGTAGTAAGCAATACAAAAAAAACGTTTTCCTGAGCAACTCTCCGAAACGTAGACGAACGAAACTTGCCATAACACAATACAAACACTCCACGTAAACTTTGCAAAGATTTCATTAATAATCTGACGAGCATGGATATAAAAACTCCAAACAACCACAGAAATAATTCCATACAAATTACAAATCATTACATAAACACAAAGCTCCAAAAAATATTTTATCAATTTAGCAACCGGTTCAAAGCATTTGATTTTTGTTAAGTATTTTCGATGGATTGAATGTATTGGTTTGGCAGTCCCAGGTCGTGAGAATTGCGGTGGAATTTTCTGCATCGGTTGATTTATTTGAAAATTTTTAAGAAACTGGATGAGTGTTGGCATTAAGGTATGAAAATGCCTATACCTACAGGGTGGCTGACGTGATCGGGGCAATAGAAGTAATTCTCGCTGCAGAATCCCTTGTATTAGTTTCAAAAGAGTTGAATTGAGTGGTTTTTGTTTATTGTGAGTTTTGTGAACATTTTAAAAACCAAGCTGTTTATGTCATTCACGCCGGTTGGAGGTCAGATGTGCTCGGATGGTCCTCGGTGGAAGTCATTTTTTTTAGATCGGTCCAGAGTATAAATAGACGGTAAGATTTTTGATGAAAATGTTTAGTTTTGGTAAATTACCAACAAAAATTGAAAAAATGCTCGACGGTATTCTGAAATGGGCGAATAATATTGACAGTAATACCCATGGTTGAATTGAATTGAATCTAGGTCCATTGACTAAAACTAAGCTCTTTATGCCAATATCAACTTTCAATTTGCAATAATTTATCTATGCGACTAACCTCCAATTACCTCAAACATTATAACGAAATTTGGTGGTTATTTTTGGAAATGGATTTGTGGAATCAAAAAGACCTACCCTCGCCGCCTGTTTTAAGTTTTAAAGCTGAATCAAAAAATATAGGTTGAGATATACCATAATTGTCTACGTTCCAAATTTATTTGTAAAATTACTTTCAGATCTAAATAAATTTCGACGCACCATCATTGACGCTCTCAAACACTTTAAAAGCAAAAATTTTTTAGCTCGCGAGGCGGCAATTTTGGCCAGAACCATTTATAGGATGAAGATGAAGTTTCGAAACTCCAAGGAATTTAAAACACTGGAAAAAATAAATCGCGCTTTGAAAAACTACTACAGTGTAAACGTAGTGCGCGATTTGAAACAGTTTTTGGATTTATTGCCAAGAGAATATGACGATGAAAGCACTTATTTACCTACTAAAAATATGCTATGTTATATCCTAATCAGATTGCAGGGTTTAGCCAAAGTTATGACTAGGATTTATGATTCATGTGAAATTGCTGCAGATTTATTTAAAAAACGTTTGCTTGTCGGTCATTTTTGGAAAATTGCTATTATTGCCTATGCCATGGTGTCTAGAATTTTTATTTTGGTGAAGTTTTGTACCAAATTCATTTGTGATACGTATGGCAAACTCTATTCTTATTTAAGCTGTCTAAAGAATCCTGGTGTGGAGTGGTTACCAGAAGGCTATGTATTGCCTGCTGATTTGAGGGAATGGTTAAATGTTGCCTGGGTTTATGAAGAAGATTATGTGGACTTGACATTTGAGCCTGCTCCAAAGATTTTTGATTTCTTTGATTTGTGTGGCGACAATGAAGATGTACTGTTTTGTGATGAATATATACTTATTAATGATGATGACGAAGTTGTTCAAAACAGGGGAAGGAAGCCTAGGTTGCTCAGGGAAGACCTGATAAGTGGTATAAGAGGGTTCAACACTGATAATGATTTTGGAGAACCTATCGAAATTACTGACACAGAGGACACAGATCTAATACTTTATAAGCCAGAGGACGGTAATCATGAAATTATTGCTGCTCCTGTTGATATTGGAGAGGTGATTGAAATTCATTCTGCAGATAACGAATGTCAGCTTGGTGCTATGGAACAAATCGAAACTAGTTCGCCGGGAGTTGTGTTTGAGAATGTTATTTCAGGAAATATTGGCAATGAAATCGTAAACGAAATAGTAATTTTGGACCAGACTTCTTTAAACCCAAATGAGAAACACTTAGCAATCGCTAAACTTTCTGATCAAACTCAAGAAAGTCAATTACACATAACTGATGAAAATCAGGAAATGCTTTCAAAAGAAAAAACTAAAAGCAAAAACAAAACCTTAAGTTTAAATAAAAACAAAACAGGCAACTTCAAACAGGAAAGAAATATTTTCCAGGTAAACATGAACCACAGGCGGAAAATCCGAGGGAAACTCTCAACCAAAGTAAATCACTCAAACACAGCTAGGAATAATGTTAAAGGCGTTTGCAACTGGAAAATTGTAACCAGTACTCCTTTGAGCAAAGGGGTACAAGTTGAAAATGTGATTGAGGATAAACCAGAAATCTCTGTCATAAAGAAGAACACTCCTTTCAAATTTAAAAAGAAAAGGAATAAAAAAGGCAGAGGAAAAACATCAACCGATGTTGATACCAAAAAAGCTAAAAAAACACACAAAATACGTATAAATAAGATCACTAACACAACAACTGATATAGAGCAAACAAGTAAAAATAATAAAATACTTAAGTCAGCTGATAGTTCCTTTAAGATAGATGTTACTGAAACGAATAAAGATACAGACATACAAAAATTAAGGCCAGCAACTAAACAAAAAAAAAATGTTCGAAAAAAATTGCAGAAAAATAATGTCGCAAATATTTACATGGATACAAGTAATTTTAATTCGCCTATTCCTAGTTGCAGCAAAAAAATACGAAACAGGCAGCGTAAAAGTTTTGGGAATCAAACAAAAAAGAGTGGTATCAATTATTCAGATTCAGATATTAGCAGCAAGTGGGAGTCCAACAGTTACTTTAAACATTCCACTTTAAGGTTAGGCAGTTCCATAGAATACTCTAATTGCCCCAGTCTAATATTGATTAATAGCACTGATGATAATCTTATGAAAAACAATAAAATAAGCAGGGCAAGCAAAAATATTAATGACATACGGAAAAAAACAACTTCCAAAAAGGTCTTAATAAAACGTAAAGCTGAATTGAATAAAAATAAATCAAATGGAAGAAAATTAAAGCCCAAGAATGTTAGTCAAGATCAAAGTGTGTTTGTAGTATCTTTAACATCATCGAAGCCAAGCTTGTCAAGTAGTCCTAGTCAACAAAAATCAGTTGAAACTAATTTTTGTAACACTATTGGGAGGAAGAGGACTCGCCTTGAACAAAGGCCCATTTCAGATAGACTTGGGAACAAGAGACAGAAAATGTGAAAACCTAAATCTTCAGCTTTTAAATACTGTAAACAAAAAGAAATAAACTATAATTTCTTGCAATAATGATTTTATAGATATTTTAAATAATTTGCAGAAATACCAACTTAAAGTTACAGGTAAATTTATTACACTAATAGTCTACACAATTTTTAAAATTACTCTGATCCTAAGGGTAAGAGGTTTTCACCAATATGAACCCCATTGTTTCCAAGAGTAATTAAATGAAGAGTATTTTATGGTTTCTGCGTGCATAAACTGCTTTTGACTGAAATCCGTATTTTCTGATATCTGAATAATGCTATTGGGAACTGGTTGAATAAGGTAAGACTATTGCAAGAAAATTAAAAATTTAATGCTTGGTTAGTAATATGTATTAACAATATAAAAAGCGATCTAACAATACCTTCAACAAAAACAACATGGCTTCAAGATTCATCTTTAATTTTTTTGACGTCTTTAATTATTTCGTCCAGTTTATACAGCTCTTTTAAAGATACTTCGCCAGTACCTCTCTGTATCGGTTTTGGTTGACTGGGATGTGGTTTCCACCCTAACATGTTAATAATTTGAAATGTTGCTGGCACACTATTTTCCCCTGTCTCCGAGTCACATTTTCCATAAAGCTGTTGATAAATTGAGGCTGCAGCAAATTGTATTTCCCGGCTTAGATGCAGGGACCGATTCAATGCTGCATTGTTTTCAGCCATACCCTTTAAATCCCACATTAACTCGAACATTGTCGGGTAGTTCACCACAATTTCGTCAGTATCAATCGTCAGCATACTAAATCCAGCATTTGTTAATAAGCTTCCAATATCCCTTACTTCTGTAAAGGGTGAAATGTGTGGTGATATACCACCTTTTCTTTCAAGTTCAGCTAATTGCAAGGAAGATCTCAACTCATATAGAGTATCTCCTCCAAACACTGCTGCCAAAAATACTCCGTCCTCTTTTAAACTAAGGAGAATTTTTTTGAAAGCATTTGGCAGATCATTTACCCAATGTAAGCTTAGACATGAGATTGCTAAGTCTAGAGAGTTAGATTCAAATTCTATGTTTTCTTCATCTAATACCTGCTTCCTTACTTTGATTCCCTCCTGAACCTTTACTGAATTTAGATTTCTTTTGCTTACATCGCAGAGTATTAGTTCTTCTATCGAGTCTGGGGAAATATGTTTTGCAACATAACCCCTGTTGCATCCTATATCAGCGGCCAATTTAAACTTTCTTTTAATATCAAAAAGTCTATCCGCCAGGCGAAAACCAATTTCATCTTTAAGATAATCATATAAATTAACATCGTCAGCCGAAGCTGCCCGCTTCCTCTGTAAAGTTTTTGTGTTCCTATCAAAAATGTTTACTGAAATTTCATTTCTTATGCTATATACTGTTCCGGTTGATATTTGCCTCAATTTGCAACAAATGGCGCGGCAACAAAGTTTTCGCGACACTAATACTGTTTGCAACATTTTTTTTTGCCACAAAGAGAATAAAAGGCATTAAATCATAATCTGTTGTAATGCTGATTTCAAAAAATTAGAATAAAATCTATGAAAAAGATCATTATGAAATTAGTGATATTGTTAGGTTAACTGAAATTTTCATTTTGGTAGAGTGACCTATGCAGAAAAAGAAGACGCAATCAGAAATTTTCCATTGGTACGAAAAGAAGAGATTTAAAAGAGTTATATTTAAGCAGTATAGGAAGAGTTTTGCATTAACCATAAAAATGGTGATATGAATGTGATTGAATTTTAAAAGCCTTGGTTCAAAGTACCCTTGGGTGGTGCTAGTCAGATTAATTGATAAACTATGATATCACCATTCACCTGCTTTTGTTACCAAAGGACCATAAAAATATGTAAGGTAATTTGGAAAACATTATGTAATGTCAACCTTGTCTGGGATACATTAATTTAGGTTTTAAAACGGGTATCCTCTACAAAAGCGCCAAATGCAGTATTCATAGAGAAGGTGTTAGAATATCCTATAATAGTGGTAAGAGAAGAGGATGATGTAGACATAATAGGACCACCTGATCCAGTTTCAAATTTAAGACCAGTTATACGTAAAATTCTTAAGAATGAGACAGTTCTTCAGCGAAAATTTCGAGAAACTGCGGACGCGACACAAAACTGGAATCAAAAATTTTGGGCAAAACATAATACTAATTTTATAAAGGTTTGTTCCTCATTCGTTTGTGTCAATGTATAAAATATTAATTTATTCAGCTAAAAGAGGAGTTTATCCAGGCCAACACCACAGAGGAAAAGAAACAGCTTAATGCCGATGAAATGAGTGAATTTTACAAGGAATTTTTGAACAAAAACTGGAAGGCACATGTTACCTATAATTTTGAATGGTATTCTAGGAATTTCAGTTTGTTATTATTGGCACTAGGAGTCAGCATACAGAAGGCTTTACACCACCTTACCTACAAAATTTGAAGAAATATTTCTAGCGGTGCACTAGTTCTTATTTTGTTTAAGTTAATATATGAAAATCATATGAATTGTTTCATTATTTTTTGTAAAAATCAGCTACGCAATATGTTGTCTCCATAATAAATCCCCTAATACTTTTTCTGGTATGCTTATAATTGATTTGGGAAAATTCTTAATTTAATTATTTTAGCCCTAATTTGAAATTTTTTTGGATATCTACGCAGCATCTCTGTATGCTTTTCTAGACCATTTTTGATATTATGAACGCCACGCAACCAGATATATCCCTTACTTAATGTGATCACTCATACTTTTGCGTTTCACGGCCTTGTGATACAAGAGGTGCTCGTTGAAACCATATAGATACTAGAGATGCGGAGGCCCTGCCTATGCTGATAATACAAGAACTCATGAAGTAACTTTGAAAAAAATATATTGATGTCCCTTTAAGATGTGCATACGCGGAATTAAAATGTTGCTTTTAACCAATCATTTTCCGACGTTCAAAGTCGCTAACAAATTTCATATTTATTTATTACTTATGACAGTGGTATTTTTGAAAATATGCCTCGGTCTCGTTAAATGTTCTGAAAAAGCGAGTTAAGTATGTGGAAATAGCTATTTAGGAAGAAAATGGCACAAAGTGCAGGTTAGTGAGTGAAAAGTAAAGGCATGCGCGAAAATCATTTCCCACTCTACGAAAATATTAATGCCGCCTGCGGTGCTATTTGTAATCTAATAGGGTCACTATATTATCTAACAGATACATGGTTGAAACCATATGAAGATTTAATGAGATCTGAACATATTTTGAGAAAATACTGTCATTAAAAGTGCCGTATCCAAATTTATTGAGCCAGCGACCATATTGGCCGTTGAATGCATCGACTAGGGTCTCTATATTTCTGCTAGATATATGATCTAATCATATTGGTATTGATTTTTTTTTTAAACCAGTAGCATAAGGGTTTTTTTTCATAAAAACACCGACCAAAAGAAACTATTTTATCTAGAATATATTAAAATGAAAAACAACAGGTATTGCAAAACTTCTTTCTCCAACTTATGGGCGACATAAAGAATGTTAACAGCAGAGCGCAAAAATATTCCTTACTCACTGGTTGACTTTCTGAAACAAATCAAATAAACATAATGAGAAAACGAAATTTGTGGGACAAAATTATTAAGAAAGTGTAGTCCTGTGCCTCTATTCATATCATATCGTTTGCGACTTAAAAAAAATAGGTTTTGATGTGCAGTTTTGTATCACCATGTGTGGACAAGCTTGCACAGTTTGAATAATCGTTCTCAATAAAAAGGTAGAAATATTAATAAGTACATCACATTCTGCAGATAAAAATCATAATATTACCACAGGAGATCCTTCCGAACATCCGTCGCAGTACCACTTCACGTTATCTTTGTGGTTCTCTAAAAACTGCAATTCATTAGTGTTGTAAGAACTGCACGTGTAATGCATGCCCTTGTTGCAACTGCCGCTGCACTTTAATGTTTTCTGCACATCCTTGTCGTTGCTGAGTTTCTCGTCGCATTTAACACAAAAATTTCTGCTTTGATCGGCCATCGTCTTACGTTGAATCGTTTCGACTAACGGTTGGTAAACGAATAAATGCTGGCGTTGCTAGGTTACTGAATATATGAGGCGCCTTGATTTACATAAAAATTCAAAAAGCCCGCGCTTTAATAAGAAAATGTTGGTTGTGCATCTCGTCAACAAGGGATTTAGTCATAACTTTGTGACAAACGTAGTAGAACATAATTACGGATTTTACCTGAGAGTTTCGCGGAGGACTAAAAAAGAAATAAATCGAACTGTGGCAGTGGGTCTGAAAATCAAAATTCTAAATGAGCGTTTTAAAATTACAGCTCTAATGCGAGCGCGTTCTGAGTGTAACTTCCATGAATTATTAATTAGTTGTGGGTTCTACTAACAGGTTATACCAAATGTTTTCAAAATTACTCATAACTACAAAATTGGGAAACCGAGAGGCATATCTCTGCTTAAATTTACTTACCTTGAGAGTTTCTGAGTTTTTTTTAAATAGTTTTAGGGCAGCAAAACAGGATCTTGAATGCACTCTTTAGTACAAATTTTTAAATTTTACTACCGAAACTCATGTCAGTTTGTTTGTGACTCAAACTTGAATCTGAGAAGTGCGAAATGTTCAGTTTTAAATTTTAGAAGATTTTTCACCAAGATTTGCATCCACGGTGTCAATGTAGATACCTAAATTACCAATAATAGTCTTGCAAGCATATTTGATGGCAGAATCAAATTTAATTCTTTTGAACTATTAAAACGAAAAAAAGAGTACCATCGACTTATTTTATCCATTTTATTAATCACTCATCTCCAATAACAAACAGTTACCACACAAAATCAATCATGGCTTCTGAACAATCAGCTAAAAATCCCTTATAGGTTGCTCGACACTAAGGTTTAGTGAATCGAACAAATTATTTATTGTTGCACATGGCACCGTTTCGCACTGCCGCCTTCCAGCTCCTGCTTTGCAGCAACTCGAACACGAGGAGTAAAAGGATGTAGTGGTAGTCGGATTGGATGAAACTATTTTATCCATGTTTCGTCTGTAAAGCTCCTGCATTGGTTCCACATTTTCTTTGAAAGTCTGACTTGTAATCGCATTTATATTAGACATCTGAAAAGGACAGTTTTGGTTAGTTTTGGTTAGTTAGTTAGTTAATTTGAATAACATTAACATCACGTTGGTGAAGTAACAGTTTTGGTTAGTTAGTTAGTTAATTTGAATAACATTAACATCACGTTGGTGAAGTAACAGTATATCTAACGATGACCCGGCATGTACAAGGTGGTACTTAGAGCATCAGTTTAGGAAAAAAGACACTTTTTAACAATAAGTAACTCCTTTAGCTTGAACTAAATTAGAATTATTAAAATGCTTCCCTGGGGTTTATTCACCCTATGTATACATATTTTATTAAAGTTGATAATTTATCGGAATAAAATGTTTGTTCTAAAAGAGTTGTTTCATTCGATAGAACATACCAGTTAATACGTAGGTTATTACCTTAGAGCTCACAATTTTCAGTTGCTCATCCTTGTCGTGTAACATTTTCGTTAGTAACGTTTGGACTTTTTTCTGTGCATCCACTTGCATTTGAAATTCGGCAGTGGTTTCCAGCAATTTTTTTGTGGCGAATTTCGCTGCATAAACGGCCCTCTGTTTCTCTTTAGCTTGAAAATTAAAATTTTCATGAACACACACTGAGTAAGATACCCCGGCAAAATGTTCATTCAGTCGAGAAAAAAAATTATTTTAAAAGTAGGGGAGACTGGAAAGAAATCAACCTTTTATTTTTTAAAAATGAGTTCTGAGTTGGGGGGGGGGGGCATCTGATGCAATTTTTATTTTAAATAATTAAATAATTTAAAATAAATGTTAGGCTGTCTTGTCGGTTTATAGATCGATTTTTAGTTCCTCGTTCGTCATTTATTACAATTCGCAATTTGATGAGCTAAGGGTGTGAACACAGTACGTGCTTCGTTCAAATTCATGAATCGAAACTGTTACTAAAACTGGCACGGATAGAAGGCAGCAAATTATTATATCTGCCTCCATATAATTGAGTCCACGAGTAGTTTACAATAGTTCTATCGTGATCCAAAAGTCTAGGATTCTATGTAACTTCCTCCAATCCAAGTACAAATATAACAAACCATCCTTGTCAGATGACGATCCATCCAAAGATATTTGAATGTATATTATTTACCTAAGTTTTCTCTTTGGCATTCCCACTCGTTTCGTTGCTCTTCTATTTGGTTCTTTAGGTCAGCCAAGACTTTTTCTTGATGTTCGTCGTCCCCGTCAGTGTCTCGAAAATTAGCGAGCATGTCCTCAAAGTCGTCGATTTCTCGCGCCAAGTGTTTCTTCTGACCTTCTAGGATCTATAAAAATTAGATATTGTGCGAACTTGTCCTCTAAAACTCTGTCGGCGTTAACAATTTACGTAGCTGTAGTACAATATTCGTATTCGGAATTCGGTTAAAATAAATTCAAAATTTCTTTAATTCATTATCATCAGTTTTTCATTATCATTTGTTTTCCAAAAGACCTTCAATGTAAAACTCAATAATCAATATAATTTACCATTTGAACATATGTTTCGGATAGTTTGGAAAAGAAACATGCAATCCAAAAAAAAAATGAATGGTTTCTAGAATCTCGTTTGTTTTATGTCTTTAAACACTTTGAAAATTGTGATAAATTTTTTAAAATTGTTCTCAGTAAAATAATTAGTTGCCTACATTATTGATTTAATTATCTAATATCTCCATTTAGGTAATTTTTTAACGTTAATAGGTCCTACCGCTACAAATAGAGATAAAAGTTTTTATAGACTAGGATTTACAATTTATTTGTTTTTAAGATGCCGGACAGTAAAGGTGAAAATTGTTGAATTCTAGATAATTAAAACAAAAAAATAATAAATTTGTGTGACTTGTTTTTTGTTTCTGCGGGCCTACTAATTATTTGCGCGTGGATTTGAGACATGAATGTAAAATATTCAGAGAAATTTTTATTGGATATTATAAAAGGAACCGATTCATCATTCCCACAAAACCGAGTTTAAATTAAAAAATCAATGTTGCTACAATCTGAACGACCCTATCAGACGGCCGAACTTTTATATTAAACGCCCCAATCTTCTATTACCATCGTAATAAAAAAAGACGACAAAAAATATGTTAATTGACTTTCGACCTATCACGCGATATTTGGACTAATTATTTTACCTGCGTTTTCCATTCTGAGAATTGATATAAATGAAACAGTAAGGGCAGATTTTGATTTCTACCACTGATTGATCTATGTGTCGTTGGAATAAAAAAATTCTAGACATTTCAAAAAAACAGAGCCAAACAATTAATAGGTAAATATACGAAATTAATTTTTTGCTCAGTTGTTGATACCTTCAATTTCTCGATCAAATTATCTTTCTCGTCCATCTGCTTGTCTAGCTCTTTGTGCTTCTGATGCAGTTGTTCATTGATTTTCATAAGTTCTTGTTCTAGATACTTTGCGTCCGAGTGGGCTTTATTCAGTTCGTATAACCTATCTTTGACTTGATGCTGAAGCCTTAAAATGGTTTGAGATTGATCCTCGATAATTTTCTCTTTGAGCAGATGGTTGTCACGTTCCTCGCTTAGAGTTCGTCTGAAAAATCGTTACTATGAGTTGTTGTTGCCACAAGAAAGCTTTCATTAATTTAAATACAGTACCTTAATTCTTGGAGCTCCTTAGAAATGCATAAACACGCATCTTTACTGCAAGGTTCTGACAACGACCTTCGCAAATCACCCACTTCCTTCTCGAGCTCTTCACTTCTTCGCTTAAAGTTTTCGGATTGCTTTCCTAGCAATTCCAACTGTTCCTCCTTTAAAATATAAAGTAATGTGAGCGTATGCTTCAGTAGTCTCACTCGTTTAGAAAATTGATTTACAGAACTTTATATAAATGATGAACAGACGGGAATAGTTCAAGGAATGTAATTTAATTTATTTGATAATGACATTTTTTTAAAACAAATCTTTTGTAAATTTAAAAATCGTAAAAAGCGATTTGAATTGGTACCTTGGTAACTTCGTTGCGGAGTTGGCATTGTTTTAGGTGTGACTGTAAGAAGCATAGCAACATGACTGACTGACTAAAGGATAACTTCCCACTAACACCAGGTTTAATAAATTCTGAGGTCCGTGTAGTATTTTGTAAAAAAAGCCAAGTTGCAAAGTAAATCTTGCTCAAATAATGGATCGAAGATTAAATCTATTTGAAAAACGTGTATGATTTATATCATATTTGATTTAATGATATTTAATTTAAAAAATATGACTAGTCATCAGGACCAGGATATTGAAAAAAGCTAATTTGACAATTCTTGATGATTTTACCTTCGTCATTAGAGCTACGCTCTGATCCCTTATTAACATTTGCTGCTGTTTATTTATCTCCGACATTTGCAGCAGTGACACCTTGTTGTTGTTAACCACCGTCGTTAATTCGTCGACAAGGTTTTGCATTTCATTCCTACGTTTTTCGAAAGCTCTTTCATTTTGTATTATCAGTTCGTACTGTTTCTTGCATTCCTCTTCCAAACATTGACACCTACGGCAATAACAATAGTCTCTAATTGAAGCTTTTAATTAGTCAAAACTTAATTTGTCAAAGAAACTTCTTCAGGCTACAGTAATACTTTTTATAAAACTTCTGGATTCTTCCTGCGTCAGTTTTTGTTGAGTCGAACTTGCTAACATTTCACCAATCATCCTGTTGGTTATTTCAGAACTTGACTGAAACTCTGAAGAAGCCAACAGGATGATTGGTGAAACGTTAGCAAGTTCGACTCAACAAAAATCGACTTAGTAGGAATCCAGAAATTTTATAAAAAGTAATTAAAACTTACTTTTCAGAATACCGTTCGTATTGTTTGAGCTTCTTTTCAAGTTCGTCACAGTGAGTTTTGAGTTGGTTGTATCCCATTTTTTGATTGTTCACGTCAGTCAATCGATCTGACAAAAAGGACACTTGCTCCGATAAAGATCTTTCGCTTGTTTCGCGGTTTTTCAATTGCTGTTCGTAATGCTCTTTTTGCCGTTTCATTTTCGACATGATTTTCTTACAGGCGGAGTTCAAATTGCACAGTTTCTAAAATAAATCATCTTTGATTTGAATGGGTTGAGGGATTCGTGAACAACAAACACTCGAATGCAATGTTAAAAAAGATGGGTTCTTTCTAATTGAATTTTTTTCTTGCTTAATAAATTTTGGTAACCTAAGCATTGTAATAAGTACACGCGTCACTCCCCTTTCTTATCTTTAATTGCGGTTAATTGACTACGGAGTGGTTTATTAAATAATCAAAATCAATCGTTAAAAAAAAGAAATTGATATTCCCAGAATGGTTGTCGAGAACCCTCTGATCTGACGAGTGCCGTTTGAAAGGCACCCTTCTTTATGGTTGGTGGTTGTATTCAGTTCAGTATTGCTAGCTCAATAGCGTATTTCGTTAAAAAAGGAATAACGCACGCCTATTTTCCATTAAATTCTGTGGGAGGTGGGAGTAGGTCTAACTCCATAATTGTCATGGTGTTTATGTGCTGAGTTAAATGTCACATCAACCTCAAAGAGATCCAAACCATTACAATCAAATAAAAATGTCAGTGATCGAAATTGATGGCATAGTTTGAATTGAATTGAATTCACGAATGCAGGTTATAAGATCGACAAAGGTGTTTTTTTTGTATTAAATGCATTCGTTCTAATGTAAAGTTAAAGGGCAAATACTATAAAAATTACTTGTTCCAATTTCTTCACAGACGATTTATATTCCTCAGATTCTGTAGCGGACTTGTCCAATTCCTGCTTTAGGCTTTCAATGCATTCGCAGAAATTTTGGTTAGTCTCTTTCAGCGCGGAACATTTTTCGATGGTTTCTTCTAAGGCCGCTTTCATTTGTTCACACTCTTCTTCCTTCCTGTTATATTGGCGTCTCGTCTCTTCGATGGTGATCACGAGGCCGCTATTGTTCTCCTTCAAACATCTAATTGTGTCGTCTTTCTCGCTCAAACATTTACAAAATTTTTCCTTGCTCGCTTTCATCGCTTTCGACGATTTGATAGCTTGAGCGTGTAGTAAGCTGACCTTTTTTTCGTAGTCGCCGAGAATGTCTCGAGCTTTATCGACGTCTTTTCTCGAAGCTTCCAGAAGCTTTTTCTTAGCCTCCACTTCTCGTTTTAATCTTTTGTTTTCATTTTTTAATTTGACTAGTTGAAACGCTTCGTCTTCAATTTTATTTTGTGGTTTAGTGTCCGTCTTGTGTTTCAATTGGACTTTGATCCTTTCAATTTCGTCTTTCAATTCGCAAACCACTTCGTCGGTATTGACTAAACTTTGAGCTAGCTAAAACAGATCTACTGAAAGATTTTATTCACACTCGGAGGGCCTAATGCGATAATATCCAGGCGAAAATGGTCACCTTGCAATCAATTTGCAACGAGCTTTTCGAAGACATTCCACAATTCCTATTTGATGAATTCTCGTAGTACATATTTCCTGGGCAACTGAGCGTTTTCTCTATGTTCATAACCGAGAGTACGTGTCCTGCAAATTAATTAATCTGGAGGTCGGTATTGGATATTTGCATTGCTGTTTCACCTGCATTCGGGCAATGGTAAGGTGCGATGGTGGAGGCGTGTCTGCAGACATTTTTGGGTGCCGAAGTTTTTGGTAATCGCTGTCTATAATTTGGACTTTTGTTCTGTCGCGATCTAATTTGTAACTTATACAAAACCCGAAGAAGATATTTCAAATTTGTGATTTACCTAATTGGTATTTTGCTGTGATACCCCGAAAAACTGGGACATAGGCGTAGCATTTGATGGTTCGAGTGAGGAAAGTTATCAGTGGAATTGATGGTTTTATGGATGGCACACAAAGTACCGTGAGTCGAATCTTCCAGCATTATCAAGTCCCTTATTTCATTGTCAAAAGTTTCTAAATCGTTCTTGATAACCGTCTGTAAAATTAAAATTCAAGCCTCGCGTTCACATTAGCAAATTCCGATTTGACAGTTTGCAAAATTGACCGGCTAAATTTAACGATTAGTATTACCTTACACATTGTAGATTTTGAAAGTGACGCAGCTTATACTCCAAATTTAGTTCCCCGAGTAGCTTTAAAACCTAAGTTACATTTTTGGCCAGAAGCGACCTTGGCAATTTTAGAGTTTCTTGACAACTGATGACGTTTTCCTATGAATTGAAACCATTACATGTCATTATGCGGCTTAAAAATTTCTATTTTCGACGCATTTACAATAACATAAAGAGTATAAAGGAGCAGCAGCAGTAATTATGCATTTTTTCTCAATCTCCAAAGTTTATACTGTTAATAAATCTATACCACAATTTAGTATATTTATTGGAAGGGGATTGTGTACTATATCTTACCACCAGCTTAATAAGCAATTTAGCAAATAGCTCAATTGGTCTAAGTGGTTAGAATAATTCGATAGTCAAGGGTCATGGAAAAAAAAATCGGATAGGTCTTAAAATTTGACCGTGGTTGGAAAAGTATTATAAGATTTTTTTAACATATGTTTTTGGCAAATTAGTCCTTTCAATTTCATTAAAGTTTGAAGGGGGTAGGCTAACGTTTTCAAAGATGAGAAATCCGAATTTGATGTTATTAAAGTCAAAACTTGTCTTAAAGAGCACATTTTTTTACTTAAAAAACATTGCTCGATAACGACATTTCAAGCCATTGCATTGCATATTGCAGTTTCGTTGGATCTTTTTAACAACTATGTTTGAGTTGTGTGTGTGTGTGTATTAGAACATTCTTCACACTTAGAATTGAAGAAAAGGGAGAAAACTGATAATTGCACATCAAATTATTCCGTTATAATAACAATCAGTAGCAATCATTTCCATTAAACGCCAATCGATTTCTAGACCAGCGAGCATGGGTTTTAAAATCCATTACCATTCATATTGTATTGTTAAAAATCGAACATAATTGCAACGCTAAATAGACGCGCGTCTGCCTGATTGTGTCGATTCTCTCTGCGATTGTGAAACAACATCTTTTTATTTAAAAAAAAATAACCACTAACAATTATTGCGTTAAAACAATGATGCCGCGTAGTATTATTAAAGTTTCCGCAGAACGGGTCTTTTATTTCTGCCGAAGGTTAAACGTGCTGCACAGTGTGTAACCTAAAAACTTATATGCAGAGGTCCAAAATATACTGTGTGACACAGAACACCCACTAAATGGAATTGTGTGTGTTTTTTTTTTTTAAATAAAATATGATCTATGAAATTTTTAAACAAATTAACTGAAATGAATTCTTAAAAATTCAATTATTAATGGCAATACCAACCCTAAGTTACAATTGTGCGAAAAATACATTTCATAAATATCAGTAGGCCTGCTATCCTACCCCCTTCAAATAGTAAGTTCTTCAGGTTGGTCTCCTCCATTGACATACAGGGTGTTTTCAAATTGGTTGTCCATCATTAATTATGCGAATTTTGGGTCCATTTTAAAATTTTTTATTTCGTAAAGTTTTGGTTAGTTTAAATATCTGTAATACCACTTGCACCAATGGCATTTGGCACAAATGCACTATGTGTCGAGAGGCACTATTTAGTGACCACATTTTTTTTTAAATACACTAGTGGCGGGCATACGAAATTTCACATGTCTATTATGCGAGACAGTGATGGTACGCCACTGACTTCTCTTAAATTATTCTTACAATTCTTAATTTTCGCTAAAAAAATAAAAACCACTTCTCTTCATGGTTTTAACAATATTATTATCATTATTATTTTTACTTAAATAATTGTATGTTTTATTCAAATACTTCATAAAATCGAAGTAGGAATACGAAGTATGTAAACTTAAATAAATTAAATAAATGTAAATAAAGATGGTTTATTATTTATCTTGTTGTTAGGATGTTATATTATTTCATTAAAACTGTAAAAGTAACAAGAACAGTCTTCTATTTTTTTTCTGAAGGACACTAGTTGGTAACTAAAAACTAAAGTTCTTTTTGTTAACCAGTATATTATTTGTTCATAGATCATGCAGAGGCTTTTATTTTTTAAGCAAAAACTGTACATCGGATTGCAAACAATCAAGAAAGTGGTATTACAGATATAAAAAAATAGAATTTAAAGATTAAAATTTACCACCCTGTATCTCAAAAGTTAAGATGTTTAGGACATATGTTCATACGAAGTTTTCTTTTTAAAATGGACCCAAAAATCTCCTTCTGAATTATTGATATTCAATTAGAAAACACCCTGTATACTGTACAGAGCGTGCTCTGAAATTTGTCTTACTCTAGTTCGACGGTGAATTTGGTAGCGATGTAATTCTATAAGCAATCGGAACAAAATAGTTTTTTAACCGAAGAGTAGCAGTGGCAGTGTTATGGCGATGGCAAATATTATTTTTTTGTTGATGTTTTCATAGCGTTAGTAATCCAGCCCTTGGGGATTGTATATGTATATGTATTTTGTAGTTTTTAAAGACTAAAATTAATTATGTTATGATTATGATTATAAGTGATTACTACAGGAGGGTACGGGCCATACTAGCTAATTGAAAATACAGATTTATTATTTTTTTTCAAAGAAACTTCCACAGGCTCACTGAAAAAGTTTCAGTCAAGCTCTGAAGAAGCCAACAAGATGATTGGCGAAACGTCAGCAATTTCGACTAAGCAAAAACCGACGCAGGAGGAATCCAGAAGTTTAGTAAAAAGCAGATTTATCTTTTATTTCTTCAAAATATTATCCCGATTAGTAAGGCGGTTACCTATATCGTGATCTTTTATTTGGATAAGGAGGAGGTGGCTCTACATTTCCAAATTTTGCTTATATAACACTGTCATCTTTTGCAACACATATCCGATTTTAGTAAAATCTATGAACTTCCTTTTAAATTCACACTATGTCCCTCTAGAAATAATTTGCTTTGGCTAATATATGTTTTCTTTTGCTATACATTATTTAGTTTATTTTATTAGAGCAAAAGGTTTTTTTTTTCAGGCGAACCAAAATGTGAAACGGAACCAAAACCGCATTGCTGTCGTAAATTCAATATTATTTAAAACGATTAGGAAATATTTCCTGGTCTTTCGATTTCAGCTTCACTATGTAGAAGAAAAGGATATAAGACTACAATTATGGCTGAAAAAGTGTATTTCACTATTTTTCACTATTTTATACATCAATGATTATATTAAAATATACATAAGAATTAAAAGTATTGTGAGCTGAGATTTTCATTTAATCCCACGACAGAAATCGTTGCAAACCATTGTCGTCAAAGCAGGAAGCTGGGAAGGACTGACTAAACAAACACGCTTACTTCATCATCGGCCAATAAAGATTTAAATAATTAACAAATATGTATTAATGTTCGATTAACAATACACACATAAATTGACAGCACATTTTTTCTACATGTCAATAGTAATTTATTAGACATGTTTTTAAATAAAACATAAAAAAATCCGATTGTTGTTATTGACTTAATAAACATGGATATTACCTTTAGAAATGAAGAACCGTTTGGGAGAACAAATAAATATCTCATTGGTTTATGAAAACTTACAAAAAATGGCCAGGTCAAACAAACTGCAAATAAACTAAATTTTTTTAATAAACGACCTCTTCTTAACAAATTACGTCATTTGTCGTGTCTAGTAAACTTTTGCTAAAAATAACGTCTCAAATAGTCAATGAGTGCCGCTTACTATTTTGTTGATTTAAAAAAACTACGTATGATTTCATATAAAGAACGACACCGTCATCGATAAAACACGCTCTCATCAACATGGTATACAGGGTGCTCTTGTCTAAAAATCGCGTTTTTTTCTTGTCATTTGTCTGCGAAATAGTTATCCCTTTTGTATGGAATTTCGCGTGGAATTTCGTCGTTTCGAATTTATTTAAATTCATCCTCAGAATTGCCGTTAATTTTATTATTGTTAAACACATTTTGTACTGTTTATTAACTTCTATATTGCTTCTTGATCATTCGAATTCACCAATAATATATGATTCATCTGGAAACTTTAACGAGCCTGAATTTGATGTTTAATAGTTAATTATTTGGTAAAAAACCAGGGAAGTGTAGTTATTGTTTGGTTAGTTTTTTTGGAAAATATTTTCTGGTATAAAAGAAAAATATTCGTTAATAGTAATTTTAGTTATGAGCTTGATTTGGCATGAGCGGAGCGCAGAAACCCAATACGATACGTGACTAAAGCATCGGAAATATCCAAAGTGGCTTGAGACCGTGGGTAATGAAGATAAAGTCGTAGAGTGACACTTTCTGCAAAAACAATATATAGATAGATAAAATATTTTTGCCCTAATTCACATTGAAGAATAGCCTCTAATTTTCGTTGGTTGCTGATTCCTTCAAATTTTGCATTAAATGATTATGAAATGGCTTAATGTGCACGAAATATCGATTAAGAACCTAAGGCCAGAAGAGCTAAATAACCCATTTTAATTGAATGTATTCAGTAAACTCGTGGGCACCATCGGGTTTTTATAAATGTGATTAAGAGATACCATTTGCGTCATCTGCAAAGTCAGATACAAGAAAAATGTATATAAGGGAAACGAAAAATGGACGATGCAATGAAAAAAGACACTCAATCAATGTCTGAACTATTTCTGGTTTACGATGGCTAGTTGCTAGCAGCATCCAAAAAAGACGAAATTGATCAGAAATTTCGTTTTTGTAAAGTTGATCAAAAATATACTTTTGTGAAACCATGCCTTTACGCAAAGGGATCCAAAATAAATTCGTAAATATTAACCCCATTAAACTTCAGTAATTACCACTATTGCACAAGTAGAAAGCCTTGTCCCGTTTTGTAGAAATCGATGTGATTAAAATAATGAATAAGAGCTGCAAATTATTAATTTCGAAATTGCATTGATCTAATTAAACATATAACACCTGCATAATCAATCAAATACACAAATTCGAGTTTTAATTCGAAGGCTGAAAATGCGGAAATAAACTTTCCTAAATAGTCAGTTCAAAATCAAAAAGGATAAAATAACTGGTATCACAGCTCAGCTAAATAAGAAAGGACGTTTATTAACCTCTATAGGCTTAATTCGCATTAACAAACCTTTTTTTAGGAAAAACAAAAAACTAATATTGTAAGTGTTATAATTAAGTTCTAAGAAAATACTTTTTCCAAAAATTGAAAAATTTGATTTGATCGTAATGAGCGTAATGGTTCAGATGCAGCCGTTATTTTTATAAACAAAAGAACAAATGGCCGCTTGGTAGGTTTACATTTACTATCAGATGTAACGACGTATTATAAAATAATTACTATTTTATAAGATATTCAATGACTATTGCCAAGTGTGTCATGCTACCTTAGGTTCGCATCCTCAGTTGAGTAGTATTTATACCAAGATTAGCATGCGTATCGATTCATTTTGTGGGCGGTCGTAACATTGAAGACTTTGAAAAGTAAAGACGAACCTTTTAGATAGTTTAACCGTAAACGGTAGTGAACGCTAATGTGTGTGTGCCGTTTAAAAAATATGTCGTCGACTTGGAATTTTTTGCTAATGTTTCATGCCGCATTTTTCATTTATATATTTGAGGGCACAGAAGGAGCAGCCCTGCAAACGGTTGGCGTGAAAAATGCTCTGTATGGAGTTCCAGATTTGGAAGGGCCTCCTCTGATCATAAAGTCCTATCCAGCGATCGAGAATTACCAAAGCGATTTGTACGAAGTTTACATGGAACCCTATAAATATGTGAGTATAAAATATCTGCGCAAAAGTAAAGTATATTTTGTTTTTACAACATTGTACATTAAATCAATCAATTAAAAAAGCAATAATAAGTACACAAAAAATCATCCAATCTATTGCAAGAAACTTTAATAGGATGATTGACTATAGTTAATCTTGAAAAAGGACTGGTAAATTCATTATTTTTATTTCCAGTAACCGAGTTATGGAGATCTCAACTTGTGCTTCATAAATCTGCATTTTTGTTAACTTTTGAACTTAATCTTAAATCTCTGGAAATGTTGCAATGAAATTCTACAATGAAAAAAAATCTTATTTAATACTTATGCTTAATACTTATATTATACTTTCCGAGATGCAACTTGGCAAAGTTTTGGTAAAAGTGTACCGCGTAGATGTTGCATTAAATGTTAACCTTTAAATTTACTGGGAGTATCAAAATTTCAATCCGTTATATTGAAAATTGTAGAAAAACGACATAATTTTACGTATTTATATAAGCAAGCAAGGTTCCCAAAAAAAAAAATAACCAAAAGAGAAAAGCTGAACTTAGGCTGTTTTATTGATGAAAGTCTTTCTCATTTGCAGGATGCTTTTGATTTATATCGGATTGTCTTGATTTTTTTTTTGTTCATTTTTTCTTGAAAAGTCTAAAGCGCGGTGTAGTGTCAAATATGTGTCAAATAACCAGCGGAAGTATCCTAAAAATAGCTTCAGGCAAAAAGAAGAAGCGTTTGGTTTCATATGAAAATCGCGGAGTGTAAATACTCTTAAGTTATTTTATATATCTGTATGTTTTGTTTATTACAAGTGCTGCCAAAATTTTGGATATACTATAATATATACAAACTTTGCCATATAATTAAAAACAGAAATAATATAATTTTAAAACCGGAAAAGTGATAATCTTATTTCAGACACAAACCTTAAATTGATATTTGCTTCTTTTTAATCTTGAAACAAATCAGTCGATTGATTGGATAGAGCATCCAATTAGTTTCTAAAAATTAAAATTACTATCGAATGTTCCGTATTCAAGGTTTTTTCTGTTTGAAAACCAAACAACATAAACGTCGCGAAATAATAATATGTAAGTATAGGTTGAGTTGTCCAAATATTAACATATATCTATTATTTTACAGTGGAATTACAATTAACATGAGAAATTCCTGGTCAAAATTGAAAATATCCGACTTCAAAATTATTGTGATTTGATAATTTAAACGACGTACTCATTACTTATAAAATTTTAAATTTTATTTTTTTTTCTTAAAATTTTACAAATAAATTTTTGAAGTTTTAAAATTCAAAACTTCAAACTTCAAAAAAAAATTGTCGAAGGATTTACTTTTATAACATAATTTCGCAATATATAAATTTCAAAAAATTTGGAAATATGTTTGTACTGTAATAATTAGATCACTGATAAGGCAAATAAAACGCGGTGTTTAATTAAAATATTATTTTCCAGGATGTGCGTCCGCATTCTGCCATAGCGGTTCTCAGCAGCGAGGGCGAAAGCGAAGTGAAGGGCGAAATAACTTTCGTACAGAAACAACCTCCAGGTGGTCCGGTCTTCATCCGAGGAAATATCACTGGCCTTTCACCTGGAAAGCACGGTCTTCATATCCATCAGGCCGGTGATTTGAGAGAGGGATGCGAGAAGCTGGGAGGACACTTTAATCCTTATTTGGTAAGACAAGTTTTTGTGTCCGGAATTCAAAAATCAGTTCACTTCATTGCCATTTCTGTTTCTTAGGTATCTAGTCAAATTTGCAAATCCTATTTTTTAGAATATCCTATGAGAAGAGTACTTGATTTGTATAAAAAACTTTTTGATATCAGCTATTCCCTTAAATATTCATGAATTTCACTTCATTCAGTAGAGAGTGTATGTATAGAGTTTAATGTCTTGCATTTTTGTTGTGGGTACTAGTTTAAAGACCTTTTATCTCGATTGTATATCGTAGAATACTAGTGTCTATACGATCAACTTTCTCATGTTCTTCCAGCTGCACCACGGCAGTCCCAAGTACCCCCTCCGTCATATAGGCGATTTAGGCAATGTGGACGCATCCGATAGTGGAACAGCCGAGATTATCCAGATAGACCCGTTAATGTCGCTTGCGGGCGGTCCTAGAGGCGTCGTGGGAAGGGCTTTGGTTGTGACGGAGGATCCAGATGATCTGGGAAAAGGTGGAAACGCCAACAGTTTAGTGGACGGCAATTCCGGCAAGCCTGTTGCTTGCGGAGTTATTGCGTACATTCGATAAGTCGTGATTGTCATTGTATTTAAATTAAAATTGAATGGCGAAGTTTTTTTTATCAAATATTTGTATGATATGTGAAGAGAAGCCTGTACATAGATAAGATTTAATTAATGTGTTTGTACTTTAATGCGTAACTCAGTGGAGAGCTACAAAGTCCGAACAACCTACCAACGTTTATATTTAATTCAGTTTAGTGAAGTTTATTAAGACAAATTTTCATTGAAACTGTAGTTATTTAGAATATAGAAGCAAAGTGCAACAGTAAAAGACAAAAAACTAGTTTGTATTTATATAAATTATGTTTCAACTTCTCTTGTCGTGAGGTTGATGTTCTCTTTTGTAATTTTTTTTGAAGAAGTAATTTTGTTAATCAATATAACATAAAAAAAATACAGTCTCCTAATTTATACGTCCAATGCAAGGATTAATCTAATTCCGAAAGAGTGAAATATTGATAAATTATTACCAAAAATTATTACCAAATTAATCCTCGAGTTATTTGAAATTCCATTTGCGATGCAGTGGATGTAGTTTAAAATGTTTAAATGTTAATTAAAATAATTTGCTAATCAGTAATGCGCAATTAAAACTCTGTCATTTATATTGGGTGATTATGAACGATATAGAATTATTTTTCTGTAGTTTTCTCAGATTCCATTTCTTGTCTGCACATACCGACATTGTTTCCTTCCTGTACTTGATTTTTGTAAAAAAATCCGATTTCCTGCCTTAGGTCGCTTTAACATTTATAATGAATTTGACAATGATATTTTTGCTTTTTCTTTGTTCCCTGAAAATGTAAAAAGTCGTATTTTTCTAAAGGATGCTATTCTGTCCTGGGAGTCAAGCATCTCGGTGCTGCCTTTGCCTTGGAACTTATTACTTTTCTTATTACATTTTATGCGTCGCATTCTCCTCATAATTATTTCGTCATTTGTTTCTCTTCTCACATTATTGCACATATTCTCTATCCAGGTATTATTCACTTTTCTAAGTTCTTAATTAACCTCAAAGTTGCGTTTTGCGTTTTGCTTTTCCAGTTATATCTCTGTTACCCTTATTTTACTCTCCTTCTGTGCCTGTGTCCTGTGTCCAATGTATATCTTCTATATACATATATAGTCGCACTCACAGATGCTGTTGCAGTTCGAAGAACCATGTTTATTATTATTATTAGCAAATCGGAAAATGTTTTAATACACTCGGCGTTCCTTTTCAAATATCAAAAGCGATTGGTATTTTTGCACAGTTTAAAACACTACATTGATCGGGCATCGGAGTTTGTGTAAATAAAAAAAATCGTGAAATATCTAGTTTGTGAACGTTTAAATTGTCGTACACCATCAATTGTTTACATTTATTTAGAATATAATTATTAATATATAACGATAATTCGAAAAACACAATCGAACAACTTGTTAAGTAATCTTCAGAATTGCTTTCAGTCGCTTAAAATTCGAATAAGATACGATAAGATAGCATCTGAAGACCAACCATATCAGCGTTACCACCGAACAACAATTAAGCCGCTTATCTTAGATTCGTAAACGTATTTCAATCCGACGCTATTTTTATTTTGTTTATAACGACGGGCGAACACTTTCACGCTAGGCGGAATACGATCGGTCCTGCTGCGCCAAAGCAATTGAAGCCTGCTTGTGTTGTGAGTCGGAAATCGGTGCGTTCGAGTGTTTGGAAATTTTTTAAGAACGTAAGTTCATTTTTATCACCCCTCTCCGAACTTGAACGTAGTATTAGTTAATGTTTAAAAAAAATGCAAGTTTCGATTATTCGCAACCGTACAGAGTAATTAGGTAGTTTTAATTACAAGTACCTAAAGGAACTAACCCTTCCATTTGCGAAAAAAAACTGAATTAAATGAAAATGGTGATGCAGGATCGCATAAATAAACACAAAACTATAAACAGATCTATTCTCAGCAATCTGATTATTTTTCGTTCATTGCTGAAAATTATGACACGATTACTTTGTTTGAATAAAGAAACTCTTATTTCAATTTTGGTTACTAACATTTTGATAGTTCTTCCTCAACCACGCTGTGTGAATGGTGTAATGATCTTATCTTATTTATGCAATTAAAAATTGTTTACATTGTTTTAGGGAGATGATTCAGATTTTTACTCATTCTGAAATTTATGGTCAAAGACTATGTTAAATGCGAAATTAATACCTTAAAAAAGCTCAGTAATGATTTTGATCTTAAACTAACCTAATAATAATTATCGAGTTGTCGATTAACGATGATCTTAACTAGATTTTATTGTGTTCGCATTATAAAACAACTCTTGCCGTTCTGTTATCAGGTGTTAAAGCATAAAACGCGACTTATATTTTTTTAATGACCTAAAAACTTTACAAGTGTATTATGATAAAAAGCATTTCAATTTGGTCACGTTATAAATTTGCTTTGCTTTGTATTGAATTCTGTGAGCGAAATTTTCTAAGCCCAGGGCAAATTACAACTAAACTCTTAAAAAATTGAGAATTTTTCGATAAGTGACTTAAATTATTAGCAACATTCTGTTTCCTTTCAAAGAAAAGTATTGGTACTTATACGTTCTTGATACGTAGTTAACAACCACGAGACGATAACTTTTGTATATATTACAACTGGAAAATACCGTAGCTAAACAAAATAACCGCAAACGGTATAACAATGAGGTTTCTAGTAAACAAATTATCCGAGACTGAAAAAAATTCGAGGTTGCACCCAATTCATGACTGTTGGGTGATTGGTTTTAAAACTTGACTAGTAATTAGTTGAAATTATCAATATATTCGAAAAGTTGATGTCCACGGCACTGTTACTTTAACCACCTGTTATATACTTACATGTCTTATACATCGTTTTTAATTTTTGATGGTTTTTTGTGAAATTCTCAATAAGCTATGCTAAAAATATTATTTTATCATTGAAATTTTTGGTCGTAATTGGTGCCAATGTTTTTTTTATAATTTATTGACTTTATGTTTAAGACATCATAAGTTAATTTCACAATGGCACGGAACTTTCGGGATATTAAACGGGATACTTGCACAAACCATCTAAAGCGAAAAATAAAAAAAAAATACATAAAAAAAATAACGAAGATCAAGATCAATCGCCGTGATATTTTAAATGAGTTGCTGATGATGGATCGTGTGATATATTAGATCCAATACCATGAAAATAGTTCATAATGACTTGTGTGGCAAAACGTTGATAAAAATACTGTTTAGGTCATGAATCATTTTATTTAAAAAATAATTATTATAATTTTTTGGCTTTTTGTAAAAATATTATTTTTTAACTAGTTCTGATGTTAAATCAAAATAATTAAGATATAAAGAAATAAATGAAGAACGGTTGGCTGGACTTCATACCCTCCATTTATTATTATTTGAAGATATATTCGAAATGTTCGATGAACTGGAGTTTTATACCTACATACCTACGTAGCCTTTACAAGTCTAGTCTACAAAGTTAAAAAAAATATTTGTTGGGTCTGTTGGCTAAACCATTTTAATTTTTTAAATTCCAGCATGATGTACGTCGCTATACCTAAAATTCAGTGCTTTCTGGAAGGTTGCCGAATATAGTATCGACATGTATGTTATGGAGTTGTTGCAAACACCATATGAGTTTCATATCACCACGAATTTGACAGTATTATGTAACATGGCCTGTAAAACCAGATTCGAATGCTGACTTCAAACGGTTAAGTTTAAGATATCTTATTAACATTGACACCAAATAAACTGGTTTCGCGTGATTGATGCTCCAAAAATGACACACCGGCTATTCATTTGCTTAACCGACTATTGCAATCTCGTCTTTAAATCGCCATACCGTGTCGACAATAATCACAAAATAAACCGGTTACACCGACACCGAGCTAAATACATACGTATATAAGAGGCGCAATTTAAATCTTGTTAAGTTCACAGTTGCAAACCCACTTCAAAACAAAGCTTAACGAGGTATTTACAACTTTCAGCGTTATTATATAAGGCTACCTTATACGCGTTACTTTCGATTTCCTAAAACAGAAAATTTTCCGTAGTCTTGGTGGCAATTCTAGTAATCGGTTTTGTTTATTTCAGCATCATGTTGGGCTATCTGACGATTGCGGCTTTGGTAGCGTTGGTCCGTGCAGATGTAAGTATCCTCTATCTACAAATTGATTGAATATTTTTTTTACGAATTAATTTTGGATAGTGAAATTTTTATTGGTGAATTTTAACGGGTGGAATTTTAACGGGTGGAATTTTTTTTTACCAATTTTTAAATATATTGTTTTGCAGCCCTCACCACTGCATCAATATTTACCAGTAACGGTAAGTCAGGCTACCCGGTTAAGCATTTCCTGCCAGTGGTATTAAATTTTACGCAATAATCACAGAGGTTTGGCTAACTGTACTTTTATTTTTTGGTTTGGAACTAAAGGTACCACTATTGGAATGGTAGTGATGTGGGTGGTGTACATTTTTTTGAATGACCTGTTTTAAGTGCATCATAGCATAGCCTTTATTAACCAACTTTCTTTTCCGCAGCAAAAGGCCATAGTGAGCATAGTAGGAGATGCGAATGGGACAGTAACTTTCACAACAACCGACAAAGGAGTACAAGTTACAGGATCAATTTCTGGTTTATCCCCAGGTATGTCGATACGTTTATTACATACACCTTTTTTTCTGACCCAAATATTTTTTATTAAACGTTATAAAATTGTAAAGTAGTGAGTAATGTTATTTTCAACTCCCTAAGTTTCGATATCCAAATACGTTCAAAAGAAGAAACGACTCTATAACTTTGTTAAAATATAGCTCAATAATTATAAGCTTTCTATATTCAAGTATTCAAATTTTTTGAAGGAAAACACGGGTTCCATATTCACGCCCTCGGGGATATTTCGCAGGGATGTACGTCCACTGGAGGGCATTTTAATCCCAAAAACGTAAGTACAAATAGCAAGCAGTTGCTAGTATAAGCAATATTGAAGACGTATTCATCAAACCCCTAGAACGTCTCCTGTTGTAGAAATTTTAATGAACAAACAACAAACTCAATAAGCAGAAAGCTGGAAAGTAAAACTTTCTAAGCAAAAATTTTAAATTAAACAGATTTCACATTGTGCTGTTTGTATAAATAAAATTACGGCAAAAATGTGTTTCTGTTTATATTTTCAAAAAACGTTTATATTTCAGCAAAGTCACGGTGCTCCAGACGCAGACGTCCGCCACGTTGGCGATTTAGGCAACATCGAAGCAGACGCCAATGGATTAGCCAATATTAATATTCTTGATAACCAAATTGCTTTGGAAGGACTAAACAACATTATAGGACGTGGGGTTGTCGTGCATGCAGATGAAGACGATTTGGGAAAAGGTAGAAAAATAGCAACTGTTATTTACTCTAACTTATTCATCTGATAAAAGTGGTTATATAAAATAAAATCAAACTCTTCCCAAACATAGTTCCAATCTTTAATCCGAACTAAAGAAAAGATTTCATTTGGAAATTATTAATATCTTAGATAATGATGAACATTAAATTGCGTTGTAATTTTAAGGTACAAATCGTTAGGTGTAGGTAATAATAGTCTGGTCACAAGTCAGAAACAAAATATATAATGTCCATCAACATTTACAATTTTTCATACGATTTTTATTAGTAAAATTGGTTAGTCAAATTTCTAATTAAATGCTCCTATTTTCATAGTAAAATCTAGACGTGACAGTGTTCTACAGTTATCAAAATGGAAGGGGAAATTATCTACATCGATTTTCTGTTGTTTTTAATTGTACCTTTTAGTCAATTCGAAAGTCTTACTATCTAGTTGACACTTTGCTCTGATACGTCTTTTTATGACCATTTATTTTCTGCCATTGACTAAATAATTTTTTTATTATTTTAGGAGGACATGATGACTCGCTGACCACTGGACACGCGGGTGCCAGAGTCGGATGTGGAGTGATCGGAATATTGTAAATAAGAATTTTTGTATTTTGTTTTGTCTTCTTCATTGTATTGTTTGTTTGCCATTTTAATCGTGCTTGCTCTGTTTGTTAACTGCTTCTATTGCACTTAACCATAATTGTGGAAAATAAAAGGTTCCTCTAGTGTTTGTGCTGTTTTTAGCTGCCAGTAATAAACAATGAACTATGACAGAAATTTTGTTTCGTAAATGCGTATTTGAAGCTCTAGAACTACTACCTGGTATAACGAACTGAATAACTTTTAAAAAATTTAATTGTTCATTGAATAAAAAATTGCCAGTGATTGTTGGGTTAATTTGCTTTCATTAAAGGAGGATATGATCTGGGGTCGGATGTGCCAAATGCCATCAAAATATCAGAATCAAATTATATCTACTTGTTTTTTGATTCTTGTTCGATAAACAACGAAAGTTACTTATCCTTTTACAAACGCTTTCTAAATGATTTTGATTGATTTAACAAATGTCGACAATAAGTAGCGTTGTGACAGTTTCGTTCAGTAGTTATTGGTAAGTTTTGGGTACGCATTAAAGTGCATCCTTCTATGTTCTAGGGACGAACCAGCGCCAAGTTCGGGGACGAGGCACATTATTTCATTAATATTGACAGTTGTCACTATAATTAGTACAACTATTTTGTGAATACCAATGAATGAAAATCTAATTTAAGCAGTATTTTTTGACATCGTCGATAGAACATTAGTGTTTAGTTTAGTTTAAGTTTTCTTGTTACACAAATATACACGGGTCATCTAATAAATTTTTTACTACCAACTGTATTTTTTTACACCAATCCGCATTAAAATAATACATTTGCAGTAGCCTTTCTTTCTTTGTTGGAATTCTAATTCGTTAGGGTACTTCGGTCTGTCAGCCACCGCTGTTGACGTAGGTGCCGTGTTGACCTCATTTGATTTTCAAAAGAGAAAGATAGGGAGAACTGGAGAGACACAAAACTTTTACAGCTAGTAAATGAGTGAAAAGTCCGCCGTTTAAATTGTTTCAAAAAGTGCATGTACAGTTAAAAAGTTCAAAATAAATAAGAACTAAAAGTTCAGATTTTGACGAAATTATATATATTATATATATTTGATAAAGACACGGTGTTGTAGAAACAATTGTCATGTAAAAATATATAATTTCTAGAAAATCTGAACTTTTAGTTCTTATTTATTTTGATAAATGGATTTTCATCAAGTAAAAGCCATCTCAGTTCAATTTTTAAAAAGTTCACATGATTCTCATAAAAATTAATGTACTTCGTGTTGAATTTAAAAAAGATTAAATATGGTTTGAAAACCTTTTTTACACGACTCCGAATGCATATTTGATTTTAAAATTTCACTTCTTCAATAAGTCACTCAAATATAAGAGATAGATACAGAGAAATTTCTGTACCCCAAAAATGATGTATTTTATAAGAAGGTATCATAAAAAGTAAAACATTTCATAAATCAAATATTTGTCTCTCATAACGGGCAGAGTTGGTAGTTAAAATATAATTTAGGATTTCGTATTTTAAATGACATAAAAAATGATTAATTTACAAAATTTTTACTAAAATTATGATTCTATTCTTTAGAATTAAAGAGCTTAAATGGGATCGCCATCCACCGAGAAGTAATCTGACAACATTTGCCTGACAATCGTTACGATTACTATACCAGGTGAAGCCAGAATATTTAATAAAATTATATTAATCGTTATTAATTATTTAGTTTTAGTTTTAGCAGTGGAACAACATATTTAGCATTAAGAATAACTTACATGGTATACTTTTTTCCAAACGATTTTTTTTAAATTTTAATTAAGGCGTTAAACGCTACCTTTGTTTGCTATCCACAAGCCGATTCATTAGGTTCGGTTCAAAAACAGAAAGAAGTCAGATTTTGTACCTTACGTCAGTAACTTTTTGTGGCAGAACAAAAAATCGAAATCTTCAATTTTAGAGGTTTGTCGGATAACTTGGATAAAATGGTATCCTATATATAAGCCCTGTGTAACATATTTTACGTATATTGGTATCATCCTTTATTATTCCCTACAACAAATTTATTGGTTAAATTGTTATTTCGTAAGGTCTAATTTTGTAGGAAACAATCGGGGGACTGATTTTAATAGCTAGAGAAACGTAGTATATTTATTTATGGGTCGTTACTCGAGGTTGCGTGTCAATGTGAATTTTTACATAAAATATTTCACAGCTTAGACCAAATTACCTTCGATTCCTCACTGAGGGTGTCGCGTGTTTTTTTTTTGTCCGAAATAACCACCCCAAAGTGGTTTATTGACCTGTCTTGAAGCTAACGTTTCTTTACCAACGATATCGATATTTTACAAATTAAATATAAAAATAACCAGAATGTCTTCGAGTTAAAAAATATTCTTAAGAGTGTGACTATCTATAATGGCCACAAAATAGTGGATTCTCATCCTACTGGTAGAGCTTGATTCAGATTTTGCAAATTCATAGAGTTAGACTAAAAATGTATAAAAGATAAGAAACTATTATCGAAGCCTCAAAGGCCGTCTCATTAAACGTAAATTATTGAAGAAATTGGGCTAGAACAAGCACTACCAAAATGATGAATGGAAACTGTAGAAGAATTTGATTGAAGCCACTAAAATGATATAACGTAAAAAATATTTTAATTAAAATTAATATAAAAACACAGTCCTTATCATTATTTCTTAAATTTTTCATATCCGTGCAAGGGTTTCTTGAGATCAAACTTATTGATGTTTTCGCTGACGACATTGTACAATTTCCTGGCCATGACCCAGTATTTAACATAAGACTTGTTTTTGATTTTGTCGTGAACAACCGTCACTGTCGTGAAGGCGTTCCCCAAAAAAAGAACCAGAAACAACAGACTGGAGGCCATAGTATGCCATGTAGTATGAGGATTTAAACTCAGCTGGAACAAAACATACGAGTTGTAGAGCTGGAAGGAGTATGCGAGGAAGAGGAATGGTAGAAGAAAGGTAAGGCCTCTCCACATCCATGAATGAAATCCTTCTATGGTTATATCCATGTTGTCCCGCATTCCTAATGCTTTTAGTCTGTAGAGGGTACCGCGCTGGTACTTGAACTGGAGATAATGAAGCAGACAGTTATACAGGTTGTAGCTGAAAACAATGAACATTTCCTTATTCGTAAATTGTTAAGTAGGTACTCAAAAATATTTTTTTGTTGGGAGTGTTATTGAACCTTGTCCTACGATCATGAAGATAACGGTCATATGAGTGTATAAACATTTTTAAATTTAATTTGCACTTCAAAGTTCCAAGTTCCAATTTAGTTTATATTTTACCCTATTATCATGAACCGATTCAATCTATAAGTAAAGCCTTTTTGTCTCATTAACGGTTTAATTAAGAGTTTACCTGAAAAATTGTGCTCTGAAAAGCTCCCAGACTTCGTTCTCTGGCCAGACTAAGAGAATGCCTGACAAGACGGTCGACAAGATATGATGAACCGTCCACCATGTCTTCATCCGTGAACCGTTCGTCTTTAGAATACTTTCCCGAATACTTATCGTGCAATAATACCACACTAGGAAAAATAAGTAGCCACTCTGTAGAGCCCTCGAGTCGCATATACCATTCAATACCACCAGAACGAACGCAACAACGTGACAAATCAGTTTGAATTTCTCGTAGTCGTCTTTATAGGAGAATTTGGCTTCCTTGGACAAGAACGAGACATTCACATCACCAAGTATTAGCCGCAGATACATGCCGCTCTTCTTCGGTAGCGTTTCTTCTAAGTGGATCAGATGCGCTTCTCTACCAGCGAAGCGGTCTTCGACGGATTTAGCACGTTCTTTGTTACTCACTTTCTTCAACGAGCCCCGCATTATATTCATACGGTACCTTTGATGGTTGATGCTTTTTAGGCATTCTTGTTGATAGGCTTGGAGTTCTCTCAGCTTTTGCAGATATATCGTGTTGGTGGTCTCGAGTTTTTTGAAATCCTGCTCCAGTTCTAGCCATTCTTCATCAAATGTGTCCACCATGTCGTCTCGCTAGATCAAACTGGCCGCTCAGTTAAATTGCACTGATATCGAACCGTGTGTAGGTACAAGTACAAGTTTATTTTACCCAAGATAAGATATTAAAATTATCGGCGGCTAGTAGGTTGGAATAATAAACTTTGGTCGCGGGATTATGACTTTATTGTTTCTTGCAAGCGAAAAAAGCCGTAATAAAATTGAGGTCGACTTCCCAGACGGCGTTTTGAATTCGTCAAAACGCTCGGCAAATTTGCTGCGTCGAACGCGAATATATTGGACGACGAAAACACAGTTTTTAATATTCGATAACGGGCAATTGAGATAAATCAGGAAAACAGTCGATTATGTTAACAATAAGGTTTCACAGTGAAACGAACTGATAATTTCATGTGGAACAGATGTGCTAAAAACAAGCTATCATACAGTTTAAACAAGATTGCTTTCGAAAAATCGTCACTGGACGGGGCAAGTTTGTAGCGCATAGCGCGTAGCAGCTTTTTATTATAAAAGGAAAGAACTTTGCGGTGAACGGACCACTATGGAACTCTCGCAAAATCGATGTAATTGTATAAAATGTCATTCAAATCTAGACGAACTTCAAAGTTACAGCAAAGATCGCTAAACATTAAAATTTGCACAAATAATAGCGTTGTCGAATGAGATTTTTTCAAATATCTCGCGCCCTGTATAATAGACGAAACCTGAAACTCTCTCACGACACGGTTTACGATACTGTTCAAATAAAATTATCCCATCTTTAAAGGTTTTTCATTTATCGTCAATCATTTACCCACAAAAATGGAAATTTTTAGGATATTTTTGATTTTTTGCCCATAAATGACATATCCTGTATATGATACAATCATTGTTCGAAGTACAGGTTATAGCCGTGGAAGATTTTTTTGAAAATAGTAAATGGTTTTCGAGAAACCATGAAGTGCGCCGTAATGTTCAATAACGATTTCAATATGGATTTTTTCAAATATCCCGAGCAGCGTATGTGATAGACGAAAACGGTAATTACAAAAATTATAGCTCTGGATGCGGCCTATGCCACCATTTGAACCAATTAGCCATATTTTCACGATTTTTAATTTGCGACTAATAATTCACTCTGTAAAAGAACAATTTTCTAGGTGTTTTAGGTTGTCTATAATTTGAAAACCCTGTATATAATCGAAAAAATGCCCGAAATAAATGTTATTGCACTGGAACTTCTGCGTCTGTCGGTTAAAGAATTTTGCCAATGGGATGAACGATTATGGAGGAAAACATTTTTCTGGAAGCTAAAATTACCTACAAAAAATTTCAAATATTTTTAAAAAATAACATTGGATTGCGCCCATTTTCTACGGTTTAAATGTAGGCACGGACTTTTACTTCCCTGCTAAATTTGAAGTTGATATCTGCCAATTTAGGACACCTAACACATTTCTCTCGGGAACACCCTGTTTTTGCTGTCTATGCGGGCTATATCGCAATATAAAAGAAAGTGAGATCTGAATTATAGTCTTTCAGTTTCAATTTTCAATAATAGGGGGACCCAGTTTTCAGTTTTTTTGAATTTGCGGAGCACATATTTTTGAAAAATTGTCAAGAATAAATCTTTATCTTCTGCTTCTTCTGGTTCAAGAATTGTTTTGGTATCATAAACAGTCTTTGAAAAATGATGTTTTTTGTACACCCTTAAACGCGCGATTTTTTGTTTTTTTAGAATACTTCCTGACCCCCTCTCCACCCATTTTCAATAGGTTCTGCCACGGGGAAAAGCTGCATATATATGCCAAATATGAAGTCGATTGCTTCAAATTTCGGACACTTATAGTGTTTTATAGCAAGATCAGGGCCATTTCTTATAAGCTTATGTGCCTCGTGGAGGGTTAAAATGGAGGCAAATTTCAATTTTGTAGCTCAAACAGTTCGAAAGTTATTTAGGAAAAACCAAAAGACAAGAACGGAGAATCGACAGTCAAAAAAATTGTTTTTCTTCCGACGGTGGTCATTTCTGTATCAACGTCGATCCCATAGGACCTACCATTAATGAGATATAAAATTTTTATACGAGCGCAGATACTAGCTAAATAAAGAAATACAAAAAATGGCAAAGCGGTAACATTTATAGAAAGAGTATCGCGGACAGAAATTTTAAAATCAATTTGTATGATGTCCCATACGCAAAATGATTTCGTGTATGTACAATATTTTTTCCAGCCTCGCGGTTTTGTGATTTGTAATATTTTGTTATAAACGCTGCCTCAAAACTATAAGCCAGTTTTTTATGTTGAAAATCTCCTACTCGTACTTGAGTAACATTTTTTATACAAAAATACGTTTTTTGACAGATTTTGCTTGAAAATCTGATGAATATCAAATAGATTCCACTCGTTTATATGATCTTACTTTATTTGTCTTTAGAAACTAGAGAATTCTCAGTTAAGTTTGGTTAGTGTGTTTTTCCTTTAATTTTTAAATTGGTCCTTTTCCATCGCTATTTTTGTATTTCTTTTTGCTCCTTAGAGTTGATACCGGAAGCTATTAGTGCCACTTTTTTCTAAACTACATTTCTCTCTAGAATAAAAATTAGTCCAACTAATTACCAAATATACGCCTGAATCGATTCTGCTTATTTCCCTTCTCTTTTTCGAATAAAAGACATTGGCGAATTATTTTTGCAATTAATTTCAACTTACCTTTGCAAATATTTTCTAAACGCTTTGTTCTTTTATGATCCAGAATTTACCGCAAATTTTTAAAGATGAAACGAGGCCACAATAATAAATTGAAATATGCGATGCTTTAACAAGTTCTGAAATTATTCCGGACGGTTCCCTATTATAAGCAAGTTTTTTAAACTATTAGGTTAATTTATGAAAATTACGGCATTTAACATACATTACATGCATCATGATTTTTTTATTCGCAATACTTTGTTTTTAATGAAATTATGCACTAGTTTGTAATGTTTCAACCTTCAAAACCTTCACATTGAATTGAAATTACAGGACACTTTTTGCCAAATATGTTTAACGCGTGCCGTGGACGTAGAGCCTATCCTTTTTTTGTGAATCGAAAGATGCCTTGCATGGAATTTTCCTATTTTCGTTTGAAACTTTTGACCAATTATTCAATTAAGTCATTTTTTAAGTCACTTTTTTGCACCTTCTATATTAATTTTTAATTTGATTGAGAATATGACATGCAAACCACGATAGGGATATGAAAATGAAATATACTACGACATTATTTCAGCGTACCAATTAGAGAATTCTGTAATCAAATGGATTGCAGAGTGTAGAGTATTTCTATACATACTATATAGGGTATACAAATCTCCATTATTTTGAAAATATCTTCTCATTTCGCTCCGTCGAAACTAAAACGGTTCCTACCTTGCAAATAAGTTTGGCATATGCTTTTTCCAATACCAAAATTTTGTTTGTCGTTGGTGAGAGTCTAATAAGAATTTGTTATCCTTACGGAAACGGCAAATGATAAATCAGATACACTAACAGGTTCTAACAGACCAATTGTCAGTATATCAAAATCTTGCAGTATGGTTGAAATGACCTTTTTCAATATCTTCAAAAATTGTATATCCGTGTTAGTGTTAGTTTAACCATATGTTTTATACAACTGCATACATCGTTCGTAATAAACAAATAAGAAACTAAAAAGCGGCGTCGTCAAAAATGACATATCAAACGAAGAAGGCAAACAGACAGAAAGATTTGTATGGGGAAAAATATAATGTTATTAGTATGATTGGATCATTGGATCAAGGACTTTAAAATAGTTAATATGTGACCTCTGTGGCAAAATATAGTAAAAAAACGGGTTACGTGATAATTTACCCCATCGCATGTGAGAAGGTTGGTCCAGGTTAACTAATATAATTTTTTCCCAGAAGTTAACAGAGTTCTGATGTAATTTTATTTTATTAAACAGAAAGGTAGAGATAGCGAAAAATAACGAACCTAAAGCACCATTATCCAATAAACTTTGCTTTTATTTTTATAAAATCACAATCAAAAACATTTATTCGATATTAAAAATAATGTAGTACCTGATAGTGTGCAGCTTTATTATCTCTTTCCCAATCTTTAGCGCTTTCAGTTACAAAATTTCACTCCTCATGTCCCTTAATGTACGTACTATCTAAGAAAATAATTTTAATTGAAATGCCATAGAAAAAACCCTTTCCATATTATTAAAGACTAATGGGTAATAATTACTAACGAAAAGTGAGATTTGATCCTTTTGACCAGCATTTTATCTACTCGCTGCAAACAACTAACGCTCCTTCCAGAAAGCGCTTTGGCGCTGAAAGTTATTAGTTTCCCAAATCGATTTTCTCATAATAATCAAAGTAAATTTGCCTTTGCATGTTGGAAAAAACAAACAGGTCATTTCTAAAAATACCTCTTTGCAAACGTCCAAAGAAAGGCGAAGAAAATTGTAAGCCGAATCTAATTCTAATAGAAATTAAGTATCTATTATCTAGTAAATATTTTATTTTTAAGCTATATTATCAACTCTTTTTCTCTATCTTTATCGAAAATTAATGTTCAACTATATAAGTCACCAATATGGCCAGTACTCTAGCTAATTTAATACATTTAATTATAAAATTTGGTCGTAAAAAGATTACACAGTGTGTTATAAGTTATTTATTAGGGTATCGATGTTTATCGACAATCTATCGCCATTGTAGATTAAGCCACAAAGTTGTCATTACTTACATTTACAACACTTTAGAATAAAAAAACAAAAATTTGCAATTTTTGGCGAATGCTTATTTACTCAATGCATATTTCCAGCCTTTATTTTTGTGTTTCTATATATCCTTATAACAAAAACAGCTCTCGTTTTCATTCGAATGAGATATTTGCGGATATTCCAACTCCTATAGTTATATAAATTAAATAATTAGAATTAGAACACCAGGAATATTGTTGCTTAGTCACTTCTGTCTAATTGTCTTTTTTAAAGCTACGGCGAACTTCAAATGACTTGTTGGCAAATATTCCCATAGTCAAGAGATATTTAGGCATATATTTCTGTCCTTATATTTATGACAGAATTTAATATATTAAACACCAATTATGTTTATGCTTAGAAATAAAAATAATAGTAATAATTATAATAAAACAAATTTGTTGTTTCTAATACCATATAAATGCATACAAAATGTGTTTATAGTGTTTCAAATGAGATATTAATAGAAAAAGTCTAAATAAGTATGCTTGAAAGGGAGTTTGTTGTATTTCCTTTGTTGTATTTTTTCGATATATTCTGAAGTGGCCTTAAATTATTATCATTTCCTGAGTTTCTTTCTTATAGTTTCTGCTACTTTGTGCAAACATGTTGAAGTAAAAGGGTGTCCTTAGTGTTGTTATACTTTTGATTTATACAATAGAGGATGGGCAGTCAGCAGTAAATTAAAGGAAATTTATTGCATAAACGTCTACCTTTTGAGACCAAAATGAATATCATATATATTATTAACTCTGAAGCTGTGTTCGTCGACTCGACTATGCCCTAGTTGGGTCATTGCCGATTGCTATCTTTTCATTTTCTGCGTAGTTAGAGCATAAAAAAAAGCAACCCCGAGACGAATGATTTAAATTAACCCGGTTAAGGTCGCTTGGCAACCGCGAATCAACATATTGCGCGACCAATCAGTGACTGCCCTGCGAAAGGTTAATAACATCCCTCGGCAGATTTTCGGAGGGCGAAAACTACCAAGAAATTTAGAAACAAGAAACAAAGAAAATAGTTCGATTCGTACCGCGTAGTTTGAATACATACACGTCCAAGATGAAGCCCTTGGAGTTGGGTATTATTAAGTATTTGTTGTTCGGATTTAATTTGCTTTTTGCGGTAAGCTGTATTATTATATATTATTTATTCTCTAATTTTGTTTTACTTTGAAAAGTTATTCTCCCATTTGATTTTTTTTATATACAGATATTTTTAAATTTTTAGCAAAATTTTGTTTTGTTCTAAAATAATCATAATTCTTGTCTGAGTTTGACTATTTCAATTCGATTTCCCTTAACAAAATTAAGAAGGCCCTATCTTAATAATATACGGAATTTAAAAATTTGTTGGAAAAAATAATTTTTGTCTCAGTTTTTAAATATTTAATTTAATAAAATTTTCAGTACGCCTACTGAAAAAAATTTTGTTCATTTTTAATATTTTTCACAATTTAATTAAAGTAACAGTAATGTAAACAAAATTTCCATTATCTTAAATTTACAGATTGCTCTATCATATTTGTTTCTTTGTTTGAAAATTTAATAATTACGTATTATAATTGAAATTGGTATATTTATACTTAAGCGAATGTTTTACTTTAACTCAGTAATTAACATTATATTTATTAAAAATAAATGTTTGAGTGGGTAAATAAAACTGAAATTATCAATATCAATAAACGAGAGATTCTTGCCAAATCTGTTCCACTAAGGTTCAATTTTTTAAGGTTTTCACAATGACAATTTTCATATGGTAAGGAACAAAAAGTAATTTAAAGTCAATAAGCAATTTGGAGCAGTTTTTTTTACATAACATAAATAATTAAGATATTATAAATCAATAGCTAAATATATTAATTATTTACAAGAAGCCTCTTTTATGACGACGATGCTCTTTGTCAGGAACAAATTGTATTAAATTATACGAAAAAATAATTGGTTTGTTCGTTATTAACCCAACCGAATATTTAAAACTTTTGAAAATCATTCGTTCCATAGATTTCCGGATTGGGAATAATCATCGCTGGATCACTAGTGCTCTCCGATGTCGGGGAATTTAGTCACTTCATGGAAGGCAAAGTGCTCGCTCCGCCTGTAGTGCTGATAGTGACGGGATGCGTAGTGTTCCTAGTCGCTTCCCTGGGGTGCTATGGGGCGATCAGGGAGTCTTATAAAATGCTCATGGCGGTAAGCCCTTATCCGATCGATTTCTCCGCTGTCGCTTGGTCCCTAATAATTTATTAGTTCCTCATCCTGAATTAAACGGCTTGTAAATACGGAAATGAATAAATAATTTCGAAGGATCAATTTTTACAGGATATCTATGTCAAGGTTCATTATAGTCAACAATGTTTTAATTTTCTTGCCATAAAAGTACGATGGATATAATAATAATTAATGACGGATGCGCCGGGGTTAATACTCCAGAATAGGACCATAAATAAAAAATTCTTTTGATCTTTTGTTGATGTTTAGTGCAAATACGGTATAAGAAGAAAATGTTAACTATTAATGATTTAATTAAAGCTATTAACAAAGACGATGTAACTCCCTCACACACAATACTCAACGTCAAGCACTATATATAAATTGACATATTTTGCATATAGATATAGCATATATGTAGCCTATTTATTTCGGTTTGAACTTCATTTACTAGTTTCATTTTTGTTGTAGAAGAATCTTTTCAAAAATGTTATTTATCCCATGAATTGTTTAATTTAATTTGTTAGATTGCGTTTTGAGTGTTTGGTTTTATAGTTTATTTTTCATTTATTTAATTTTCTTGTAGGTTTTGTTTGTAAAATTTTGCCACACGCGTGCAACATATTATTATGACATAACCCCATTAAAATTCAACTACTATATTTTGAAATACCTTGAAGCTGCGTAAGCGTTGAAGAGTGGTCCGCATTAAGGCGCATTCACTCTTGTTCGACGACCGATATGCAAGAATCTCAGTGAATAGTAAAATTGACCTTGGCCTCCTTCGGCCATTTTAAACCCACCATTTGTTTGTAAACGAAAATTGTTTCGTTTGAATACACAATCGCTCATCAATCGTATCCGAATTACTAGTTAAATTCGAACATTTTTTTTATTTTATGCACTTAATGTTTTATTTCGCTTTTTAATTCAAACAAAGGATGTTTTTAATTCACTTGTTTTTAGTATTTTTATTTTTTTTTTGTATTACAATAATAACAATATTCATATTTTTATGTGAAATTAAATGCCAAAACATATAAAAATTCATATATTGGGAAAGTGTGGAAACGGTAGGCACAGAATTGTTTAATTATCGAGATATTTCATTGTGTCCATACTTCTTGAACGTCTTGTCTATTTAACATCTATATTTATCGTTATAACTACTATATACAACTTTGACTACTTTCATTTACTTTATCATTCATTTATTTATTTGTAGACTACATCACCTTGTTTCCATAAATAATGCATTACTATTTTATTTACCTTAAGTGCTTTAAATGTGTTTTTAATTTTAATATAATAGGCCTTCGATCAAAACAATTAATTTTTATTGCACATTTGCTTTGCTTTCTTTTCCGTCCATCTTATCAAATGGTGGAATTTGTTAAAATGATATTGATATTCTTAAAGTCACTGCGATTAATTTTTAATTTTATCTTTAGATTAGTGCTTTTTTGCTTTTGCATTTTTCTTAGAGTGTACCTATATATACAAAGTTTTGTTTTCTGGTTACACTGGTTTAACTGTTTATATGTAATACATTTATCTTGTTTGTACTTTTCCTGACTTCCAAGATATGTTTTTGTATTTACAAGTGGTCAATAAACGATTACTATAATAATAATAATAATAATAATAATAATAATAATAATAATAATAATAATAATAATAATAATAATAATAATTATAAATGAATATTTATTTATTTAATTATTATTATTATTATTATTATTAACAAAATTAAGAAAATCTCATGCACCTAGTCGTCAAAAGCAGATTTTTAAATATAGATAACTAGTTAATTGCATACACACCCATTTGAAGTACTTATGAAATGATACAATAATACTAAATTAATGTGATGGATGTAATGATTCTTTGCAAAAGTTTTTAAGTATTATAATTATTTAATGATCTGAAAATCAAGGGGCTAAAAATTCATTTTTACTGAGAAACAAAATACTTGGGAATTGTTGAGGATAAGTATTGCAAAAAACGGGCATGGCGTTATTTTGGAATTAAGTCAATTAATATTTCCAGATTTAGTTGCGCCTTTGTTGACCAATCCTACTATCAAACACAATTGTATCTAGCTAGCTATAAGTCATCGGTATTCCGGTGTACGCAAAATTTACAAGATTATTAAATTCAGCAAAACTTGACCGAACGGAATTACTCACCGGCGTAGGTTTTTTTTGAATATGATATTAGCTGTTACCTTAGTGTCGGAATAATTTATTCGAGCATGAGCGCCATTCATTAGCGTTAATAATAAATACAACAATCATCTCGAAAATATTCGTGACTCATTTGTTATTAGAGTTATTAGTAAGTTGAATTTTAACGTTCTCCAAGACGTTTTACGCAAGAGAATGACGACATTTAACTTTTCTTAAACGTGAGCTAATGGTAAATAAACGAAGTACTACTTCGCGATACACCTACAATACAGTGCGTCTGAGAGAGGTAAAAGTTGGGGTTTGTTTATGGTTGGACTTTATTTGAGAACTGTAAAATAAAGCACGCAAAATGCTACTTCATATTAAAACGATTTTTTTTATTTACATTTATAAAATCAACCAATGGAAGAATCCCAATGCCAAAAGAAAAAACCATATTTAGGCCGCTGTCAAACTTGTCAAAACGTTTTGCTTCAGTTGCGCCCTTAAACAACTAACAAATTTTTTAGGTTTATATAATTTCAACATCTCTCTAGCAAGGTCAAAATTCTCTAGACAGAAGAAGACTCATAAGAAAACTTAGCCAATTTTAATGTTTAATTTTTCGTAATTGTATATTCTTTTTTCTACTCTCGCGTGTAAAATATCTTGTTGCATAATATACTATTTCCGAATCAGTTTTCCTTCAATAACAGTTTTTCGAACAGGGATTTCTGACATTTGATAAAGACACGGTGTTGTCGAAACAATTGTCATGTCAAAATATATAATTCCGTGAAAATCTGAACTTTTAGTTCTCATTTATTTTGATTTCTGACCAAAATGTGGAATAAAATTCCATAGACATTATCCCTATTTATTTAAAAACGAACATTACATCCAATAGGTACAGTTTTTTAATTGCATGCCTAATGTCCATATCCACTACATTTTTATTATTCTTTTTAAAAATGTATATTAAATTTATTTTGCACATCGTATAATTAGTGTAACTGAAAATTATATTAATTTTTTAAAATCTTTTTATCTTTATTTTGTTGCTTGTTTTTAAAAATGTAGCCAATTTTAATTAAGTTCATTGCAAGAAAATGTTTACTTTTAAAAATTATTTTTTTTACTAAACCAAAAGTATGTCGATTAGGGTATCGTAAAAAAAATATATACACGTTTATCTAAATTGGTGAAGCTTAGGTATAGGACAAATTAAATATTGAATTCTTGTAGAATTTATTCAGGGTTCGAATAAATAGCAAAGCAGAATTAACTTTTTATTTATTTAAAAAATCGGTACTCTCGAGAAGCTGGCACATCGCCGTCTGTCTGGCCGTCGTCCCGTTTCTCTGTCGTACCTTTTTCATCGGTTCCCAAAATAAGGGTCCCACTATTGATTGCTTGCTGATAGAACGATTTATGAAGCGGCACTTGTCGAATCGACGGGTTCGCAACAGAATAGATATAAGTATCTTGAAAATGGCGAAACATAGATAGTTATATTTTCTTTTGAGATTTCAATAAAAAATATATGTATAATAATAACAACCGCTATTCACATTCCTCAATTGAAGGAAATAAAACTATTTAACAAATGCTTTATTTTTCACAGTTTGCAGCTTGCCTATTGGTGATTTTTATCATAGAACTGGCGGTGGGCATCGCAGCAGCAGTTTACAAAGATGACTTCCACAAAGGCCTGAAAGAATTGATGAGAGATTCGATGGATCGGTTTGAAACCAGCGAATCAGACAGGATTGCTTGGAATAACTTGCAGAAGGTAATGGCAGTCATGACATTAAATATTCTGCGTAAACTTCATTCGGGGTTTACCGATTTGAACATGCTAAATTTTGGGCACACAAGCTTCGTGCAAGTCAGGTTTGTGTTAACAAAGACTGCATGTATATACCGCTAAGTTAAATAAAATGACTCCGTGAGTTCAAGTGGAGTCAATTAACGGTGACTCTACTTGAGGCACGATGGATTCGGATTTTTTTAATGAAATTTTCCAATTAAGTTTTATTTCTTGCGCTCGGGCTCTGCTCCTTTAATATATCTAATTACGCGGAACATTAATACTTATAAGTGCATCGTAACCGGATGAGTCAATTTACAATCGTGGCAAACGTTTAAAAGAAAAGATTAAAAGGTTCACGGCTTTATTGCATCTAGTTATAATTATTTGCGAAATAGTCCAAATTTCTTGTTTCATTTTTTTTCGTTATAGGATATAATATGATATGACCTGTATTAACTACGTTATACAAAAAAATAATTGCAGCAAGTAAAAAATTCACAAGTATTATAAAAGAAACAGGTAGCAAATAAAAAAAAACAACGAAAGTACGAACAATTAAATAACAAGAAAAGAAAAACAATCTAGCAGTGGACAATAAACTATTAAAAAATGAAGAACTCTCTGTTAGATTTTACTTAGTTATTAAATTCAACAATAGACGAACAGTGAACGAGTGTGTACTCTTTAATTATCTTTTTAAAATATATGTCACCTAATGAGCTTATATTGAAGATCAGAAGATTATATAAGTCGAAATGAAAGCTATTGACCATAAACATTTTTAATTTAAGACAAGTTTTAGAAAATTATTGCCAAATCTGCTATGATAATTATGATTATCGGACTTTTAGGAATATACGTACTATTTTTATGAATAAGAAGTCATAATGTGTTCTCTTATGACCATGATTACGGTAGCCAATTATAGCAATAGTTGTGTTGTGTCTGCCACACAGGAAGACGAAAAATCACCCCATAGTGCTGCTCCGTAACTTAAATGAGAATGCAATAGAGCATGATACACTATAATGAAGTATTATCAGCAATCAACCTTTTTAGTCGCCGCGGAACGGACAGTCCAATACTAAGTTTCGCTTTCAATATTGCTTATTAAGAGGGCAACTAAAAAACTAGAGGGAACGAGTTAAAACAAACCAAATAATGAAAAAACAAGAGTTTAATAAGACGTTCAAAAAGGTTTGTTTGTAAAAATAATTAAATAAACCTAGATATTCCAAAGTTTTTGGGTATATTTTTGAAAACAAAATGAATTGAGTGAAGTGTGACGTAATCCTAAGATTTAAAAAACGTCAAAATAACACTAGCATATAAAATCTACCGAAAATATCTGATCGCTCTCAAAGCCGAGACAAAACGGAAACGAAACTGCCGCCTTTAAGTGACACTTTACATAATTTGGAATTTTAGAGTAATAATATCGACAAAAATTGAAAAAATCGGTAAAAACTCATATAGATAGAAAGACACGATAAAGAAAACTGAAATATGTGACGAAAAACAATCGGCATAACAATCGCCTAGCCGTGAAATAATGAAATTTTTAAGTTAAAGATTCGTTAGGTTAAGAGAATCAGAGAAAATGTTATTTTAAAGCAATATTATTCTAATTCTTTTTTTAGAAAATGGAATGTTGCGGAGTCGATCGATCCACCGACTGGCCCGAACACAAACGGCCACTCTCTTGCTGCCACGTTCCCAGAGAAGGTGCTCCCGAGCCGGATGAAATTCATTGTTGGGATGCCAAGCCGGGAGATCCCATCCTTTATACAGAGGGTTGCTTCGATAAGATAGAAATGAAAGCTGTCGATTCTTGTAAGATCATTCTCGGAGTTGGTATTGGAATTGCCTTCGTGGAGGTGAGTTATAGCGCTGCCATAGTGCAGTGGAGGAAATATTATCTAATGAAGGTTCCTATTTTAAGTTATGAGTTGAAGTTATTATCGATTATAGCTTTGCTTTTGATGTCATCTAATAGGCCCATCTTGATTATTAAAAATAAATGCAATCTTAGGATCAATAGCACACGTTATTCGACGTGAGAGGAAAAATAATTTCTAATGCGAAAAGTTTTACCATAATTTAAGACTGAAAATCATTGAAAATCAAAAAGTAAAGTGGACCCACTGGAAGTAACCGGGTGAACGTAGTTTTCTATTTTAAAAACGAAGTTTAAAAGGATACTGGTTGAGTATAATAATAAAGTTTATAGAGAAATTTGTTTTGATAATATTTAACGAAGTAACACAAATATTAATAAATAAATTTTAGAAGAAAACTAAACAATATGGCCAGGACCTAAACTACGTACCAACTTGTGCCACCAGTTTAATCATTTAGGTTAGCCCCCTATTATTTTCTTATAATTTCAGATCATTGGAATTGTCTTGGCGTGCTGGCTAGCTTCGGCTATTAAAAAACGAACTTCATAAGCGTTGTCTTCATTTTTTTGCGAATGATGACAATGAATGTGTCTACTTTCTATACGTCGATGATTTATTATAATAACGTGTCATATGTTTACTTTAGCTGCAGATATTTTGTCTACTTAAAGTATTTTTCTAAGTTAATTAGCTACATATAATTGTACGCCTATATCGTTTTCTATTTTGCGAGTAATCTGAATGTTCGATAGAGAATCTGATATATATTTTATTAGTAAGAGTTTAAAACGTGGGTCTATTGTGTAATTAGATTGTCACTTTTGTAACTACTGTGTCGTTATCCATATCGTATAACTCAACCACGTAAAAGTAGGTTATAGTATTCTTAGCAGATGTAGTATAAAAAAATCACTTTAAATGTTGTAGATGAATGTTTACCTATATATATATAATTGTTAAAATATTTGTATTTGGTGATATTTTATAAATTTAATATATAAAATAATAATTATGTCAAAATAAAGTTGAAACAAATTTTCGCTTTATTTTCATTGGTGCCGGTGATGCTTAGGGGCAAGCGAGTCTGGTCCTTGCACTCACGTGCCCAAGAGGTCTATGCTCTTTTACCATTACCGAAATGTTCTTGGTAATTACCTTAAATTGCTGGCTATGCGTCGAGCCATCATTTTACATAGGCTTGTGTTTTCGTCCGCATGTGATTCAGTGTCATTTTAAGCAGGCCTCTTTTTCTCCATCCTCAGAAAAGAAAATTAAATTGAGCGTAAACGTGTTTACCTGCCTTTGTTCGTCGATTGCTGATCCATGACACACACAAGAAACTAAATTATTTTAGTCAAGGTTTTTGAATTCCGAGTTATTTGTCGATAAAAAAGTTAATTGTTTTAATGCGACCTCTGCTGATATAAAACCAAAAAATTGTTCGATTAGACAAATCAATTTAAATTGGCGAACTGTTAAAATCTTACTGCTTATAGAAAATTAATCCTACAATATCTTCCAATGGACTTAATAGTATATTATGCAACAGCTTTGATAAACGTCATTTTAGTAACGAGATTGATTTGGCACGAGCGCAGAGCATCAAAGCGCGTGTTTAATAAACAAGAGCGACCGAAGAAATTTATTAACATGTTGCATGTAAGACTTGTTCTAGGGCCATTACTTTTAGCACAGCGCTAATAAATTCATATTCATTTTCATTCATTCAATTCATAAATGTAAACTTGCAGCTCAAATCTCTCGAAAACACCCGACCGCTACCAAATAAGTGAGTAAAATACCCGCAATCCGCGAAGTGGTTCGCGACTGTGGATAACGAAACTAACATCATAAAGTGGAATTTTTTTTTACAAAATAGCAACTTGGTAATGATTTTATGCAGCCCTAAAAACACATAGTCATTTTTTTTGCACATTGTTAGATTTTTGTTTGTGTAAATTTTGTATAAAAGGTATTTTAACGGTGTATACTGATGGAAATCTAATTTAAAACTAATTAATTAAGTTAGAAACTTGTTTTTGCGTATATTACAAAAATATATTACTAGTTAAAATTTGCCAAAATGAACTGCAGAAAAAGTAAAATCGAAAATTTAAATTAATCACATCTAGAGGTGGTTCCATGACTATGACCTCAAGCTGATAGCCAAAGGGACCCCCCCTATGCAATGTCTATAAGGAAATGGTACTTATTGAGCGGCTGTGGAAAGTAATTATAATTATATAAGGGTTTATTCTTCTAAACGACATAAAATTTACGGAGAACATGACTTTTGCAAGAAGGGAAACAAAATTTTTCAGATAGTCAGAAGTACAAGCATATGACAAAAGAACCTTTGTTTTGCTTTGTTCATTTCAAATTTTAAGTTTTGTTGTTTTATTTATGTTTTGATGGAAATGTGCGCATTGAACTACTAAGCGTTTTAAAAGTGAGACGGGTTAAATAAAAGATCTAAATTTTACTCGCTCATTCACGACGGTTTACGATAATTTTATTCTAGGATCCAATTAACGCAAATAGTTGCTAGAATGTCGTTAGTCTTTTCCTTATTAATCGATTCATACAAGTGACTCACATTGCTTCCAAACTGACTTCATATACATATTTATAATTGTTATCCTAGGATTTGAATATGTCAAGTTCAGACTTTTGAGAGGTATTTCCGTTATTTTTTTAACAAATTAATTTTGCTTCTTTAGTGCAAATCCATTGAGGATACGTAAATATTTCACAACACATTTTTGATAATGGCGCTTTGACTTCTAGCGTACACACCTGCTCAGTTTCAAAGAAGCCTTCCGTAAATCTTATTTAATTTGTTATTTGTTTAATTTATTTCTGTTCTATAGTGTCTTCAAGTTTGGTGGAAAAATAAGTAAACCCCTTAGCGATGCGCCTGTACAAAATACCAACATTTTGTGAGCAACAACTTTTCTGACGCAATCATCTAAATTTTATTTAGTTATTAAACAGTTTCGGAAATAATAAAAAACGATTTTTTTGGGCACTTTTACGTGTCTGTTTTGAAATTCGCTGGACTATATAATATGTAATTTCAGAACACAAAAACTACAGTAATTTATAAAATTGAATTTAAGTAGATTCTGTACATTCTACTTAAAAATTTTGAATAAATTTCCGAATATTAACTGATTTTCTAAATACTGGGAGTTATTTGCTCTTGATGTTACAAAAAAATAAAGTTCAAGTAAATTCTCAATACTGAATTGCTAAGACTTCCCATTCCGAGAAAATTCACCTTGTTGCTTGAAAAATTCAATGAGTGATTCGTTCATGAGTGACGCACGGTGCGTGCCAAAATCGTCGGCTCCCCACCAGACAAGCGCGCTTGTCAAGAGTTAATAAAAGTTTCAACTGTTATTGTTGATTCGCCAGTGCCAAACGCTGAACTGAAACTTGTTAAACAAGAGCGGTCGTCGTATCGTCCGAAGTTGCGTACCTGTGATTTTATTTTTGGAATTTGGCGGGAGTTTGACGAAAAAGAGTGAAAATGGCGTCGGGTGTCGGGTTGATGAAGCTGGTGCTGTTCGTGTTTAATATATTTTTGACGGTAAGTGTTTGTACCATAAATTGAATACAATTAAATGATTTACTGTAAATTAAATTTAAGAAGCATTTTAAGGGAGGCAAATAGGTTCTCGCCCGTTTATTATCCAGTTATTTGTACTATCGGTAGGTATCTAATATTCTATCAGATGAATCTTACAATTTTCTTCGAATTATATAATTTTTCCGAACGCCGTTTTGAACTATATTTACTTGCCGGGAAACAGAATAAATATTATTAAATTTTCGCTATAAATATTTTTTAAAAAGCGTTGATTATGCATGGGTGTAAATATGATAGTTCATAAATAGGGATCATGAATAATTGGCAACTTGCTAACTAAGATAGTTTGTGTTCCATGATTGTGAACTACGTGCTGGTTTAATGTTGTCGCGAGGGAGTTCAAAGATTTGGTAAAAGATTTAAAATATTATTCAGCCTGATAAAAATATGATCAATAATATGAAAAAAAATTGGAACAATCCCAGATGATGTTTACGAGTTGATGTATATTTTTTTCACTAAGCGACTACCATTTAATCTGATAACATAAAAATTGTAAAAGTAGATGATAAAATGACCAATACGCAGTTTACTCTGTAAAATTGTAACGCCACTGTCTTCGATGCCCAGCTCCGTCGAAAGAGAAAATCCACGCTGTTTTCTTAAGTGAAAATACCAGGGTACCGTTCAATTGACAAACCTTATCTAATTTTTTTATTTCTATGTTAACTTGTCTACCCATCTAAGGGAAACCAAACAGGGTCGGCACGTCAACGAACTCGCTGTGTCGCAACAAAACCCAATTTTGGCGCTATCGAACATTTAAAAAGGAAAGTCGTGAGAAAATAGTGAAGACCGATCCAACGCCGATACAGAAGCCGTTGCGAAATAGCTTTCAAGAAATTAGCAAAAAAAAATTACTGCCTTAAACATTGGTTGTATGAATACCAACCAAGATTAGCGTTTGGTAACATTAACAATTGAAGTTATCAAATATTTTTCTTTCCAAATCAGCGTCTATTGCGTAATGCCATTCAATTAACATAAAATTGTTTCCTTGAGATCCGTTCATCATCACATAAACTCGTTTGGATTTCTGAAGTGAATGTCAATATGTTTACGATCCGAGCAGAATATGATTTGCAATTTTAAACGGTGCAGGTTGCGTTGCGATTTCGTTGATGCCCAAGCTGAGATTTTCAATTCAGTAGAATAAAAGGACCGATTTTGGTGACTTCCACATGCCACGAAATAAAATTATTTCAGACGACGATTTATATAAAATTACCCTGACGACCGGTTGAAATAATAATATATGTGGACATGTGAGCAACACACTAAATTATTTTCCGTGAAATGCAATTATTATCACAAAAACAACGTTTTCGAATACAATAGACGACGAAATAATTGCTTCTCAGCGTTTAACAATACCGCGATATTGTCTCCTTTCCGAATTAAAGCAATTTGAAAAAAAAAGAGTAAGGTTATTTTTATCCTCGAAGTGCGGATATTGAAGTGAATCAGATCTTTGGCGAGCAAATGCGGTTTAGTTTATAAAAGGCAGGATATTGATGGTTGACACTGAACAATTAATTAGTCAGAGGTCGGTTTTTTGATCCTCAAATTTAAAGTTTCTGATTAGAGTAATGTCTGCTTAAAGGTGCAGTTTGACATTAAAACTAAACAAAATAAAACAAAGCTAAAGTTTTTGAGATGACAACCTAAGCTAGGGCAATGAAAGTACACACAATAATTTTATGAAAGGAATTTGAAAAGTGGTACCTTAGCTGTTTAATACAATACTATTACAGATACAAGTACATTGATCCCTCAGCACAGATTCTAGTTTTGGTTAATTTATATTAAAAGAAATAAAATTTTAATCTTAGCTTAGTTATTTGATGTTTGGTACCGCTTCAGATGGCCTTTCTGCTTCTGGGTGACTTGAGCATCAGGTGTGCTGTGTTACAAATTCTGCAATCCTAATCGAAGCAGAACCAATAATACATCAGAATTTCATTCATATAATAAGCTTAACTTTTAAACATCAACAATATTAAAACAATAATAAAGGCTAAGGCTGAGCTAAGAGTCTAAAGTGATGAAAAGCAGACTTTGTTACAGCTAGTTTTATATAGGCTCTTCAAAATGTATTGCAAAAACAATAGAGAGTAGCTTATTCGGATTAAAAGAAGACGACTTTTTAGCAAGCTTGCTGCAACTTTGTTTTTCATTAAACTATGCATTATCTACCACTAATGATTTTGTTTATAGCTTTACAGGTTTCAGATACAAAATTTTCACAGCAATGTACTTCAATTCCGAAAAATTATTTTTTGCAGTTATCTGGTATCGGGATCATCATAGCTGGTGCTTTTATCCTGACGACAATGGCAGATTTCAACAGGATAGCCGAAAGCGACCTAGTGAAATTGGCTATAGCCTTAATATTCGCAGGCGCAATAGTTACCATCGTAGCCTTTATCGGATGTTTGGGAGCTATGAGGGAATCTTATGTTATACTGATGACGGTAAGCACTATACCGCTTTTAGCAATTAGCGAATATCACGTCGTGAGTTGATGACTCACAAGTTTTAGTATTTACAGGTGCAGGTGCAATTAATACTGCTTTGGACCACTTTTTTTTTTAATGAGGTATGAACGTGCTTATCATGCGGAGTGCGATTATTCAAATCTGGAACCAATTTCTAATTTCGCAACAATAACATTGATTTAAGCTTGGGCGTTATGCGTCTAGAGTGCGTCCCACTTAAGAACTGCACACCCTTGTAAAATCTTTGGCTATAGTTTGATTTTTTGTTTGATAGATCTCTCAAAAATGCACTAAAACTTATGTTTCTCATTACACCAACCTGAAGTCAAGGCTAAGTGGGACTAATTTTTGATTAAGCATTACTCCTGTAGAATGCTTGTTTATGGCTCAATTTTGATAATTCTTTTCAGTTGGATAGATTTTACTGAAAAACACTAACGATTTTCTTAAAATTAAATATGATTAGAGGCGAACTAAATAGACTTTATATATTTTATATATTAATTAAAAAGGATTTTCTATTCTCATCTAATAATGAAAATAACAGAAGTATTGACGGTGATTGATTGACTTCGGCATACTGTTTCCTTTGTAAAACCAAGTTTGTCATGGAGAAGCGAATATTCGACAGTCAAATTCACTCACTAAGATTTATTAATGGTGTTATTTTAAAATAATACTAAAAAATAAATGTCCCTTAAAATCGCATACAAAATATTCGTTATTTACAAGGTTTACAATATTTATTTTTTAAAAACATTAAAAACTTTAGTCATCGGACTTGTCACTTTTATGTAGTCTTGAACACGAATATGTTGTTTCCGCTTTAAAAATCTGTGTCAGTTATCCATGACTTTAGTCGATGCTATACGAAAAAGCCGTTTCATTCTCTTTAGTAAGCTTTATACAGCAAAAATGAATTGTCAAAATTGAGCCATCGCGGGCGTCCAAGCACTTAGGCCACCAGATGGGCCCGTTGTGCCCCCAGGCCGCTCTAGAGGGCGTCCAGAATGCCGCCCCTCCTGTAGAAGGTCAGCAACTCCTTTAGCCCAATACCGTGCACTGAGTCCGGATCGATCAGGGCCGTTCCGAAGACTCCCAATCTTGCCCGTGTCAAGGCAGGGCACTCGGTGAGCAGATGATACGGGGTCTCCTCCCCTTCCATGCACCACCTACACTCCGGGTCGTCTCCAATGCCTAGCAAGCAGAGATGCCTCCTAAGCCTGCAATGTCCTGTGTAGGCCCCTGTTAGTGCTCTACACTCCCTCCTGGTCAGTCTAAGCAGCTCCCTGGTCCGAGGAAGGGCGGGCCCATCCATCATAAGCCTCGCCTGCCTCATTCCCGGAGCAACTCTCCAGCCCCCCGCGGCCCGGTCTCTCGCCCAGGCTTCGAGAGCTCCCCGCCTCAAATTGAGCCATAAACAAACGCTCTACTGAAGTAATGCCTGTGTTCGAAATTCATGGAGATTAGTATTGTTTTATGAAGTCCTGGAAAAGAATTCGTTAACATTTTTAAAGAAATCCCTAATAGTTCTTCTCGATATTTGACATCAAAAACCAGTCCCAGTTAGCTATGACTTCAGGTTGATGTGATAAGAAACATAATGCTTAGGGGCATTTTTGAGAGATTTATCAAAAAAAAAATCAAAATCGAACCACAATCAAAGATTTTATAACGATATACAGCCTTAAGCGGGGCGCAAACGATGTTTTAAACACCCTGTATTGAAAAATTATAAAAATTGGGTTCTAAGTACTGAATAAGAATTCGTTGCCAATTTATTTTTAAAAAAATCCCTAATAGTACTTTTCTCTTCTCTTTCTTTTGTTGAATAGTCTCAGTTGGCCATGACTTGAAGTAGAAAGCAATAAGCAAAACAAAGTTTTAGTGCAATTTTCAGATGCCTATCCAACAAAAAAATAAACAATTATTTTAGAAGGGTATATATTTCTTAAGTGGGACACACTGTATTAAGAATTTGACTTCTTATTTTTGCAGTTTTATATAATATGGCACAATATAATATGACGAATTTGTTTCTTTTATTTATTTATTTGGATAGAATTACTTACTTTAGTACACAATGGAATAATTATCAAGATCTATGCCAAAACACTTGACTGAAACTATTTGACTCAATTGAAAGAGATTTTGAGTTGTTTAGATTAATGTGATTTACCAACTAGGATTTATCATCAAAGTATTTGGTAGCAGACATCTTTCCATTATCTAGCACAGCATTTTTTTTAACGTGTACAAACCGTGAAGTAGGCCTTAATATCTACAATTGTTGTGACCTAGTTATTAAACTTCTTCTTTATCTTCATTTAGAGTAATTGTGATGCTTGATTTTCGTCAACACTTTCGCGCCTCCGTGGTCTGTAGCTCTTGCAACGATTTTGTCCGTGTTCTTTTTCTTTTCACTTTATTTTACTTGTTTAAATATTTTAGCTTTTGTTCCAGTCAAAAATCTATTCTACATATTAATTCATTCTCTTTCTTTGCTCCAATATCTATAATATCTAATAAAATATGGGGAGTCTTGCGTGCAAGGGGCTCGTTATTGATTAATCTAGCTTTGACTTATCATAACTTTCATCAAGACTTTAAAAATATAAATACTAGTTTTCGTTATTGATGTGACAACAACATAATTTAAATTAAATCTAAATCACAACCCCTGAGAACATATATATTTATTTATAAAGTAATGACATGGAATAAATACAATAGCAAAGATAGACGATGGGCCTTACAAGCAAACAACATTTTCCTCTTTTTGTCATACCACACTTCTTGTCTCTGTTAATAATGTATTGGATTTTTTTATTATGGTTTTGGAGAACCATTGAGATCAAATCCACGGTTTTTCTGTGGTTTATACTGCTACCACACTCGTTAATCCTGTCATTTCTAAAAATTGGCAAAATTTCTTCGATTTTTGATTTCTACAATCAGATCAATTAGCGGAAATACTATTTTTAAAGACAATTTTAGTATCTAGGTGGTTCCATATTGAACAACGTAAGTCAAGTGAACGACGTTTGAAAACTGCGAAGGTCCATCGACCTTATCCCCAAGTACTTTTCCGCTTCTACCTCTATAACTGACGAAGACGAAAATAGGCAAATTTCCAACGCCCACTCACAATAAAAACCTCCGCAACAAGACAAAACTAATGCAATTATGATTAGCTTCCCCGTACGCGTTAACAATCGAGTTTTATCAAGTGAGTCAGAATTGTGGCCGCCGCCGGAATTAACAGCGACCGCGCCTCCTTTGTCATCAAATTGACCGACCGACCGCAATTATTGCAACAGTAATCGTGATCGTTGTTAATCCCCGACGTCACCTGTCTTGAATGTTTATGATTCACCTGAAACTATTTCGCTATTTCTTATGCACACGTGTGCCGAAGAAGTTCTTGCCCGATTTCACTCGATCTCAGCCATGATGGAATTTTCCATGTCTTACGTGACTACACACGCTGAAGAAATTTTATAGGGATACTTACAAACTTAGTAGACGTATAGAGTTTTGTGATATTCCTTTCAATATATATATATATATATATATATATATATATATATATATATATATATATATATATATATATATATATATATATATATATATATATATATATATATATATATATATATATATATATATATATATATATATATATATATATATATATTTGAATGAGACTGGAAATAATTCACTTATCGATGCACCATTTTGTTCAGGATGAAATGCATTAAAATCACGTCAGTGCCCCTCGGTTTAAAGCTATTTGAGATTTGAGATAAATGAACGAGCTAACCTTTAATCAACACACAATTAAGTATTTTACTGACGTGCTGAATCTAATCTCGTAAAAGTTTTACTCTTGCAAGCATTACTTTTAAGGAATAATAAGAAATTAAAGTAATACAGGGATTGTATAAGAAAATGTTTTAATATTGCATAATGAACTGAACGAATTTTTTTGTAAACACATATATGTACATTGATGACTTTGTACATTGTATGACTTTGTTTCGTACTGCTGATATTTGCTTGTTTTTCGCTATTTGCTCAGTAAATCTAGCAGTTTCGAATATTTTTTTCAGTGCTTTCTAAGTTCCAGATTAAGCGCTAGGATAATATTGTACAATTGTTAACTTGCGAGGTATAGACGACTGCAATTGTTTGAGAAAGTATTAAATATTCGGATATCTTTTTATAGAACCATAATAGATTTAATAATAGCCATAGAGTTTTTTTAACAGCAAGTCTGTTACAACAGTTTTGAAGTATAAAGTAATATTAGTAACATACTTAGACATAGACATAATAACACTGTATGCCCGAAACAATTGGCCGTAAAATATCAGATTGAAAGGAAGCACGAGAGATCAGGTAGTAGAGATATTCAAAAACTAGAATGTTTTGCACAGATTGACTAATAGTTTGCGCCGTGGGAAATAACGTACCAGTGATAAATAATAGAACCGGGAACTTTTGTTTAGGCAGCGATAAAAGCAAAATATAACGTGAAAACTGGCATGTTTTTTTTTTAAGCAAAAAGTTTGGCGTTTGCTCTATATTTTATTATTAACATAAATTTTACCTTCCTTAAATTTTGAAAAGTTGTTTTGTTTTTGCTTGGCATTATATGAAAATGAACTTAAATGAATCGTACGCATTTTTCATTTGACGGCTCCTCCCGAGCGACTTTCGTGCCGGTTTCCACTTTATTTTATTTTTTATTAAACATTTTTAAAAATTTGAAATGAAATTAATTGTAATTTTTTTTATTTATTTCTTTCTCTTCTCACTTTTTTTACGCCTAACCCTAATGGCTCTAGCTGAGTTCTTGGTTATCTAATTTAGCCTAATTGCCAAATTGTTGTCGCCGGCTATTAGAGTGTCAATTCGCTATTTAACTGGTGTTGCAGGGATTTTATTTAGGCCAATTTAGTAATGATGTCGCATGCTTGCCTTATCAATCATCGCGTTGCGGGTTTAATTAGCCCCAGCGGAAATCGATCTAAAATTAGCTGCACAACATCTCGTTTGAGGCAACGAGAACATTACAGTTTGTGATATTTGAAAAGGTACGAAATTTTTGTTGTGGCGTATATCTTGAATTAATTAAAATTGCGCATCAACCGATACTCATATGCATTATAATTGGTAACGTCACGAGAATGGATTTTTAACCTTGAAACAGCAACAACAATCCTGTTTTTTCATTCCTATGTAATAATAATTTGTTTACAACCAGTCGTTAGTTTAAAAACTTCCACTTTTAAATATCTGAAAATTCGCATCTTCCACTTCCATACAAAATAAAAGCTACGAGTACAAAGCGTAAACAAAAACAGTTTAATGAACGAATTTACTGAACGAATGATTACCTTAAAACTGCGTCAGAGGTTAATAGTTTACGCTCAAATTTTATGGTCCATCCATATGTGACAAATAACGTAATTGAGTGTAACAGTTAATTCGAAACGATTGAAATTAAATGGGACTAGTCGAACTTTTTTGCTATTTATGGTCATTTTCAGAGATGTAGTGCCACATGTGGATCTTGCGATATGAAACTTGTCTAGATCTTTATTTGTCATGCGGTAATGTAAGGGCTACATATACCACGATTATTTGAAAATGTTGTATTGTGCTATTTTCCATATATGTAGTCACATGTCTTATGAGGTTTGAGAGATGGAGCTTTTAAAGGTAACCAGTCAACATATCATGAGATTTTGCGCCGTCACAAGGTACTGCTTCTCCATGGTGGTGAATGCTGAATCATATTAGTGAAAACACCATGTTATCCCGCAGCCGCGCTGCTATTAAAATTGTCTTAAACTAAAAATTGTTTTTAGAGTTGCCTGATCATAATAATATTTTAATATTTTAAAATAGATCAATGATTTCTGGTATATATTTAAGTTATATAATGCTATTATTATTAAAAATTGTATTTTTGCTTCAAAGATAAAGTATAAAATGATGTAAAAAAGTGTCGGCAGCTTTTATTATTTACTAAGTGGTGAATCAAGTTATCGACCGTTTGCGAAAAATGTCACTGTGTCGTAAAAATGTGGTGTTAAAATAATTTCAGTAATACATTTGAAAACTAATATTGTCGCCTCAAATCATGCCACAATTACTAAAAAGTTTTTGAAAAAAACAAATGATAAGCATTCAGCAGCTTCACAGCAATTTAAGAAATTTACGGACATATGAGAATGTGATTAGCAATCTTACAATATTTGTATGAAAAATGTTGTAGTAAGAGATTTCTGACATAGTTTTACCATAACACTCAGTATTCAAGTTTTGCAAATTGCACGATTGTTCTATTTGCACTTTTGCAAAGGTCAGTATCAAAAAACAATGATTTTCTTATTATCCATTTATAAATATAATTGGTATCACAGTAAATGTTAGTTGTCATTTTTGTCGGTTTGGTTTTATTTATTTTTTATTAATTTCTTGAACAACACGCTTCGGTAAATTAGTCGTGAGCTTTCAATTTTTTTAAAAATTTTAATAAGATTTTAAAGATTTTAAATTTTTTTCATATTTGTTAATGTAAATTATTTTTTATAGTATATCTTTTACTTTCTTTAATTAATATAAAATAGATTAACTCGAATCAGGCGCAAAAGAAAACGCCTCGAAAATCACGGCAATTGAGGGCTATTTGCATATTCCCATCCTTACTTATTTAATAAATAGTGGCTCGCTGTGTATTTAAAAACCCACGTTTCATGGGTATTTTCCGCATTAAATTGCATCCTTGACGGCAGAAATCCTTGCCGCCCGGCATCGTGCTTTGCGTTGTAAAAATGCAGATATGCGTAATAATTTGCAAATTTGTTGAGAACAACCTAATCATATTTAACTCCAACAAAATAAATAAAAACTAAAAGTTCAGATTTTCACGAAATCATATATTTTGACAGGAATTGAATTGTTTCGACAACAGCGTGTCTTTATCAAATGTTGTTAAAGACACGGTGTTGTCGAAACAATCTGAACTTTTAGTTCTTATTTATTTTGATAGATTTTCATCAAGTAAAAGCCACCTCAGTTCAATTTTTTAACTGCAACTGCGAACGATTTGCGATCTAGTGGTCTTTTCTCAAAGAAGATTCCATAAATTTTGCGGTATTGCTGTACTTGAGATTCAGAAGCAGAATTATTTAGTAACAAAACTACCAATTAACACCTTCATTTGTTTAGAAAAAATATTTAAACATTGCCCAACAGCGAAACAGGTTTCTGTATATGCTAATGCGTTGTTTACGTCGTTCGCGGAGTTTGTTGCGCATTCGTACGATATTTTGGAAAGTGTCCTAACGAATCACGGTCACCAATTCGAAAATTTCACGCGCGATTGCAGAAGATGAGGCGTGAAATAATTTTGATAATAATTTATTAAAGACAATCCAATTCTATGTAAATAATTCGAAACCCGATTTGAAAGCGGTGGATTCATTTAGACACCACGTGATCTAGATCAAAATCGGAGATATAAAAAAAAACAAATGTAAAATGTAGTTTTGATGGGAAAACGCAATCAGAGATTTGCATAGAAGTTAACTAAAACACGTCTTTGCAAATTTAAAAATAAGCACAAATCACGATAATAAATACCCATTCTTAAAATTTTAGCGTAAAATTTCGTTTTTTATCTCCTATTTATTATTTTTATTATCTATTACTTCTATTATTTTTCGTGCTCTAAGTATTGGTATTGCCATTTTAAAATTGGGTGTTTATATTTGTGGTGTGTCGCTTTTACGTCTTGGCAGGAATTATTCTACTCTGAATAATTTTCCACAATATAAATTAGAAAACCTAATATTTTTATTTAAAATAGATTTTGTGTCTTTTGCGTTTCAGTTCGCCGGGTTATTGCTGGCGGTATTCATTATGGAACTGACAGTGGGCATCTGCGCAGCCGCGTTCAAGGCAGATTACAAAGTCGCTTTTAAAGAATCCCTAACCGAATCGATGAAACGTGCACAAGGGAACGGCAGAGACAAGAACTACTGGGACGTCATTCAGAGACAAGTAAGCATAACTAAATCTTTTAATGAATAATAATTTACGTAATTTGGAATTTCTTATCCACAAATAAAATGTTTCTTATTTTGAATTTTTCGTTGGTTCTAACGACTTTTCTTTGTTTATCTAGAAAGAAAATTGTTCTTGTTGTTTCTATTTCGAAGACAACTTTTTTTAAATCAACTTCTTCTTTACTCAACCAATAGTTTTAGATAAAAGTATCTCAATGCATAATATGACATTTACTAATGGGCAACGTTATTTTCACTCCATATATTGGTTGTAACCTACTTAGCGCATGTGGTTTCCTTTGCCTATAAAGATTTCTTTGTGTTCAAAGGCCTAACTTAACATTGTAAATACATTTATTAATTCAGAAAATAAGGCTATTAGTGACATTTAACCAATGCTGATGGATGTAATATCGAAATATGCATATAATATAATAAACAGTGTTACAAAGAAATAGGCCACCTTTGACTCCAATTATGGTGTTTTTGAACTCTTTATTTTCAATATACAGGATGTAATAGTTAAGTTTTGAAAAATTATTATTATTTAAGATATCTTTTTGAAATTTGGTACATTTATTTTAGCTTTGACTTGCCCATTTTTTCTGATGGATTCGAAATTAATATTTTGTGATTTGGTTTTTGATTTAACCTTTTATTTCTAGTGAAATTTTGATTTAAAACGTCTTTAACTTGATGTTTTCATTTATTTAACCTTGTTTTACAAACAGTACAAAGTTATATCATTTCCAATTTTTCTTTGAATCAATTAATTCATAGTTGTAATTTGCAATTGATCTAATTAATTAGTTATGAATAAATATGCCTATTGAAAAGTAAACTTGGACATCCTGTATATTATAAGCAGCGTCCAAAATAAAACTGATATAATGGATGTCCTATATTTTAATCAAAATTATATATGATTATTTCTAACATCCTGTACATCCCGATTAAGGAGGCAAATCAATGTCTAAAACCATATAATCGAAACCACACAAAGAGATAATTTAAAATGTTAAAACTTTGTTTTTATGTTATTTTGCTCGAATATCTATTTTCGTAATTAAACCACCATTTTCTCTTTTTTTAATTCGATAATGTTTTCTTGTCAGTGGCTTATAAATTGACGTCTGACCTTAACATTCTTTTTCAGTTCAAATGCTGTGGCGTCGATGGTCCAAGAGACTGGCCCAATGCAAACCGTCCCATTTCTTGCTGTTTGGATAAATTCTGCGCAGGGGACTACGCCGTCTACCATCAGATTGGCTGCTACGACCAGCTTGTAGAAAAGATTCAAGAGAGCACTTCAGTATTGGCCTACGTCGGCGTCGGAATCGCATTCATGGAGGTAAGGCAGAGCTTTTAATTCGATACTGTAGAGACGCATGAGCTTTCAATTCAAATTTTCCATATCGTTATGTTGTATAAAGTGATTCTGGCAACTACAATTATTGAATCTGAATTATATTTAAATAATACTATTTCTGACATGATGTACATGAAAAAAACTTCAAAATCAAAATTGTCAAAAGCTATTTTACTTGTTACGTATGTCTAAATTGGAAAGTCTGCTGATTTGAGTTAATCTTTCCTTTTTATGCTGTAAACTGTAATTGTCAAAACAACTAAGCACAGGTAAAGAGTGAATCACTTGTACAACATATCAACAAAATCTTTTTCTAGGCATATCAATCTAGCATTTCTAACGATGCACTTCTTTTCTAGATTATAGGCATATTTTTGACGTGTTGGTTAGCTAACAGCATCAAAAGTGATTAATGCCGACCTCCTCTGCGCATGCGTTTCGCGGCCGGATAGCGCAAAAGCGGTCGAGTTACTTAAAAAATCCATCTTTCGTTTCAGATTCTAGGTATATTTTTGACGTGTTGGTTAGCCAACACAATCAAAAACGACGAAGACGAGGTCATCAAAATTCACAACGGACGAGATTTGGGAACTAGCTCCGAGTCGTAGGCGTGGCGATTCATTTGCCAAATACGCATAAAACGAATACCAAAAATCAAATAGAAAGTAAGAGTGCGCAAGATTGCAGGAACGCGACTGTCGAGTTCCTTTATCGAGTCCGGCCAAACCAAATAGTGTTCATATTTTATACTGTACTAATGTTGGACCAGAGTTAAGTCGTTTGCTGGAGAAATCAAACGCCCAGGCCCAATGACAATGGTTGTTCTAAATATTTTCATTTATATTCTCAATAGAGCTTGGATTATCTTTATATTTTGAATTAAAGTTCCGGCGAGATTTAGTAATATAATTTTATCACTTTCAAAATATACAAAACTGAAAACAATGAAAATATTTTGGTTATGTTATTAGTTTGAGCGAAAGATATCAATGTCTATATTGCCATTGCCAATTAATATCGTCTGTATAAGAAATACCTGAAATATTTTCCAAAAATATGTTGGATTTTCCAACTCCAGTTGGCTAAATAAGTGAAGTTCGAAATTTTACATAGAAACTCACGGGAATGTGTTATTTGTTTCAAAAATTTAAATCATTGGTCTTTGTCAAGGGGGCTTTTGATTTCTCCTTGATTTTCATCAACGTAACGGGCTAGATATTTTGATCTAGTACATAACAACTGAACTTAGGAGGGGTTGTAAACACTCATTTAGTTTCATGATATCAATCTTGTCTGTCGGTGCAGAATTTTTCATTTTCGAAAAAGCAATTTTCATCTTAGTTACCATACGATAATTTAATTTTATGCTTAGATTGATAATTTTAAGGGTACAAATAGAGTATTAAAACGTATTAACAATATTTTAATTGTATATTAGACGGTAAAAATCGAAAATATTGACCTAAGAAGCAGTATTTATTTTACTCCTTGATACCTAGTCTATTACTATGATTAATTCTTGTTAAATAGATGTTGTAAATATCGAACGTTTTGTAATATACCAATACAATTATTGTAATTTACTTTTCCTGTTTTCTGGATCCTGCTATCTAGTATTTTTTAACTCATGTCTCAAAAAGCAATCTCTAAATTTGTTCGGTTTTCGTTGCTGTTCCTAGCAGAAATAGTAAAAGCCAAAAAAAAAAATGCAATTCATAGAAAAAATAATTATTACAGCACCCAGAATGTCAAACTTAGCAGATTCCAAACCTGTTTATTTTTCTTATAGTGTCGGAAATATTTAGTCATGTGGGACCAGTGCCAATTAAATAATTAAATAAAGTTTGATTTGAACATTTGCTTCGTTGTTCTTATAGACAACTTTTGCAATATTACATTATTTTATGAAACTAGAAAATGAGCAAATGTACGAAAATAAATAAAACTATTTTAAGCTGTTTCTAATTATATAGATTTCGCGTTTAATGTGATGAATTGCAATTTTCTGATCACATTTATATACATTCTTTATACCTGAAGTTACAGGAATAGTACATATATGAAAAAATTCTTGAAAACCTCGAAAACAAGAAGATAAGTAACACATTGAATCTAAACCTCTAGAAGTAGATGGTCTCTTTCAACCTAGAGCCGTGCAAAACTCTTACTGCAATTTTCCTCAATCTGACAAGACTGTGCACTAGCACCATGCAAAACAATCTATATGAGTAGAAGTTTTGAGCATACACGTTTGTCATCACCAGATCTAATATATATGACACCAAGCAGTTTCAAAGGTTTCAATTTACTGGCAGATTATTTTTCTGTGTTTTGTTTTCAAAACGTGCAAAACCACTGATTCGCAAGACTTACGTTTGATACAGAAAGTCTAACCAAATTCATCTAAATTTTTGATTTAGTAACAAACGTTGCGAATTTGGTAAGTCATTTCTAAAGATGATGATACCAACTGACCCAATATGCCATATTATATTATTAATAACTTGGAGTTCTGACTACCAGTGGCTGCGTACTGCATTCCGCTCGAGAGATATGAATATGAGTAATTATTTAATTAATTTTTCTTTCTGAATTAACGATACTTCAGACAGATTTCCTTTTATTGGTGGATCGACTAATCAGGTTCTTAAAATATTTTTTTTGTTACACTTCATGGTTTTCCAATATTGTTTTCTATAGGTGGTGGTTCAGTTGTATCGAACCTATATGTTTTGAGTTGGTCTCTCATTAATTTAAGCGAGTCCGTTAACGACTTAACTCCAGACCTATTATATTTAATGATTATAATAGGAAAACAATTTTCTATATGACAACACAAAATGTTATAGACGACAGAGGTACTTTAGTTACTGTTTTTCTTGAGAGAATTGTAATCATTGCAGTATATATGACTTAAACTACATTTATGACTAATAAATGAATAAAATTAGAATAATCGTTGAAAATGGTCTATTTTCAATGATTATTCTTAGTTTTGCAAAGGATTTTTTTAAAAAATACAGGTGGACCCTGAACATTTTTAAATGTTCTGGAAAGCTAATTTCCTAAGTTAAGTTGACTATGTGCTTTAGCTTTTGTAGATATTTATTCTCCCTTATGATCAGATATATTGAAGCCGATCACTTTTGTGAACGTATTAACCTACATACAAATTTGTCAAGATATTATCAACTCGATTCCTTCGGTGCATTTCGTATTTTCATGTATATAACATGGAAGTTCATATATAGATTTCCAATAAAAATATTTAATATTTCGCATTTTTCACATGGATCAAAATTTTTTTGGAAAACTAATTTTGAATATTGTGAAAATATATTAAAAATCTATTTTTTTCTGTCTAATTTGATTCGCTTTTGTTAAGATTTTGTATTACGGTTAGGGATGAGTTTTTCCAATTATACTAAATAAAAAAAGTTTTCGAAAATTAGTTTTTATATTTACTATTAATACCGATTGGGTTCAGTAAAAAAAGCTTTAATAAAACCGTGGTATTATATCAACCAATATATCAACACATCACACTCAAAAAATACCGTTTTCGTTAAAAGTACGCCAACATGCATTTATCTTTTTTTAATATATTTGGCAAATAAGTCAATTGTCATATTTTAGTCATAGCTGGCAAACATTACTAACATAAAATTTATGCTTTTAAAAACTTAAATGTTTAAAATTTCAATCAACTAAGTTTTAGGTGGTGACGGCATTTTTGCTTTTTATTAATATTAAAAATAAAATTTAGAATGAATTGCTTGGGACTGTTTCTGTATTCGAGAGGCACTAATCTGTTTTAGTTTCTTTCATTTATTCCCATTAAATTTTGTTACTTGAGAACCACAAACTGCTATGCAGTTTAGTGGTATGCCAGTGATAGTTTTTTTTTTTGTTTTTTTTTTTGTTTTTGCTTTATATTTTAAATAACAATATTTGTTCATTTTCTCTCTAATCTTGCTTTATTTCAATTAACTTTTTCTTACTTCAAAATTTTGTGTCATGGTTAATTTTCGGCTATTTGTAAATAAAGTTATTATTATTATTATTAAAAATAAGAGACAAAAATTGTTTAGATATTTATTTTATATTAAAAAATATATATAAATATTTCAGCATTGCAAAATAAATAAAAAAATTTGTTAATTAAACTAAAGATATGTTCTGGACAAAATCCAATAAATTTTCTGTTAAATTCGACTTTAGATAATTTAAAATATATTTCAGTGCTGAAAATGCTCATTAAACACTCACTTGTCTCATAGGTAAACAAATATTTTAAGACACGTATCTCGCTTTTCGCACGGTTCTTCATAATGACGATCTAATAACTATAGAATATCTAGTGTATTATGAAATTTTCAAGAAATATTTCCTTTTTGTTTTAAAAATTACTCTCTTTAAAGTTGAGTTTAGAAATGACTCTTCAACGAAACTGTTACCTTCATTTATATTTTTTAGAGCATTCCATACATGTAGTTTTTAGCTATGTCAATTTGTAAAGTAGATAAAACTACTTTGAATCTTGGATCAAGAAATATTGCTGACATAGTCACATCTTAATTAAATTGTGTTTTTTCCATTTCGTTTAATGATTCCACTAAATGTTTCGAAAATCGGCTACAAATTATTACTTGTTTCCATTTTACACTTCAGCCAGGCAGAATAAAAATCTCCAGCCAATAAATGCGTTAATTTTTCAAAGAAACTTCCACAGGCTACTGTAATACTTTTTGCAAAACTTCTGGATTCCTCCTGCTTCGGTTTTTTCTGTTTTCCTGAAGACAGTCAAGCTCTGAAGAAGCCAACAAGATGATTGGCGAAACGTTAACAATTTCGACTCAGCAAAAACAGACGCAGGAGAAATCCAGAAGTTTGTAAAAAGTATTACAGTAGTCTGTGAAAAATCTGATTCAGGACGTCTCCAACGACTTCATTTAGGGTCGATGCGAACCTAAAAATATTTCTAAAAATAATTGCGTTCAAGTTTCATTCACCCCAAAGCCTGACCTGGAAGTGGATTTTTACGGTTGACGCTGATTTTACATTAGAGGACGTGTTCACAAATTAGTGTGTGAGCAAATCCCATAAAAAGCTACTTTCCATAAATAATTTGAGTTTTAACTCCAAAACCATGGTCGGAGCATTGTTTACTGAAAATATTATATACATTTGTGACATTTGTTTATAAAGGGCAAGACCTAAAATATTGCCACAACATACTTTTCTCTGCTTAATTCGCTTTTGGATAAATTCTGTATAACAATTAGGAAACATTCAAATTCAATTTAAAGCAACATTTGTAATCTTCCAGAGCTCTTTTATATTTATCCTGAACGAATCGAGGTATATTTAAATTTTGCTGTGTTTACCAGAATATTGGATTCTGCATTTTGCATCTATTATACCTTACAATAATTGTCTGGCATGCTCCTTAATATCAGTAAAGCAAACTTAGTCTCATTCTCAAAGAAAAAAAAAATTGCTCCACATGATTCTAAATTTTTTAATCATTTAAAGAAAATTGTAGGATGTTCACTGCAACTCGTCGGCTTTTTCTGTAACTCGTAAGTTATAATGTGGAATTTCCGAAATGTGTATCTAAGTTAAGAAGAACATGGGCGCTCGTTCTACGATTACATGAGTTTAACGCGAAAACGACGCTGGCTGCTATAGGAACAGAAATGTTTGAATCCATTTCGAGCCAATGAGGTCGTAGGAAAACCCTAATGTGAAACGAGCAATAAAGCGTGGAATTTTACCACCCCCGCGACACACTTCCTATATACTTGTTAGTGTTAAAGCTGTTGGCGTAACAACAACAACATCACGCGAATAAGTTTGTAAACTGAGACACGCACTGCAGTTTTCTATTGACCGATTTTGTTGCGCTTTTGAAAAAATGGAGACGTGCGGAATGAGTCTGGTCAAGTACATTTTGTTTGCGTTCAATTTAATTTTTGCGGTAAGTGATATAGATGATGGTTGTTGTGTATATCGACCTTTCTGAATCGACAACGAATCGACATTTGGAAATGTCGATAACCGATCGATTCAGTTGAAATAGTCATGAACAATAACGAAATACGTAATGATATGATATCGATATTCGCTACAGGGTTATTTTAACAAATCCCACTTCACAGAACACCATTTTCCTGGTTGAATACTTGAACTAGAAAGTGATAATTTCCCTGGTATGTGTTATTATTAAAAGTTAAGTATTATTTTCTTTTAGCGGGGATATTTACAAAAGGTTATCATGTGCTGATAAATAAGACTAAGGGATCACTAACGAAATAATTCCTGTGGGTGAAAGTTTAACTCCTTGAAAAATAAAGAAAAATATTATTTGCATAAATTATTTGCAATAGAAAAAGAAAAATTTGAATGCAACTACAATTTAAAAAGGGTAATGAAAAATATAAGAGTAAGAAACGAAATGGAAATAAGAAGGGAAACCAATTGACTGATAAAAATTAACTTTTATTTAAATATATTTTTAATTTTTTTGGTATATTCTTATAAAGTTTTTTTTAAAGATATCTAGATGCATTTATTAGGTTTTAGTTTGTCGTCATCGCATACATTTTGATCTAGTTTAAAACATGCTTGTCACGCTTAAAGGAAAAGAAACATCGTGAGTTTTAGAAAATTCGATGTTACTAAGATTTTGGATAAGGTGTATTTCGTTGATGGTATATCTAATGCCATATCAGCAATTTCGAACTTACAATTATAAGAATTAAAATATACAAAACTGAATTCAGAAAAAAATCCGAATTTTCTAGTGAAAAATGAACAGATCTTCCACCAAAGTTTAAAGAGCATTTAGAGTTGTATTCCTATAATACAATACCATACTTGAATTTGCGTGAAAATTATAAACGAAATATTCTAAGTTTTACAAATTAGGGATAGACCCATCAAATTGAGAGCAGAAAATATGTTCATACTTCACTCAAACTGTCCTTATTCTGCATTCCGAAACTTATGCTACAGGTTACTAAAAAATAAGCCTTGGTACTGATTATAAATTATAAAAAGTTCTGAAGCTCTAATATAAATTAGAGCCAAAGCATTGTATTACATCTATATACGTATGTAAATGGCGAATTCAGTTGACTAAAATCATCAAATAAGCAACAAAAAACTTAAAAACAGTTTGAAAGCGGTCTAAAATAATATATAACACAATAAAGATCTTCCAATCTGATTTGGGTCTTGTCAGTACCCAATACATATTGCTTAAAAAATCAAATAATTTGTTATAAGCTATATGTAATTTGTTATAAACTATTTAAATTAAGTGTAGTTAGATTATTACTTTGATTTTTGATTCAACCGAACTTTAAAAGTATAATTCATCCTTTAACTCTAGGTAGATGTATATAATTTATACCTATATATCTAACTTTTCTCCTCTATAAAATATTATTTATTTATTTAAGTAATAAAATATTTCTGGAATTTCCAACGGTTCTTCACGAAAATTGGAATTGCGGAAAACATTTTAATGTCACGTTAATGAAATGGTTCAAACGCTTGATTAATGGCGAATACCAACGCCAGTTTTACGATAAAAGATAGCATATATAAAATGGATTCACATGCTCTAGTTTTATTGTGCACTGTATTGACCCGCCTTTTCCGTGAAAATTTGTTCAATCGACTTTCCTATTAGGCGTGGGAACAATAATTTTCAATTCTGTACGGGTCGTTGGAAGTGATGACGGAACTGATCGGAATTGAAAACCAGTAAAAGAATGAATTCGGAAATATACTAACCTATGTTTTTTATTAAAATAAAATAAAACTTAGGATTAGGCAATAGTCATATTATAATGGTATTATAGTATATGATGCAGTAAGTGTGATAAAACGCCACTGTAACCAAGAGTTAGATCAAAATACAGGGGCTGAAACCTACCATAAACATCCGACCGTCTCCAAATCCACGTGACTAAAGTACCGGTAGTCTCTGAAAGGAGCCAGCGAAGCTGACGTCTTAAAGTAACACTTTGGGCATGCCTGATAAGTGCATATTTGGGTATTTGATAGCAGGGAGTAGAAAAATGATTTTAATTGAATTTCGTAAAAAAAGAACAAAATTGATTTGCCAATGCTCGCCACAAATAAAATCGAATTGACGAACCATTGATTGAGTTGCACAAAGTGACAATTGACTTTGCAGTTAAACATGCCTTTAGACTACAAATCTGTTCAAACGTCCACGTTATAATCAGTAATTGTTTGTTATTGAGCCGAACCTGAAAATATTAACTTATCATCCTTATTATTTGAAGAAAGCGATTTTAAGTTGCTATTTTCACTATTTTCAATTCTTAAGATTTCCGGTCTGGGCATTATCATAGCCGGTGGATTAGTACTGTCCGATGTGTCAGATTTCAAACACTTTACGGACAATGATCTGCTTGGGCCTCCGGTGGTGCTCATCGTCACAGGGTCAATAGTGTTCATCATCGCCTTCCTAGGATGTTTCGGAGCAATTAGAGAATCATACAAAATGTTGATGGCGGTAGGTCAAATAATCACCAAAATCGCCTATAACTTGTCTGAATATTTATTTTCTAATTTTGTAGTTTTCCGCTTTGCTGCTAGTCATATTCATCGTGGAGTTGGCAGCCGGCATTGCCGCGGCAGTTTACAAAGGTGACTTTCAGTCGACCTTCAAGAAGACCCTGTCTGCTTCCATGACCAACTATTCGGGAAATGAAGTGGAGCGGATTTCTTGGGATAAAATACAAACAAAGGTATGCAGAAGCAGACGTGAAAATAATTTAATTTTTGGCAATTTGAAATTTAAATTTTGGCCCATCAAAATATTAAAGGTGCCGATTTCCGAGGGCGGTAAACTTGACAGTTCCATAGCAAAAAGGCAAAAAGCAAAATTTCAAGACAAGACAAAGTATTCGCTACATACATATTTACTGTGGCTGAGATTTTTCTGGAAAAAGCACCCAGAACATATCGCAACATGGCCAACCAGAATTTTGAGCCAAATTTAATAGCTAATATTATTATTATATTTGGAATTTTCGGGAGCGCTTATTTCGATTTTTAACATTCATGCGGTCCTTACAATCGCTTTGGGCGTTTTCACTTAATTTAAAAATATAGGTGGGTATTCTATCGGCACGAATGCTGTTACGAACATGCCCTAAGTTTGCGTGTTTGACAAGTATGTACACAGACATTAAAATAAGTTATGACTCTGTTTCTCCCTTATTTGAGTTTCCGTTGTTCGCTATCAAAAAAAGTAAAATTTGACGGATCTAGAAAATAGATTCAGCATTCAATTTGATCATATTAAAGGAATAATGTTTCATATTATGAAAAATAAAGTGGTGCTGTTAAAACAAAATTATTTATTAAGAATTTTCTAAATGTAAAAATTATTTATTTTATTTATTAATTTGTTAGTTAATCTACGTTTACCTCAATTAAAAATGCTTTGTTCTGAACAACTTGATGGTCGCCTATATTTATATATGTCGGCAACAGAAGAGATGAGATATTTGCTTTAAGTCTAAAAATATAAAAATGGAAATGTTAAGTAAGAGGAAGGTTGTGTCTTTTTCGAAAAAAAAAAGCAAAAACTGTTTTTTCCGGAATGGATCACTTTTGTGTTCTTTCCATAATGTAAATTTTGTTTTTAATGGAAATTTCAAAAACTAATAGTAATCTAGTAATCTTCAATAATGTTGAGAAGAACAATAAGCTATTCATAATTCTATATATGATGATAATGGGGGTAACCAGAAATATTTTGTTATTGCGATCTTGTTACTTTCCAAAATCGATGAATTCGAATTTTTCGAAAGTATTTGCGCTTCTATAAAAAATTTATATCTCGGTAACGGTAGGTCCTATTGGATCGCCGTCGGTACAGAAATGATCATCGTTTATCCGTTCTCCGTTCTCCGTTCTCGTCTTTTGGTTTTTCCTGAATAACTTTCGAACCGTTGGAGCTACAAAATTGAAATTTGCCTCCTTTTTAACGCTCCACGAGGCACATAGGCTTATAAGAAATGGCCTGAGATGAACCCGGTATCCATCTTTTTTCAGCGATTTTCGACTGTTTTTTATACCTTGAAACACGATAAGTGTCCGAAATTTGAAGCAATCGACTTCATGTTTGGCATATATTTGCAGCTTTACCCCGTGAAGAAACCTATTGAAAATGGGGGGGCTGCGGGTCGGGAACTGTTCTAAAAAAATAAACAATCGCGCGTGCAAGGGTCTACAAAAAACATCATTTTTCAAAAACTGTTCACGAGATCAAAAAAATTCTTGAACCAGAAGAAGCACAAGATACGGCTCTATAAACTTCTATTCTTAACAATTTTTCAAAAATATACAGGGTGCGCCACAAATTCCAAAAAACTGGGTCCCCCTATTATTGGAAATTGGTTATAACTAAAAGACTATGCTTCAGATCTCAATTTAGCAGAGAAGTAAAAGTCCGTGTCCCCATTTAAACGGTAGAAATTGGTCGCAATAAAATTTTACCAAGTATTATTTTAAAATATTTGAATTTTTTTTTTGGTAATATAAGCTTCCAAAAAAATATGCTTTCCTCCATAATCGTTCATCCGATTGGCAAAATTCTTTAACCAGTAGACGCAGAAGATTCAATGCAATAACATTTATTTCGGGAATTTTTTCGATTATATACAGAGTTTTCAAATTATAGGCAAAAATCTAAAAGACCTAGAAAATTGTTCTTTTACAGAGTAAATTATTAGCCGCAAATCAAAAATCGTAAAAAATATGGCTAATTGGTACAAACGGTGTCATAGGCCGCATCAAGAGCTACAATTTTTGTATTTGCGGTTTTCGTCTACCACGTACGCTGGTCGGGATATTTGGAAAAATCCATATCGAAATCGTTATTTCGGGGGCTGTCAAGACGCAATGACGTCTTTGATTATTAAGGCGCACTGCGTTTCAGAAAAAACTTTATTATTTCGAAAACCATTTACTATTTTCAAAAAATTCTTCAACCAGATCGCTTGGAAAATTTAGGGCTATAACCTCTACTTCGAACAATGGTTGTATCATATACAGGGTGTGCCGTTTATGGGAAAAAAATCTAAAATATCCCAAAAATTTCCACTTTTGTGGGTAAATTATTGGCGATAAATGAAAAACCGTTAAAGATGAGATAATTTTATTTAAACAGTTTCGTAAACCGTATCGTGAGGGAGTTTGAGATTTCGTCAATTATACAGGGCCCGAGACATTTGAAAAAATATCATTCGACACAGCTATTATTTGTACAAATTTTAATATTTACCGATCTTTGCTGTAACTTTGAAGTTCGACAAGATGACTTGCCAAGACAAGACGAACTTGCCCCTCCCAGCGACGACTTTTCGAAAGCAATCTTGTTATTTCTTTTGACAGTTCAAGTTTTTTGAAGAAGGCCCATATGATAGAGGTGCAAAAACTTATTAGTTATCACCCAGAAAAATTAGCAAGTAGTGTCTGATTCGCAGAAAAAGGTTACATCTTTGTGCTGGAGCAACAATTTCATTTCTTTGACTTTCTCTAGAATGCATGGAGGTACGGTGTGTTATTATTCAGAAATGTTTTTAAGATTTAAGTAAGCATGATTGTGGAACGAAACAATCATCAATCAATTAAATAATTTAAGTTTGTATTCGTTAAATTAAAAAAATGACAATGTATTCCAGTTCCATTGCTGCGGTGTGGACAATCCTGAAGATTGGAAAAAAATTGACCCTGCGTATCCGAAAACCTGTTGCGCAGCTAATCCGACGCCACACGATTTAGAGACGGGCGAAGTTCAAGAGAACGATTTCTGCAAGCAAGACGGGGGCGGAACACATCTTTACTCACGAGGCTGTTACGATAAACTTAAAATGAAAGTCGAATCCAACATGAAAGTCTTGGTTGGTGTTGGCATTGGGATCGCTTTTGTTGAGGTGAGTCAGCAATGAAAACATTATAGGAGTGTAATTCCTTTGCTTATTGTATTTCTTCACTTATTCCGAGTTCATAGTTATAGGTGATATAAATTGCTTTGCTTTAAAGATCGTAAGGTTCAAACTTTTTGTCGATTTTCATGAGTCCCGATTAAATCCAAATAGTCAATCCGGCTTCTCCACTGATATTTTTTGTACTTTTTGTTACATTTGCAGATTAAGCATTTGAAAAGAAAACTTTTCGATTTCTTATACTTTTTATCGGGATATAAAAAGAAAATGATACTTAAACTAGCTTTGTTCGAGGACTTCACTGGAACTATTGACTTGACTTGTAACTATTGATATTTTTTTAACAATATACCCTATACTTCTAAATTGTTTTCAACTCCTTTAAACAATAAGAAAGGAAAAAAAACATTTTAAAAAGGAGCTTTCTTCTCAGGTGATTGGAATAGTTCTTGCATGCTGGCTGGCGTACACCATCAAGAAGGAAAACGAAACGTCAAAGTGAGAAATTGGTAATCAGAGAGTTCAAGAGCAAATTAAAAATATTTACGTTTATTAACAACAATGGTACAACAATGAATTTTATTAGATGTGTTCAATTGCAAGAAAGACTTCCTTTGTGTCGTGAGTTTGGCTTATGTCTTCTTAGCGGTTTTCCAAGCTTTAAATTTAGGGGATTGTGTAAATTAAATTCTTATCACCTAATTATAGGTTCCTCAGTGTTAAAATATCTAGAAGAAATAGTTTTTGAGTGTGCAAAAACCATAAAAATTGTGACAATGTTAATAGTAATAAGGATAAGGATAGATACCACTGTTATAAATTAATTGAGAGTTTATGCATGGAAAATTAATTGTTAAATTATAAAAGTTGTACTTTCTGTTACAGCAACTATAAACGTACTTTAGCCCTAATACATTTATTCGGTTTAGAACTTTTATATGTTTGGGATGGTGCGACATCTAACGGAAATCTGGCGAAGCATTAAAACTACTCCACTCAGCGAGATCGTAGATTCCATTTTAAGGTGGTTCCTATTTGACCGAACTGTTCTATCTATCCGCGAGAAGAGAAATAAGCTTTCAATCCTTCTGCTCAGGGTAAAACCTTACAGTAATGTTTATTTTATCCGAGTGTAAAACCATGTAAAATGTTCCTTCATTGATATAAATATGTTTTAAGAAATGTAGCTTATATGTGGCACAAATCTGGAATGTAACCTAATTAGGTATATTACAAAATATAAACTGAAATTGTTTTTTACATTTTTTGAAAGAAATTGATATGAAGTACTTATATGTCTTCGTTAACGAAATAATACACTTTGGAATCCTTTAAGGACACAATTTTAAGTGTTAATGGAATTTGTCTTTTTAGAATGCATATAGTAGTTTTATATCCGTTTTGTGGAGACCTCTGTATTCAAGGCGCAGATTAAAATCAATAACTCTTCAACGGAGACGCCCCGTGTTGCCCTTTGGAACTAACCGGGACAAGCAAAGGTGATTTTCGGCAGCTATTTGATTTAACTAGATTTTTAATTGCATCAACCTTGAAATACGGACAGGGTTTTAAAATAAAATAACACAACTCATCCAATAGACCTCAGAAACGGCAAAGAAAAATAAAATAGCATTCGCCAATCTTTAATACCGGCTTCATTGGAGGTTTTTCGTCGTCTCTTACTAAATGATTTAATTAATCAATTACCAAATATTGAAGGAGGAAAAAATGCTAAGAACATGCAAAGGTCGTGAAACCTGCCAAAGACAACAATGTTGCTGCCTCAGTGAAACAGACCTATAAGTTAGAGTCGATGACATATCCTTGCAAAATTTCAAGGCTATTTTCAATTTGATAGATATCTGGAGATTTTTAAGACTCAATCTTAGATGAATATGGTATTCCTAAATTTTTCCATAGTTTCTTAGTAAAATAGTTATCAAATTTTATGAAGTGGTCGGAAAAAACCTAAGTTAAACAATACATAAAACAAAAGTTAAAAATAAGTTTTATTACCTGTTAACTCGGAGTTGGCAACAATACCTTTAGCAAATTACTTAAAGAAAGTGTCATAAGATATAAAATATGTTGGGTCTAATAAAAATACTGTTTTAGAGTTTTTTTGCCACTAATGGGACACGTTTTTGGGTCAACTTTTCTTATAAGCGCAAAAAATTTTCGGTTCATACTAACACAGCTTTCCTATTCCGGAGTTGTTTGATGTTTTGTTAGTCCCACACGCACACGCGTGAGTTTCCCGCATATCATACCTAACGCTTCCTCCTGCATTTTCTACCTAGCTTTAATTTGACTGTTGCTAGAAAGGAACATAAGGTATTGTATAAATGGATTGAGGCACCTTCCGACAGTTCAATTTTTCGCGTGAGTTACTGGGTTTACAATTAGATGATATGATATTATCATGTCTTTCATTTTGGTTGTAAACTCCTATTTCAAGCCTTGATGCTTGCGAAGGCTGTTTGTTTTCCTCTCAATATTTGCAGGCTTCTAATACTTCCTCGTCGATTACTGCCATATTTATTTATTATAATTCCGTTTTTTGTCAATTGGGAGCATTGTTAATGTTTTCTACTGAAAAATTTTACGTATGCTGGAGTTACGCAGCACCAATTTTCATTTTCTCATTTTTATCTCTTGGTAAACATTTTTGACTTGAAATGGAGAATGTTTGCATTTGTATTCATAAAATTCAAGCCTTTTTTGTTTTATGAAAATTATGCCAAACATTACAAGATATTTCGTAATTGCAGGTACTGATTTAATTGCTTTCCTATAGCACCCCTTTTATATAGTTAAATCATAGCGTCTTATCGTCTATTTGTTATGAATTGTTGTGTGTCTTTCATCTACACATCCAATGTTTTTCAATTTGTCTTTATCACTTCATTTAGCTTCAATTCTCGATTTATTTTTTCTTCTCAATGTCTAGTCTGTCAAGTCTCTGGGGATAAGGGGGCTTGAGCAGTCGCACACAACGAAAACAACTTTATAAAACACTTAGGACATAATATAGACTTTAAGTAACCCTAATATACACATAGCATATTATGCAAGTTTGATAACAGAGGCATGTTTATGAATCGGTACTGATTTCGCCACCTTCCATAACTTTGGGAATTTTTGTCTGCAACGTCCTTTCTCTTTCCATTAGCATTGTTTCTAGTTATTTTTTATTTTTCATGGCATCAAGTATCTGGCCCCGAAGCATGATTAATATCTATTGTAACAGGCAACAAATTTAATAAATCAGGCTTTATCCACGAGTTTCATTTGCCATGAGCGAAGCGTAGCGGAACGAGTGCTAACCAAAACTAGTGACTGAAGTAATTTATCAATACTTTGAGTACATTTTCTAGAAACAGCACGAATATATTTACCGTCAAAATACCATGACTAAAATCTTTTATGTATAGTATTTCATCAAAAATAAATTATAGAAGACACAAATGATGCGATTATTTACTGACACCGTGTAAATCGTTGTATTCGAGTGGAACGTAATTTCTTACCAAATCCAATCCAACTGAATAGCGGATTTCCATACTGTCCATTAACAGGGTTAGGGCGACTGCGATATTGAATATTATCGTCCGTTTCCCTTATTCATCGACTAATAGTTTAGGTCCGGCCAATTTGATTCCAATGTAATCCTTTTAAAGACCGAACGGAGTTGAAGGCAGCCGATTCGAATTTAAAAGCGATACAACTCTCTGGTCGGCCATCATGCGATGTAGTCAAAGCCTCGCGTAATGCCGGACAAATCCTTCAATATAAATGCATATTTAATGCTCGAGACATCGAATGCGCGCAAATACGTAATGGCTTTACGTGAACGTCTGGATGCGCGGAACGACTGGCAGCGTTCCTGTTTTAGGGTTTTGTTGGAAAGCTTTTTGAAGGCACGTTGACAAAAATTGTGAGCTTTCGCTCATGAAGCAGCGTACTATTGTGAAATTTTGCTTTAAAATAGTTTAAAACAACAATGGTGGCCCGGTAAGCATTTTTCTTCTGCCAAATTTAACAGGTTTTGCAGTCGCTGCGCAAATTTCAAAGTTATTAAATAGAAACACTTGTTTGTATACTCCCTTCCTTCACCTCGGCAGCCAGGTTGGGAATCGCATAACTTTAATGAATAGAAGAATAAAATTTAACTGGCCTGCCTCACGTAGAGTAAAAAACTACAATTGTGGTAAAACCCAAAATAGTACATTATTAGAACACTTTTGTTATCGAGATACACCAAAGATTCTTTGTGAAAGCCGTATTAAATATTGTCATTTCGTTCGAAATGTGGTTGTACCGTAGAATACTTAAGGTAAAATGGACCGATGAAGTGACCAACATGGAAATCCTGAAAAGAATAAAAAAGGAAAAAGAAATTATCATTACGGTAAAAAAGCGTAAACTTCAGTACCTTGGACACGTCATGAGAGGAGAAAAGTACCAACTACTCCAACTGATATTACAAGGAAAAATTCAAGGAAAGAGAAGTGTAGGAAGAAGGCGTCACTCATGGATGAGAAACTTACGTGACTGGTTCGGGTGCACCACAAACCAAGTATTTCGGTCGGCTGTGTCACGAATACTAATAGCACTGATGATTGCCAACCTTCGCAACGAAGACGGCACTTAAAGAAGAAGAGTTCTTTGATTCTTGATTCTTTATAGTATAACAATAATATAATTTTTGCCAGTCCAATTTAATTAAAAGTTTCGGTATTCCAATTATCGTTATAAACATACATTTCATAAATTTCAATTATTATTTTTTTACTTATTCCGTATAGCTACTGGAGATATGGAGGCGATAATACAGTAAGTTTGAGGCAAATTTTCATTAGTATTTAAATGTTCTGGAAAAACAAGCTAAGTGTGTGGAAATCCCTGTTTAGAAAGAAAGTGCCACAAAGTGCAGGCTGGTGGGTGAAATGCATCAATTTTTACCGTTGTAGGGCAACTATATTATCTAATAGCTATAAGATTTCTTCCAATGTAATCTTAAATAATTCCAAGTTAAATTGAACTGAAACAAAGCTTCTGACTTCTAGACTAAACTATTACGAAAACGCAAAAAAAAATAGATTTTTCCATTTACCATAAACCTTCACACACGGACACAGTCATACATAACAGCTGAAATCACCCTTATACGCACACAATAGCTGCATTTCACTCTTTTAGACACAGACATCTTAATACGCCACCTTCAACAGAAAATTGCAACAAACAACTTAATATTATTAAACAAATCGGACTGAACAACGGCTACAATCCGTCCGTTATCGATAAAATTATAAATAAAAAACAAATCCAGACAACAGTAAACTATATTTATCCGAAACGTAATACAGATCACGAACAATTTAAAACAATTACATACATAGGAGAACCCAGTGAAAAAGTTTCAAAACATTTGTCAAAATGTGGTTTAAAAATAGTTTCAGAACTAACAACACAATAGGAAAATGTTTAAAAAACAATAAAGCGAATTGAGCTATTATCTTGATTCGGGTTTAAAGGCCGTCGTCGGTTGGAATTACTTCCCGAAGGAGGAAGTAATTCCAACCGACGACGGCCTTTAAACCCGAATCAAGATAATAGCTCATCAACGGGCCGCGAAAGACTTAACCAATTTATCAATAAAGCGAATTATCCAAAATTTCAAAAATCATGAAATGCGGATCATGTCTTCAATTTTATATTGGACAAACAGGTAGATCCTTCAAGAAAAGCATTAACGGAACATAAAAGAGCGTTTAAAAACAATAGTCTACAATTCAATTATGCTACACACTTAAACACAGAAAAACACATTTTTGACAACAATTTTGATATTTACATACAGCCACAAGAAGTAGAAAATTAAATTAATTGGAAGCCATGGAGATTAACAAAATGAAACATTCAAATGTATTGCTTAACTATCAATTAGATTTAAATATATCTCCATTATTAAACTTACATTCTCAAAACAACATTAATTAAGGTTTTGATAAAGACACGATGTTGTGTGTTGGTGTGTAAATATACAATTTCTGAAATTTCGGAAATCTGAACCTTTAGTTCTTATTTATTTAATTCCTAGTTATTCCAATGTAATTCGATACTAAAGAATTTTTTTTGGAAATTTTTGACATTATTACCCTTTTAATTTTGAATAAACAATAAATTAAATTCTTATTCTATTAAAAAAAAATTTTTTTTCTTTTAATGGGCCCAAGAACTTTGATAAATGTATCATCAAACGCATTTTTATGCCGCATCCAATAATGAAAACAGTTAATATAGTGGCAATAAGCAAATTTAAAAATATGTGAACACATATCTATCGAAAACAAATGAAATGTTTCCAAATATTTGAGTTTCTGATAAACGTTTTTAAAATTTTCGTAATTTAACCAACGCTGTATCTCCTACATCTTCTATATAATGCACACTGTATACTATAAGGATCTTTGAGATTTTTTTTTAAATAGAAAAACGACATTTTAGCAGCATGTCAAAGATTAAATCAACTGAAAAATACAAAATTTTAAAGAAAGAGGTTTTTATGTAAGACGATTATTCCTTGGCAAAATTCTCAATTGCATTTCTGTCAAGGGTTATTAAAATACCATAAAAAGCATTGACCAGATTTTGGATCGTGTAAACCTCATACTTAGCTTAAAATTGAAGTCAGGGTTAAATATAACTGTATTGAGTTGGCCTGGTCTATAGAATATTTCCTTTCTAAGAAAAAGCCATTATACTTTGTTCCTTTGTTAAAAAATATTCATTCCACTCAGATTATTTACACGTCACATTACCACAAGAAAAAACGAATAAACGAAAAACCTTCGGATCTGGGTCCCGTTGAAAAAAACTACCCCTGACCCTTTAACGTTTTCGAGGCTGTGCCGCTGGCGCGCATGAAAATCGTTTTCCCTCAAATACAATGAATGTCAAGTGGAGATTTTAGTAGCAAACGTTGCGTTTACTTTGAATCTCGTATTGCAGCGTAATGCAGTAACTGGTTAGTTTAAGTGGTTTGTTTTAATGTCGCCAGGGGTGTGGGGAGGTTGAAAATGTCGGGGACTAGGTGAAAATTTGAGCCGCAATGCTCACGAATTATGGGACTACTGCAGCACGTTCGTTGCGGGTTCGCGTTTTACCACACGTTTTGAATTAAATAGATATCGTTATCGAATTTGCAATTTCGACGACGTCGAATATACATCGCGTGCTTTACGAGGGCTTTTCGAGAGCTTCAGATTTCAGATACGATTCGGTGTGGTTCTTTAGTGTTTAAAAATGAAATATATAAGAATAAATACGCAAAAAAAGTGTCGGGAAGCTTGATTTTGCAGGTATTGTGTGTTCATAGATATAAGAAAGTGACCAATTGCTTTTGAATGGGATTATCCAAGGGTGGTCATCAACATACAATGCAACAAGATTATTACCTTAGTTAGTTAGTTTCGGAATTTAAATTCAATAATTTTATACCTACCTGTGTTTAATATTCTTTGGTTTGCTATACTACTTAGTCTAAGTTTATTAGTAATCATTCTCATTTCGTGTGTAATACAGCGTGTGTTGAATCGTGTGCGAATTATGCAAAATATGTGCGAGAATCTCAGGAGATGCTCCCGCCCAAATGTAGAAAACACTATTCTATTGAGACTAAGGAAGTTATAAACAATGTTTATTTGACTCTCCTTGAAACGGTCACATTGACGAAAATTCCAACATCAACTGTATGGAAAAGAAGCGATGCTGACATATATCTTATATCTTAATTAGGAGGCTTGAAAAAGATGAAACCGGTGTTAAATGTGGCAGAACTACCTTATGGAAGTGTATTCAACACATGTATCAAGTGTATGAAGAATTCGGAAATGGCGACTAGAAAAAATTAGGATTTACAAAGAACAACAAAAGCCAATTATTTACTTGGATGAAACCTGGTTCGACACTTATGATAGCCCGAAAAAGTGTTGGGTTGACTAAACTGACAGGTGTAAAACAAACGCGCCATCAAAAAGAGATAAAAGAATAACTATTTTGCATGCTGGCTCTAAAGATGGTTGGATTCCAAATGGACTTTCTCTGTCTGCGAAAAATATTATCTCTGGATTACCATGAAGGCACCACCGCAGATTTATTTGAAAAATGGTTTAAAAACAAACTAGTTCCAAATATTTCTCCTAATAGAAGTTGACCCTTCCTCATCTGACATAAAAGCAACAATTCAAAACTACATGTATAATAACGACATTTATTTTCACGAAGATTATACCAAAAAGCAATTAATTGAGGTTCTACAACGCTTGAACCTACAAAAGGAATACGTCTGTGATAATTATTCAAAAAACCTAGGGCATACAGTTTTAAGGCTTTCACCTTACCACTGTATATTTAATCCCATTGAACATGTTTGGCACCAACTGAAATCTGCCATTCGTCGTAACAATGTTTTTCTCCGTGTTAACTCCAATGTCCTCAAACTTTCCTATCTTTCGCAACAAAACCCCAAATAATTAAATTCTAAGCAAAGTACCTGTTCGGCCATATTTCATTCACACAGTTTGCCCGGGTCTTTCCTTAATTCGTATCAGTTAGTCACTCTTTTATATCTATGAACAGATTTTACAAAAGTATATTCTGGATCGTATAGTTATAACGATTTATACGATATCTGTGACGCTGAACAACCTGGATGATGTCCTGCCTACCGCAAGCAAACTCTAGAAAATACGGAACAATCTTGAGCGGCGGGAATGGAATTCGGAATGGGTGGGCGGGCAATTAAGCGTTCGCAAAATGTTTGTCGCACAAAAACAATTTGAAATGGAAATGGAAAACGGGATTTCCTCTTCAATTTGGCTTCAAAAGAAAAATACAATAGTGAATTTATGATCATAAACCCTACCGTAACTAGATTTGTTAATGATATTATTATATTATATTATAGATTGCATAATAATATCAATAGTATATTATGCAGCAAGTGCGGTAAACGGCGCGGGTGTTTAATAAACGAGTTTACCAAACATTTCTACGGCCGTTAGTTTTTGCATACATTTTAGCAAAACAACAGAAATACATTCACATCAAAATTCAAACCGTGCTGTAAAATTTCCGAAAACATCCGATTGTTCCCAAACTCGTGCGGTAATATCTCGGAAATGTCCGAAGGGTGCTAAAATGACGCTTACCGTACCCTAGATCGGTGTATAATTAGGTATTTTACAGATGGGAGTAGAAAAAATTATTTGTGATTTTACAAAATCACAGAGATATTACCGCACATTTTTAATTTTGATGTTTGTCAGTGAATGTGTTCGTGTTGCTTTTAAATAATGTACCCAATAACTGCGGTAGCAGAAAAAGCATAGTATGCAACACGTTTGGTAAACTTTTTAAGTCGCTCGTTTGTTTTATCTACAAATTAGAGATTCAAATGCCATTTGCCACACTTGTAGCCTAATATACTATTCTGTTCTTTTGTCCACCTGTTTTACTTGAATTCAAATGGTTACTATTTTCTCATAAATTAATTTACTTGATTTTTTTCCAAAGTCAAATCGATATTCGATGTATGATGTAGATAAACCATTCTATTTTCATTTCAAACTAGTTCTTCATAAATTTTATCACTTTTCAGTACAGTATACATTTTTTTGAATTTAAAAAATTTGTAAACTTGCGAAAAAAACTAAAATGTTTTAAATTAACTCCACTCCACTACTTTTTCAGCAAAACCTATATATTTGTAATACTCGTTGTGCTACTTAAAAGTTTAGAATGATATGGAAGTTCAATCTCCTAATTATCTGTATCTATAAGTGAAGGAGAGTAGCCTACATCGAGCGCTTAGGCCTCAACAGGCCCATCGTGCTTCCTCATTCCGGTTTACATCATGTCTAGTGAATCCACGAAGGCACTGTCAGCCTCAGCTCTGACGTAAAACCTGGTCTATGAAGTATCTGAACTGCCTGTCTGCTATTTGTGTAGATGCCTACAGCTTTACCAGCAGTTTTACGCTCCTGAGTTCCAAAACTAGAAGATAAGATGAAATACATACCAACCATGATTTGGGGCGTGGCACTAAAGCAACAAACGTATCGCAAGTTCAGCGCTTGCACTAAATTGTTTACCTTAAACGCACGTGGGGTCGTTGTCAGGGGTTTGCAGAATCGGGCAGGCTACTGCAGCAGCATCGTCGGGAGCGGCATTATCGTTTATCCCGTAACCCGGTGGCCGAGTGGCGGCGCTGGGGCCCAGCGTCTGCTGCCGGGCTCGTCGGCGCCCGGGCGCGCAGGGCAGGGCGGCGGCGCGCTTACCGTCAGCGCCGCGCTGCTCTCGACGCCGTCGCCGCACGCATTCCGCGATGGAGTTTCCTGCGAGGCAGCAGAAGGGCGGCTGAGCAGCCCCACGACGAAGACGACGACGACGAAACGAGAGCAGTGGTGCGCAACGAGCCGCGAGACGAGCCGCCGACGCCGTCGTCTACGAGCAGTGCAGACCCAGTGGTACAGACTAAGATGCAGGCCAGCGCCGCGACGGCGCTACCGCCCCCGGGCCCCCCGCGCTCGTAGCGGAAGACCATGTCTCGGTGGTGGATTTATTGTGGTGGACTGTTGTGGCTGGCCGCGCTGCTGGTTGTGGCCAACCCCGCTGCTGGCGCCCAAGGTCCCTCGCCAGCGGTCCAGGTCCAGACTTCTTCGCAAGCTAAAAGAGGTAAGCACGTAATATACTCCTGTGTGTTAAATTAACCCACTCGCTACGTCTTCGCGGATCTGTGTTTTGTGTGATAAGTGTTTGAAAGTTGGGAAGCTGTGCGTACCGCTGTGTCCGCGTGCTTCCGTCTATTGAAAGTGTGACGCGACGGTCGATGAATGTGCATCGTAACCAATGGAATACTACTGCATCTAATTCAGGTTTTATGAGATTTTGATCGTAAAATAGGAATTATTTCTAGGACCAAGGATTCAAAGCATATTGTGATCGCGAAAACACGACTATCGTAACCTGCGCGGTTATGGAAACTTACATTTTTATTTTTAATTCAATCAAATGTAAAAAATTGGGCTACTAAATCAGTATAATTCCATTATAATGTTAATCGATTTTGGTAATTGCACGAAACATTAGATATTCAACTTAAATATGAAACTATGACCAGGCAAGCAGGACCACGCCTCGATGTTTATATTTCCGATTGTAACGAGAAAAAAATACTTAAAAAATTTATTTCAAACACAAAATTTCAAGTTTTCGCACTACCGATAATTTTTAGTATTTTTAATATTGTGCAATAATAATCTAACCAAAAAATATATACATATGTGGATCCGCTACTAATCCCGCTAACAATGTCTACTATTGCCGTTATCGCTTATAGTTTTGCATTTTCAAATAAGAGAAGGGCATAACTTTAAAAATTAATAACATCAAATTCATTACAAATTAAATATCTGAAATAAGGAATCAGATATATTTGACTTGAAAGTTGGACTGTTATAACAATAACTCTAATCATATAAACACGATATGTTCAAAACTGTCCAGAAGATTCTACGTTTAGACGGAGCAGCTTTAGGATTTTCCATTGCTTTTATTTTACGATTAATAGCAGCCACAATTTTTTTTGCAATAGAGAAAAATGACTTAATTTTTATCGAATATAGTAGCGTCCTCCAGTTTGTGCTCGATTCGTGTGATCCCGACGCTCCCGAAACTTGAATGGGTTTCATTTTATTCGTTATGGAATTCGGGGGTCTTCAGTGCATACGGACACTAATAAAAAAAGTACGCACAGTTACTTACTTTTTATTATCCAGCTGTTAATAGATGAGTGCAAAGAAGTGCACTGGAAATTAATCTCAACTCAATATTTTGATAAATTTTCGATATTCCTTTCAAATTTTTTAAATTATTCTGGTTACTGTTGTTTCATATTATAAATTAATGAATCGGGTGCCTGCTCCAAATTTTGAGAAAGCTATCAATACGTTTATAAGATTAAGCAGTAATTTTTGATGAAAAAATCGAAGCACTCTTGTTTATGTCTTATTTTGCCCCTGGTTGTCTATTACAAAGGGTTGTTTGTTGATTGATTCATTTCAATGTCTTTATTTTCATTGAGAAAGCAGTCAAGTATCAATTGATTTCTATTGTAGGAAATGTATGGAAGTGGTGGTGAGAAAGGTATGTTCTTAAAATAACTTTTTGAAATGAGTGCAGACTTAAATTCAATCCGAGTCGTTTCTAATTTTAATTGCAATAATAAAACATTTTTTATTAGTTAGGTATGTTTTAGATAAGAGCTCTCGATTCATATCTTAAAGGACTTCAGAAGTAGGTTTGGTTCCTTGAGTTCTGTAACCCAGAGTGACAGTCAATTATAAGGGTAGCTTTGAGAGTCCAGAAATTAGCAAGTGTTTAAGAAACGAGAGCAAACCATTGACCAGTAAGATTTCACCCAGCAACAGAGGTTATTAACCAAAGTCAGGCGGAGAAGCCATGGCTGCTGATGGTGTGAATATATACTTAAACAGTTAACGTAATTTATCTTATCTAATTTTTTTAACCTACAGTAGGTCTATAAAGCTTTATTATCAACTAATATTGATCATATTTATTTACAGAGTGATTTTCTGAATTTCAAAATGTTCCCTTTGTTAGTTCTTCAGAACTGTTAATATGAAACTAAATTTTCTTTCGAATGTTACTTCTATAGAGGAAAGGCATCAAATAGTCTAAGAATGTGGGAGTAACAGGATTGTTTTAGAAAATATATGGCATGAATTTCGTTTCAGGCAACCTAATTTTTGCATCGAATTAATTCATTGTTTTGACTTTACATTATACCGGATGACACTGGGAAGTGACTTGAAATTTAAGTCCTAATATAGGCAAAGGTGCAAATTTTCGATATTATGAATGAACCTGAAACAACGGTAACTTTACATGGCATACCTGGATTTTTGTATTCAGAAAGTAATTTTAAGACGGGCCGGCTGGTGTTTAAATGACACTTTTGCTTACTTTTTATAAAACTTCTGGGTTCCTCCTGCGTTGGTTTTTGTTGACTGGAACTAGATAACGTTTCGCCAAACACCAAACAACGCAGGAGGAATCTAGAAGTTTTATAAAAAGTATTACAAGTAGCCTCTGGAAGTTTTTTTGAAAAATTGACACTTTTGCTTGTTTAATGGCAAATAACAACTTTTTTTGCGAATAGCGCGCTAGTAAGAGTAAAAATGTTTTAAAACCGGCGCTTTCTTGGAACATTTCGTATATCCTCAGAAAGATGCGAAACACGGAGTAAAATCCGCAACATGTATGGTCTGTCTCAAAGTATATCGCCTTGACAGGTGAGACAGAGCACCAGGCACTTAAGGTGTTTTAAAATAATAGAAATTAAATCTTAAATTATGATTTATTTAGGTATAACAAAATCACATTAGCATTCATAGAAAATATGATCACGAAGAAGAGACACAGGGTAAAACGGGTTGTTCAATCATGCCGCTGATATAAGCCGACACATTGTCGGCATCCAACTGAGTCGCCCCTGTTTTGTCCCTTACCTATGAATGATTTATTGGTTGTTTAGTTTACCCACTTGCAATATATATGAAGGTCGTAATTACATTTTGATGGAGGATCCGTCAAAAGTCAAGACGATGTACTTTGAGACGGACCATACCTATGTTATTGTTTGGACGACCGCGCGAGCCTATTGGTTGTCTCAATTACGAGATGTTGATCGAGAACAATCGAACGCTAAAACTTGGTAAAATGGTTTTTCGGTCTTTTTCAACCTTCTTTGGTCTTTGTGAGTCAATTAAAGCGTGTGAGTGCCTGTATAGTGGTGAATAACCGTGCAGTGCGAAAAACGAAATGTTCCGTTTTTTCGTCTGTAAATAAACAAACCGCGGTGGTTTGCATAGTCGTAGGTAGGAGAAGGAAACGGAAAGAAAAGCAACTGCAGTTGTTTGGGATAGGTATTCCTTATGTTTGGTAATATATAGCGTGGTCCGTAATGAATGACCAAAAACTATCCTAGCATAAACTATGCCTTAATAAAATGTACCTCATTCTGTGAGTGCAAGGTGTTAAAGTTTAGCTCTCCAAATTGTTCTTTCTCGGTGGCTGAAGCCGTTTTTAAAATATCGATATGAAAATTAGGATCCTGTTTTTTTCGAGATTGCAAAATTACATTACATTTTTTCATATAATCTAAATTATAATAGAGTAACGGTTTCTAAGTAAAAAAGGTATACTACATTTATTTCGATAATACATACTGTTTTCGTGATACTTGTATTTTAACAAAAAATCAACAACTAAAAACTGTTAAAAAGTTTCTATGAAGGTTTCCGCGCTCACCATTCGTTTGATTTTGTTGATCTTTCTTTGATTGGTTAGTTGATTGGTTGATTGATTTTTCGGTACCAATACCGTTTTACGAACTTTTATTCAAAATTTCATTTGACAGGGCGCAACAATTAGTCACCCTGTATTATAATGAGCGAGATTTTATAGACGCACTTTTTGATTATTACAATAACCAATTATTTTTTATTCCGTTTTAAAATAATGTGTTCATGGCTAACTTATGAACTGTTTTTAAGCTGGCGATTTGAATTCGAATAAAAACGGTGTGTTTTATCGAGATTAATGTATAAATTTCTACCTCGTACCATCTCCAAAAAGGAGCTCGAGCTATAGTGAGATCACAACTTCGAGAACTAAACTTTTACATTTTATAAATATATATTGTCTCAATATTATTTTCATCGGATTAATCTAGGGTTGTCTTTTGGTTTTCAATGGTACTGCCGCCGGTAGATACTTTATAGGAGGTATAATAATCTATCATTCGGCGCAAAAACTACAACCCCCTTTTTGAATAGGAACAAAAAAGAGATGGTCTGCTTCGACGTGCTCCTGCAAAAGTATATACAAATGGTGCTACCCCCATTTTACGTCGGACTCTTTAATTATCGTGTTTACTTTAGTATAAGGGAACGAGCAAGCCTCAAACACGGTCCGATCCCTTGAAGTCAGCAGCCGCGTGGTGAACCCGCTGGAACTCGACTGAGAGGTTTTAGAGATGACGTTAAAGGGGATCGCGGCCGATGGGGGTGGCGGCGGTGGCGGTAACACGTCTCCCTCAGCGTGATGCGAGCGTTGTTGGCAGCGCGGCGGCAAGTAAGCGTAGAATTCCGGTTACTTTCTGGAGATGCATCAATCAATGTCGGGTGCGGCGGCAACGCGAGGAAAAGGCCTACCTCGGTGAAAGTTATCTCGGTTGCATGTCTACCGCACTCGTGCCCGAACGGCGTCGCGGAAGCCGCTGTGGCAAATGATAGTATTGTTCAAAGGTGTGTTTTCACGACGTCAGCAAGTTCGCGACAAGCATCAATCCGACGTGACGTGCGTGCTGAAAACATGGCGATTCTTTAATTATTTTCAAGAAAAATATATCACATAACTCAGTGGAAAATTAAGAAGGGCACTCGACCTTATCTCGAACAGTAATTTTCGTGAAGACTTGTGGTGAAAAAACTCATGATTAACGCGGCTGGAAAATATTTCCGTCGGGGGTGTAATTCTTCCATTTTGAATCCCATTTTTTAAGAAGTAATCTTATATTACATATTACGTTTTAAAGTATTCATAAATTTGATTTTTGTTTGTCAAACGTAAAGTCGTTGAAAATACTTAAA